TGACATTGTCCCATTTGTTAGGAAATGGAAAGACTTCGAAAAAATTATAAGTGAAGTAAGCCAGGCCCAAAGAAACATAGGTCCCATGGTTTCTCTTATTTGCAATAACTAGTGTATGTCTGAGTCAAGCAGAAAAGGTCAGATAAGGTGATGTTAGGGAAACGAACCCTAAGATATGTATTCAAATGTTTTTTTTTTCTTTCATGCGATTGTTTCTAACACATTTATAAGATTATTTCTTTGTTGCTTTGTATGTCCCTCCCCCATGGTATAACCCCTGCTTTCACTGTATTTGATGTTATAATTTGTGGAGGGGAAGAGAAAAAACAAATTGTTTAAATAGGGATACAGGTGGACCCATTGCAACAATGAGATGTACAAGTCGCTATGTCGAAAACAAACTTTACAACTTTGGTGGGGGGGGGGGGGAAGGAGGGGTGGAGGGGAGGAGGGGATGGGAAGGGGAAACAAAGGAGGAGGCCTCAATGCTTGATAAGAAATGTACTCATTATCTTGCCCATGTAATTGTAACCCCTCTGTACAGTATTTTCACACACACACACAAAAAAACCCAAACACCTTTATCTGGTTGTTGTTGTTTTTTTTGTAAGTTTTCTTTTAGAACAAAGGAGAAAGAAAAAAGACTAAGATTTAGGAAGTCATAAAGTCCCAGATATATTAGGAATAAACATCTCCAGTCCACATTCATTCAGTCCCACACAAATTCTGATAATCATAGCAATTTGTAGCCTTTAAACCATGTCAAGCTAATTTCAAACTCTCCACAAATCTCTGCTTGCTTTCTCTCCTATTTGATAATCTGTGTTTTTTTGAATTAATTATTTCTGGTAGTTCATATAAATGACCGGTTCTTATACCTAGTTTCCAAGAGGCTGAAAGACAGTAACAGGTAAATGTCAGCTCCAATATAAAATTACAACTACAAATATTTATAAAAGGCTATTTTCCTTTTGCAAGGGCAGAGGTTTTGTTTCATTTACACACTCACACACATATGCATTGTTTCTACAACTTCACCTATGAATCAAAAATAAAGAACAAAACTTACCTATTAGTTGTAGATTATCAAAATTTCCCAAGGAGCTGCTTTTTTTCTAGTAAGCACAGAATCTTCTTTCTTGACTGCTTTTTATTTATTTTTACCTCATAGCACTATATAAAATGAAGGTAGAAGATTCTATAACTTGTAGAATAAATGAGTACAGGCTACAATATAATTTCTTAATTCTAGAGGTGAGCTTCGTTACTGGGGCTGACTGAAATGTGAATAGATGTTTAGACTTCAAAACACAAAAATCAGCTTCCCAACACTGTTTACAAATTAAGAAATAAGGCAGTTGTGCACTTATCAAAACTGGAACCAGAAGACTCATGATGTGTGTGGTAGTCACTGAGGGGAGGTAGTTAAAATACAGGACTTGTAAAGGCCTCAAATTCTAACTGCTGAATGAGGCTTCTCCCTGAAAGCCAGGTGTCCCTGGGGCCAAGAAGTAGCATTTCATAGGTACAATAACTGTCGTCACATGGTCTTTTCCACCTGTTAAAGAAAAATCAGTGACAAAAATATTTTAAGAATGGCTGCTTATAAATAAGACAGGGAATTTTCTAGACAAACTGATTCACAATACAAGTTATTTGAAAGTAACTTTGCCATGTACAAATGTTAGTAAATAGTGTGGAAATTCTTGTTAATAACCTGGTTAGCAAAAAAAGTAACAACTTTCTTAGAAAATCACTGATTTCATATCTTTGAGCACTTTAAAAACCCTATCTTTCTTAATTAAGGATACACACACACTCCATCACCCCAAGAAATGTTTCCTTAAATGAAGGAAAAGAAAAACACAAAGTACATTGCTGTGGTCCATCAAGTTCAAGGCAGCAGTCAGGTATGTCATTGACATTTTATGTATAAGGAAAGTCATCTTGCTCAAGGGTGGGGGGTGGGGGTGGGAGTGAGTATTTATATATCCAGAGGTGAAATCTTCAGTCCCTACTTTTTCTAGTGTTTTGTGACTGAGTTTGGGTTAGTGCTTCACAAGTGGTGGCCATTTTTTCCCCAGACATCATTTGGCAATGCCTATATTTTCTGTTGTAACAATGTGATGGAGAAGAGGAGGCTCATCAATGGTTTGAATCCAGGGATACTAACACATTTTCTACAGTACACAAAGACAGTTTACAACGAAGAACCATGCAGACACAAATGCAAGCAGTGCCAGGTGACAAACCTTTTCAAAGTTTCAGGAATCTGAGTGTAAGCACTCTAAGTTCTGAAAATTTGGACAAGTGACTCCTAGTAACTGAACATTTTTTCTTTTGCACCTAAATTTTCTGTTTTTCTACTTATAGATGTGTCTTAGCAAGCTGATTAACAGTGGTTCATGCCTGTAATCCTTGCTATTCAAGATGCTGAGATCTGTGAATTATTGTTCCAAGCCATCTGGATCAGAAAAAACTATGAGACTATTACCTACAATTAATCATCAAAAAGTTAGAAGTGGAGTAGTCCCAATGGTAGAGGTCAAGCCTTGAGCAAAAAAGAAAAGGGGGGGGGGGAAATAACAAAATAAAATCTTACCTTCAGTACAACTCTTCTTCCTTCTCTTCCCAACAGCCATTTCTTGGGAGTGAAAAGAGCTCACCTGAAAGAACACTTGACAAAGCTGACCTTAATCCCTCATTCACAAGCATTCCTACCAACCTCCAAAATTGACAAAATAATGTAGCTCTCACTAGGTCTAAACTTATCCTAAATTGTAAGTATAAACCATCTGGCTCAGACTGGGAATGTGTCTTAGTGGTAGTGCTTGCCTACCATGCATCAAATCCTGGATTCGATTCCTCAGTACCACATAAACAGAAAAAGCTGGAAGTGGCGCTGTGGTTCAAATGGTAGAGTGCTAGCCTTGAGCAAAAGCAGCTCAGTGACAGTACCCAGGACCTGAGTTCAAGCCCCAGGATTGGCAAAAACAATAAAAAACACATTTGGCTCATACTGAAGACAGGCTTTCTTTTTGAGTCTGGAGTTTTTGACTGCCTACATGATCTACCTCCAAATAAAAACCATAATTTCAAATGTTTCCCTTATTGGGAACATTTCTTATAGAATGTCTTGTTGGGCGAATTAAGTGTAATTTGGATAACTTCACTGGGACAGTACAGCTGGAAACTTGAGCCTGGTTTTCCCTGTACTTGGTTAAACGTACTTTTCCTCTGATTTTATTCTTCTGTTGCAATAAATCTCAACCATGAATATGACAACATGCTATCTCATGAGCCTCTGTAGTGAAGCAGTTGGGGAAGCCTAGGAGTATTTCCCATACATAATCTTAGTTTCATTTGTGATATGTAAAAGATGATTTACATCTAAGAACATTACATTTAACACTTTTCATACACTGCATAAAAACAGAATATACTTTTCATTCTCAGTTGATTTCCTAAATCTCTCTCTCTCTCTCACACACACACATACACACACGTGTATGTGTGTATACATATGTATGAGTTAATGTGTCACAAACATCCTATAAATTGAACTGCATTACTTCTTCCCCATGAATTCTCTAGTCATATGGCTTCTTCTTTATCACATCAACAAAATCTCTGGCAAGTACCTTTCCTATTTCTCATGAGATGAATTCTATCATCTCTAAGTTCTGGTATATCTAGTATATAAACAGCTGTTAACTTTCCCTAATATTTTTTCCCCAAACAACAATTGCTTCATGAATTAGTTTAAAAAATAAAAGAGCTTGTGACCTTAATACACTGATTTTCCAATCCAGTTTATACTTCCTAACGTGTGTGTGTGTGTGTGTGCGTGCGTGTGTATGTACATGAGTTCTAGGGCTTGTACTCAGGGCTAAGGCACTATCCTTGAGCTTTTTTGCTTAAGGCTAGCATTCTATCATGTGAGCCACAGTCTCACAGATTTTTCTGCCCAGGCTGGCTTTGAATTGCAATCCTCAGATCTCAGCCTCCTGAATAGCTAGTAGGCTTGAGTCACTGGCTCCAGTGAGATTGTAACTTTTAAGCCATTTGTATCAAAATGTTTTGTGGCCAAGTTTGGGGAATCAAGCAAGCAAAGTTAAACAGATTTCTCAGAGAATTTCACAAAACTGTTGATAACATTCATACATATATATAGTCAGTCATGGGGCTGTCCCTCAGCTCTTCAGCTCAAGGTGAACACTCTACCACTTGAGCCACAGCATCACTTTCAGATTTCAGGTGGTTAATTGGAGGTAAGAATCTCACGGACTTTCCTGGCTGGGCTGGCTTTGAATCGTGATCCTCAGATCTCAGCCTCCTGAATAGCTAGGATTACAGGTGTGAGCCACTGGCATCCAGCTTCCATTCAAATACTGAAGGGATACTGGCTAGTACTGTGGATAGGCAGCTCTGCCTGAGTTATGTAAAACCGTAAAGATTTTCACCCAGGAACATCTTAAAGGGACTAATATTTTGCAGTATCATTTGAAGAAATATTACATGTGTCCCTGTTAAGACAGCAGTTATCACTTCTGGTGTCTGAGAAGTCTGTGGACACAGCTCCAAGGAAGCACAAATATTACAACCAACTAGGCATTACTACATTGCTGCATGCAGTCTACTGCCTTTGAGAACAGAAACTGTGTAAAGTATAAGCTAGATACAAATTTAAAATGACACCAAGTAACAATTGTTAATGGATTACCTAATTACAGACCTATCAGTGGGAAAATGACTTTATAATTCTATGAAAGGGAAATGTGAAGTTTGCCAATGTGGTAGTATTTGGTTTGCCACCAAAAAGGCAAAATTAAATTCAGTGAGCTTGAATAATCACTGAATAGCACATCTATTATCCTGGAAATTGAATTACGTAGTTCCTAAAACAAAACTCAAATACATGCAGATTCTAAAAATAAGATGATTGAGCAAGAATTTTTAGAGTAAAACTAAAATATATTACTAAACAAACTCAACAAAGATGTTTGTTAATACTTTATTAGTATTTTCTATTGGACAGAACATAACGCAAACCAAATAAAAAATTTTAACCTTCTTTGTAGTTAATAAAAATAAATGACATTGTGATTGTATCTTCTTTGTTAAAGAAGGAAAGCATTGATAGAACAGTTAGGCACACAGTTGACACTTACTGTACAATGATATGCACAAGGTATCTTTTTAACAATTATAATCCTAAAATGTGCTCATTATCAATTTTCCCTTGTAATACAGGAGCCATACTCCCATAAGCAAAACTTACTACTAATAAAAGAACTTTACAAGGAGTGGGCAGAAGACTTTTAAAACAAGTCCTTAAATAAGAGGACACAGAAACAACGGAATGTAAGTTGTTGGGTTAAGAAGACAGTTTTAAACTACATCTCTAAAACATTAAAAATTCATTTATTTTACAATTACTGAAATACACATGCATTAAAAGAAAATATTGCACAAAATTAAAATTTTAGATTGTGAAATTTTTATTTGTTCTTATTTTAGAAAAATTGGTACACTCCTGGTAGCACTTAACTGTTTTTCTGTTTTATTTTTGCCCCAACACCAGCAGCACAAACTTACTTATAATGAGCAAACTGAAATATTTAACAAAGTCTTAAATGTTTTTATTTTTGTTTCTTTAAAAAAATTAAGGCTAACCGAGTGCATCCATTGGTCAATGGCACAATTGTTTTCAGCAACTATTTGGAACACCCTAATGATAGGAAATGTTCATCTAAGTGCTATATTTAAATTATACAATCAATTCTTAGGTGAACAAACTATGGTTTCTAGTAGTATGTACGTTACCTGAAAAAAAAAAAAAAAACCAAAGAAAAAAATGATTAATTTTGATGGTTTTTGCCTAAAGGCACCACTGACTGAAATCACATTCAAAAATCAACTATCAGAAGACATAAAGCCTCTTCATGAATGTATCTACATATGCAACAAATGCATATTAACCATAGTACACTGTACTTGACTAATGGGTTAAATATTTTACAGAGTTTAACCAAGTCATTCAAAAAGTAACTCTATTTGAGCACGACCACGGCTCTCTCTGATGTAAAACACAGATGTGCATAGAGAAGGTGCACCACTGATAATATAGACTACCATTTTGACACTTCTGCTTTTGAAATATAAACTCTTTTAAACAAAAATTACTTTAAAAACCCATTTACTCAAACAGTTTTTGGTATGAGTGCAGTTATCTTGCAGGGCTCGAGGAAAATTTGCAGCCTTTCATGACTTTTCTTTCCCTGGTTGACAGCCATTTTTTTTGTTTTTGTTTTTTTTTCACATTATACAGAAATGCTTTTTCACATGTACACTCTAGGCTCTTGCATGAATTCTTTTTTATACATACTCTTAGATTTATTCATGTCAAAAATATATTTGAAATGGGCAGGGGTATATCTGACAATCATTGCACTTACGGCCATGTTGATGCTTCATATAGACATGTTACACATATCCCACTTTTAAAGCACAGAGAGGAGCTGAGGCAGGGGATAACACTGGGGCAGAAGACACATTTTTCTTCCACCAGAGCCTCTAGAACCTTTACTCACTTGCAAGTTGCAATGAAAGGAATTTTACTTATGTAATTCTCAACATGCAACACATGCTGAATATCTGCATACTGTAAGTATGCACACAGCATTATTAATAAATATAATTATTATAAAGTTTAAAGGAAGGCTTTATCTGTTAACAGGCTTCACTTTGTAAATAACATCTACGTGAAAACAAGACACTATTATCTTGTTCTACTCTTAAAAGCTCCCAAATAACTGGGATACCAATTCTCTGTCCCTTTATCTTAAGCACCCAACGCTCTTTTAACACCAGGATACTGGCTCAGTGGTCTGATAAATAGCTTCACTATTTTAAGGTTTTAGTGTTAAATAGTTTAGAACAAAAACGCTGATACATCCAAACTCTTAGTAAATGGAAATATTTTAAACTCTCTAGAAGCCCTGCATACAAGAGATATGAAGACTTTCAAGATGAACAAAATAAAGGGAAAACTAGGAAATGGAGAGGCTTTAAAACTGGAAAAGGTATCTTGTTCATTGTTGGTAGAAAATTATCTCAGGGACTTAAATGTATACACCAAGGGGTTTTACATACTAGCTTTATTTAGAATTTACATTATGTGAAATATAAATAAAAGCATATTTTAAAAATAGTACAGTTCTGTTTTCATTATTGATTTTATATATGTACACATAATAGAATTAGGAATCTGTATGTTTACATATGACTAACAAGCTCATTAATCCTCTGATTTGCTATTTTTGTAGTTACCTAAGGCATGTCTAGATCATATAACTTAAAAATATCATATGGTAACTTTCAGTTGAGATATGTTTTCCTTCAATTTCTATTTCTTTTAGGGCAGAATGCACTTGGCAGTTCTTCCAATAAATTCTGCTTCTGTATAATCAGTTATCTGTTAAAAGACAAAACTAATAATTTTGAACCATAAATGAGGGTTACCATTTGCTTCCTTTTGCAAACAGAATGCTAAAATAAAACAATAACCATAAGAACAAAACAGAGCCCTTACAGCACATAAGAATCAATCAAAAATTTGCTTTATGTCAATGAATAATAAATCTAACCAAATTCTGATTTTGGTTGGTTTTATATTATAGTGTTATGTCACAAAACTGTAATATTTCTTACTTTACTGGCATTCTTTCACTTTTTCCAGACCTGAAACCGTTGTCCCATTCACCTGGCTAATCCACACAATATCAAAATGCTGATGTATACCTAAAAACTCATTAGGAAAAACATCTTTCCAAAATGTACACTGCACAGTCTCCAACTATTAAACAAATTAGTCAATCTGGACCATGATTTTGTGCTTTCCTTGGCTCTCATATATACATTCTGGCACTTTGTCACTGCTTGAGAATGCTGATTAATTTCAAACAGAAGAGACCAACTCCATTCTTGCATGAGATGGGGGCAATATCCTCTCAATGTTGCAAATTCTGCACCAAATCATTTAAGACAGAAACTTCTCTTGGTGGTGGCTGAATTATAGATGAAAAGGAGATGAACAAGAGGCTTATGGATGTATTAATAATCTATTCGGAGACACTAAAAGACTGGTGCAAACACAACAGTATGAGTTAGGCCCCCAGAAGATCGACTGTCCATACCATAAATCCTTGACACAATGAACACCAACTTCATAGATTGGAGTGTCACCTTTTCTGTAAAGAAGGCGCTTGAGTAGGTTGAAGTTTCTGTTTGTATTTTTGCATCTGCTTTGATCGTGAATGCAGTTTGTTGAAAAGTTCACGAAATTTATACTGTGGAAATAAGGTTTCTAAAAAGCCTTCCAAGAAGACATACACCATTCTCCTATTTAATTGGTTGTGCTGAAACATTTCAAAAACACGAAGAATACCTTTCCGTGTTGTCTCAGCTCCAATAATGTGCTTCAGTTCATCTAAATGGAGGGGAAAAATACACATAATTCATCACTCAGATAAAAGAAACTACACAGAAGAGTTAACTGATAAATAACAGGCATCCAGTTAATGAGTTTTACCTATGTTTTATAACTGACACTTAAAATATATGCCTGTCTACATTGCATACATGCACGTACCAAAGACTTATAGAACAGGCAATGAAAATTGATGTTACACAGCAGAGTTAACATCCAGACTCAGAGATTCCAAATTACAGTCACAATCCTGACCAGTTGGAAATCAGCTGTGTCTCAAAGTGGTAAAGTGCTAGCCTTGAGCACAAAAGTTCAGGGACAGTGGCAGGCCCTGAGTTCAAACCTCAGGACCAGCATGCACATACATAAATACATACATCTATACATACATACACACATAAACACACACACACACACACACATGTGTGTGTAAGAACTTGCCAGGTGCCAGTGGCTCATGTCTGTAAACTTGCTTCTAGCTACTCAGGATCTGAGGATACTGGTTTAAAGTCACTTGGGTCAAGAAAGACTGTGAGACTCTTCAACTTACCACCACACACACATACACATACACATACATATACACACGCACGCACACACACACACACACACACACAGAGGTATCACAACATTTATAGTGAGATATGATGAAACGTTCCCTTCATGGAAATGAAAACTGTAGTGGACTTTTCTACTATAGTGATTGGTACTAAGAGATGATTAGTCATCAACAGACAAATGAGCCATAAATGCATAAGCAATGTATTTAAATATAAAGGTAGGAAAATTTGGCTACACTTTAGAATTTCTGTAATAGAGAACAGAGAAAAGAATGAAGTAGTAAATATGCTATGACTATGACACAGACAAGTTGGCCACAGACAGCATCAAGTTAGTATAGGTTCTGAGATGGTGGACCACTACAGATGATCATTCTAGAAATATTCATCATCAACACTCTAGTAAGAGCCATGTTGATGCATTAAAATACATAACTTCCTAAAAGTCTATATATAAATATGTATACAATACAATTTAAAGGAAACTTGCAAATTTACAAAAAAAAGCAGGGAAGAGATTAGTATATAAATCATAGTATGATATGTATCCTCATTTCCTTCACATGTTCACAACAGTGTCATCTTCTTAGTGAGGTGCTCCCTGGCTACGCTTTATCCAACTGCAACTCACCTGACATTGCGCCTCTTCCTTTCCTGGCACTTACCACTATTTGACATAGGCTATGCTTTACTTACTTGTTTTGTTTGTATTTCCTTACCAAATATAAACTTCAAGAAGACAAAGAAATATGCTAAAAAAGTGTCCGATATATGATAAATTTTCAATAAATATTTGCTAAATGAAGTAAGATATCGTTCAGCTATTTAACTTAATTCTTATAGCATAATCTGATTTATTGTAATAGTAAATAATACGGCTATTTAAGTTCTTTTTCCAATGTTATTTTTCTTGCTTTATACCACCAGTACAATCATCTGTCAGATCTCTAACTTAATTAACAGAAATATAACCATTACAAATGTAAATGGACTCTTGTTCTGTAAGTAGATATTGATATTTAATGGTATTTTATATCTACTTTGTATTTTCTTTTTGTGTGTGCTGGTCCTAGGGCTTGAACTCAGAGCCTGGGTGCTATTCTTGAGCTTTTTTGCTCAAGGCTAGAACACTACTCATTGAGCTACTATTCCACTTCCTGCTTTTTTGGTAGCTAACTGGAGATAAGAGCTAGCTTTGAATCACGATCCTCAGATCTCAGCCTCCTAAACAGGTGGGATTATAGGCATGAGCCACCAGCTCCTATTTTCTTTATTTAATAACTTAATTCCCAAAATGTGTGAAAGCAACAAAAGGAAGTAATCAAAAGAATAAGCTTTCTAGTCACTCAAACAAAAGGCAGAATACTGTTCCTTAGCAGCTATCAATCTTGGGATGGTTACTTCCAGCTTCTGCTTCCTTATACACAAAACTGTGCTAACAGTCACTTAATTTGACTGTCACAAAGATTAGTTAAGAAAGTTTGTCTAGTATATAGTCAGCCATGAAAATAGTAGTTATCTTCATGAATTTGAAAGAACCACAAATTAATGAGCTTTAACCAAATATATCCACTCACCTGGCATGATGGCAAGTAATTTAGTTTTTCCTGCAATTCTTGTTCTCATTCGAATAGCTTTATCTCTGCATGGAACAGTCTCTGCTAAAATGCCATTTGGCCAAAATGCATCTCTATTTAAGAAGATTGAATAAATTTTGTAAGCATTTTCACTTTCTAATGATACAAGTTGATAAAATTATCCCAAATTTCTATGGAAAACACAAATATAAACAGAAAAACAAGTATTTCTAAAATTTTACATAGGCATAATTCAATAAACATCAACTAAGTACATGATTTGATTTTAGATATAAAAGAATAATACTTGGAACTCAAAAAATTAAACCACCCAACAACAAATCCTCAAAGAAACAACTGCCCAATAAGTAAGTGGGCGAAAGACTTAAAGAGAAGCTTCTCTGAAGAAGAAAGAAGGATGGCCAATAGACACATGAAGAAATGTTCAACATCCCTAGCCATAAAAGAAATGCAAATCAAAACAACATTGAGATATCACCTCACTCCAGTTAGAACAGCAAAAATCAAGAACTCTAACAACAACAGATGCTGGAGGGGATGTGGACAGAAAGGAACCTTACTTCATTGTTGGTGGGAATGTAAACTTGTTCAACCACTTTGGAAAGTAGTATGGAGGTTCCTCAAAAGACTCCACATAGAGCTCCCCTATGACCCAGCAATCCCACTTTTGGGCATTTACCCTAATGTTTACAAAAAAGACCACACTAAAGCTACCAGCACAACTATGTTTATTGCAGCATTATTTACCATAGCTAAGATATGGAACCAACCCAGATGCCCCTCAGTAGATGAATGGATCAAGATACACAATGGAATTCTATGCCTCCATCAGAAAGAATGACATTGCCCCATTTGTTAGGAAATGGAAAGGCTTGGAAAAAATTATATTAAGTGAAGTAAGCCAAGCCCAAAGAAACATAGGTCCCATGGTTTCCCTTATTTGCAATATCTAGTACAGGTATGAGTCAAGCGGAAAAAGTCAGATAATGTGATGTTAGGAAAACGAACCCTCAAATATGTATTTTAATGTTTTTGTTTCTTTCATGCATGTGTTTCTAACGCATTTATAAGATTATTTCTTGGTTGCTTTGTATGTCCCTCCCCCACAGTGTAACCCCTGCTTTCACTATATTTGATGTCAGTATAACATGTGGAGGAGATGGGGACAAACAAGTCGTTTAAGGATTCAGGTGGACCTGTTGCAACAATGAGAAGTACAAAATGTCATGTCAAAACCAGCTTTACAATGTCGGAGGGGGGGGAGGGAGGGTATGATTGGGTGGGGGGGAGGGGGGAGGCTGGGAAGGGAGGTGAAGGGTAAACAAAGGAGGAGGCTGCAATGCTTGGTAAGAAATGTATGCATTATCCTGACCATGTAATTGTAACCCCTCTGGTACAGTATGTTCTCAAATAAAATAAAATAAAATTAAAAAAAAAAAAAAAAGAATATATACAGGAAAAATAACAGATTACACCTGTCCAATAGAGTACAAACATTAATAAAGACAACAAATGAAATAACAGAAGAACTAACATATTGTAACTATTAAAACTAAAAAATGGCGACTGTTGACTTCATCCCATTCTGTGACCCTACCTCTTAGTTGTGCCATTCTACTTCTCTTGTAACTAAGCCAACAGGACAAATTCTTACACATGAATTAAGTACAATGGTCTTTATGCATATAATCCATTCTCCTTTACTTTCACAGGATGCTTGATTCCTGTCCGCTATGTGTAGCACAAAGGCAAGAACTGAGCACAGCATCTTTGCTTCCATCTGGGTAAAACTGTTCTGAGAAAGGGAGATTCCCAAGCAATCAATCTCAATCTTGCACTAAAAACACTGGGAATTTTTATATCTCTTAATTGCCCAGGCTTCCTACCTGACTAAGACATGTATCTGTAGAGAAGGAATCCAGGCACTGTTACAGTTCTCCAGCTGATTCAAATGTATAACTAAAGCTGGGAACTAAGGAAGAAAATCATTCATAACTGAGTGTTGGCTAGTGGTTAAGCATTGGCTAATGTGTAAATCCAGCTACTTCAGGGGTAGAGATAGGAAGTCCAATAACAATCCAGGAAAAAGGTTACAACATTCTAACTTAAATAACAAGCAGGGTGTGCTGGTATATTCCTGTAATCCCAGTACATGAAAAGTATAGGTAAAAGGATCATGGTCTGACCTACCTGAAAAACAATGAAAACAAAAGGTCTGGAGATCAAGTGGTAGAGCACTTGCCTATGAATCACAAAGCCCTGAATTGAAACTCCAGTACTGGAGAACATCATTTATATATGCTAAATATGTGGGGGTATGAAGATGAACTTTTAGAAACAGTATGGATACAGAGGGAGAAACTACACTTTAGAGTACAAAAAAAACTCTTCTCTTTTCATCATGAGATATTATGGGAAAACTACTTTCCTTTTTAATCTTCAACTTACTCATTATGAAATAAGAGGAAAAAACAACTACTTTATAAAACAGGATAAAGTCAGAAAGTATATATAAATACATAGCTATTGTTCAATACTAACAGCTTGCTTTTTGCTTTCTTTCCCTACCTTCTAATACATGATCTCGTGAGTTTTCACTTACTGTTTATCTTCACTTTTATAAAGAAAGTTTACTTCCCTCCCTATTGTCTGTGCTTTTTTGGAGGCAACATATTTTATCTCTCTGCAGAGTGCTGGGCACAGAGGACAGTCCTAATACTTTAGCAGCATGACCATATGAATTAATGTATCAATACTGCTTAATGTATATCATTTTCAAAAGTTCAAATTTAATTATTAATAATACTATTGTGACATATACACATAAAGTTCTAAAACACCACTTAAAATCAAAATTAGTAAATATAACTGAGAAATACAAATCCCTCAAACTAGCCACTTAATTTATGACCATGCTATTTCTTGTTAATATTTTAATTAACTTAGCATTTCGATAAAATGTAGCCTATCTTAAGCATTTATCTTTCACACTTATCCTATTCTGTTTTTGTTGTTGTTGTTGGTCATGGGGCTGAACTCTGGGCCTGGGGACTTATCCCTCAGCTCTTCAGTTCAAGGCTAGTGAGCTACCACTTGAGCCACAGCGCCATTTCTGGCTTTTTCTGCTCATGTGGAGCTGAGGAATTGAACCCAGGGCCTCATGCATGCAAGGCAAGCACTCTACCACTGAGACACCTCCCCAGCCCCTATTCTGGTTTTAAAAAACAAAGATTAACAGGTCCCTAGGAAAAATGTTTATCCTAATTTCTAAGTCTTTGCTCAGAAATGATAACTAAAACCAACTTTATGTCCAGGAAAGAAACAAAAGTAGTGAAAGTTAATTAGTTAAAACAATGCTAAACTCTGTACTACCTGAAAGAAGTGACTGGGTCTTAAGATATACCTGAAACGTTTCACTGAATCGGCTACTTGTTCTGGTGAAGTCATCCAATCGACATGGTCAACTATTTTTCTAAAAGTAAAGAAAGTTAAATGAAAAAGCTTAAAATAGTATAAAGTGAGTAAAATAAACAGGACTTTCATGGAGCAAGAGGGTATATGCTACTTCTGAGAGCAAGAGATTTCTTTAAGGATCTTAAAAGGCCCATAGGCCAAGACTCAAGGTGGCTCAAGCTTGGCATCTTAAGCTACTTGGGAGCTAGAATTGGGGAAATCAGTTTCCAGATTAAATAATAATGACTCCATCTCATTTAATAACTGGGCCCAGTTGTGTGCACTTGTTGTTCCACATACAGGGGGAAGCACAAATGATGGGCTCAGTAGCATGTTTTCAGCATCCCCAGTGATGCAGAAAAAGACAAGTAGGAGGATTACAACCTGAGCAGAGCAATGTAGAAAGCAAGACCCTTGCTTATTGAAAATAAACGATATAAAAGAAGCTAGAAATGTGAATCAAATGATAGAGCTTAGTTCAAACCTCAACACTGGAAAAGAAAAAAAAATAGACCAGACAAGAAAGTCTATCTATAAAGGTTGAGTAATAGACTTCGTGAAGTAAAAGTTAAAAGCTAATCAAACTCCATGCAAGAAAAAACAATGAAGAAAAAGTGGTACCTATTAATCGTGTCACCATAGGTGGCTCTAATAAGCTGCTGGAGTAGGTTTTTGATATTTCTTCGCAACCACTGATTTCTCTCTTTTAAGTCAAATACTTCATCCATTAGAAGCAGCATGACCCTAAGTGGAATATTGTCGTCCACCTGACAAAATAAGGAAAGAAAGAAAATAAATTTATTGGAGGTAGCTATTTACTATGAATGGTTACTTTTATAAAACTGTTGTGTTTTACCATAGGCAAGTTACTGAAACAGCCCAGATGCTCTACAATAGATGAGGATATAAAAACGTGGTATATACACACAATGGAATTTTACTAATCCTTTAGAAAGAATATTATGTCATTTGTAGGGAAATGAATGGACCTAGAACAAATCATGTTAAATGAGATAAGCCAAGCTCAGAGATCCAAATGGTGCATGTTTTTCTCTCATATATGCAAGCTAGATCCAAAATACAACTGGCTAACTCATACTGGACTCTAGACATTTGCACAGAGACTAAAAGAGGATACTCTTAGGGAAGTAAACCAAAGGCATATAATTCCTATGAACACTTAAAATACTATTTATTGAAATGAATTTCAGGAAATGGAAACATGGGTTTTTGTTGATGGTGGTGATGGTAGTGGTGTTTGTTTTTGTGTTGGGTGCTTTTGTTTTCTTTTCTCTTTTTTGTCTTTTTAGGGAGAACATAAAGAGGAAGACACAGAAAGGGAGGGAGAAATGGTGAACAAATACCATCATAGTAAAATGTGAAAAATGAACTATGCAACTTGTGGACAGGAGGGGAAAAATGAGGGAAAGCAAAGGAAAGGATGACACTGTCAAAAAAAAAAAGTCAAAGCTATGTATATATGATCATAAAAGATGATGTTAAGTGAAATGAACCCTAAGACATGGACACAAGTGGTTTTTTCCTTTCTTGCTATTGTTTTTAACGTACTTATAATGTACTATGTGATTTTTTTTTTTGTTTCTTTTGTATGTTCTTCTCCCATGGCATAACCCATATTTTCACTATATTTGATTGTGGTGCCCTGCATCTTGTATATACACTTTTCTAATTTGGGGAGGGAAAGGGAAGAAACCAAAATGCTTAAATAGGGATACAGGTTGACCCATTGTAACAATGAGATGTATAAGACACTATGTTGAAAATGAACTTTACAACTTGTGGGGGGGAGGAAGGAGGAGTTGGGGACATAGGAAGGGAAGGGATAGTAGGGGAAAAAACAAAGGAGGAGGTAACAACGCTCAATAGGAAATGTACTCATTACCTTACTCATGTAACTGTAACCCCTCTATACACTATTTTTACAATAAAAACGCATTTAAAAAAAGAAATGTACTAATCATCTGACTTATGAAATGGTAACCCCTCTGTACAATATCTTAATAACGATACTAAAATTATATTTTAAAAAGATTTTTAAAATATTGCATTATGATCTTCAGAATGGCATTTCTAATTTAGAAAAAATATTTCTAATAACTCTATTAGAATACAGTATTTTACAAACCTACAGTAATGACTAAAAACTAAAATTGCAGTTATCTTTTTTTTTGTTTTGGTCAGTCGTGGGGCCTGAACTCTAGGCCTGGGCCCTGTCCCTGGGCTCTGCAGCTCAAGGCTAGTGCTCTACCACTTGAGCTACAGCACCACTTCCGGCTTTTTCTGCTCATGTTGTGCTGAGCAATTGAACTCAGGGCATCATGCATTCAAGGCAAGTTCTCTACCACTGAGCCACCTACCCAGCCTCTGCAGTTATCTTTTACAAAAATATGAGCTCATGACAATCTAGGAAAAAATGACTTTGCTCTCCTTTTAGAGATGCTGAACTATGTATTGGTTTGCTGATGTAAATAATACATCCTCTGCGCTTTACTGTGCATTTTTTATAAGAATAAAAAAATTTTAAATGTGGGAAAGGGTAAGGAGGGAGGGTTGGACGAGAATGTTAAAAGGGGTAACACTGATCAAGAGACACGACAGTCATAAACTGCTCTACTGAATGGCAACTCCTTTAACTATTAGAAGAAAATTATTTTCTTTTATAAAAGGATGTTTCTATATTTTTCTCATGCCATATGACTCTGTAGGGACAGAATTTATGATGGTGAAGAAACTTACGGCAGCACAGCATTCAAGTTGTGGCATGGGTATTGCTGGCTATTTATAGCCAGGTCTATAGAGAAAATCTGCATTGGTCAGATAAGAACTCATGAAAACTCCACTTCACACTTCCTTTGTAATTAGTAATGTAAGTAAAAGCTATAATATTGATATCTTCCATCATTTTATTTTTCTACAAGGAAATATGTTTTGGTGATGGATGGTAGTCTCAAAAAGGAAAAATCCAAATTTTTAATGCTTTATTAAAGAAGGAAATGGAAAAAAAGAATAAAATATTCTTAATATCTACAATTAAAATATAACATTGAATAATGGATTTTATTTAATAATTTGAATATATCTGACATATTTCAGGAAAAAGGAGCTGAAATCTGACCCAATACACAAGTAAATTACTATTATAAAAAGCACATTTCACTAAAGTACTACAATTTTCTTTAAGTTTTTAAACTACTTAAAACTATATGCTTGTATTGTGGGAGTATTTAATTAATGACATAAAAATGAATGTAAGGTAAGTGGAATTGTATGCTTTACTAAGATACTCTTTGCAATTATTTCCTTATTAATGCTGTAATTTAAGTGTTCATAAAAGCACAAGCTACACATCTTCATACCATACTTTAAATATTTTCTTGAGTGCACTTTTGATCACCCAAACTGGGAGCTTACAGCTTAAAGAAGAGGGGAAGGAGGACTCATTTCATTACAAAGGCATACTAAAACTGCTCAGTTCTCTGATGAAAGGTATTTACATGAGTTTGGTGGCAAAGGACAATTATAACAAAAATTTAAAAAAAGAACACAAGCAACACTCACAAAATGTTCTAAAAATAAAGCAAAAGAACAGTTTCCATCTAATACAACAGAACCCAGAAGCAGATGTAAACATGGTACCATACTGATAACCTACTCTGTGATAGGAGAGAAAAAGTACAACTTGACTCCTAAATTTCATTCCAAAAAGAAAATCAAACCTAGATGAAGTACAAATGTAAATGTTAGCATAGAAAAACCAAATTGATTAGTAAAGAAAATCCTTGTGACCTTACAAGAGGCACAGATTATATATAAAGTACAAAATAGTACAGAGTAAGAGCTCTCTCTCTCTCTCTCTCTCTCTCACACACACACACACACACACACACACACCACACATGCACACACCACACACCAAAACTCAAAATCATATTATGTAAAGCGCCTCTACTAATCACTAAGAAAAGCAGCTGGGCATATTGAAAAATGGACAAAAGTTCTAGACAGTCTAATAAGACAAGATACCAAATGGCCAATATGTATATGAAAAAAGTTCAACATTTCAGTAGTCGTTAGAGAAATGTGTACTCACATTAAATACAACAAATAGAATGGCTAAAATTAAAAAGACCCAATATGCTGGCTATTGTGCAGTAATGCAACTCTCCTGTCCTAATGGTGGCATTGTAAGTAGTACAGACAGTTTGATAAACTATGTGGCAGCTATCTCCAAAACTAAATTTATGCATACCCTCTGACTGAGGAATTATATTGCTAACTACACACTCAATAGCAATATGCACATGTTATTTTGGTAATAAGACAGATACTAAAATGTTCAAGGAGTTCTATGCATAATGTAATAAGAAAATTTTGTCAAATTTACAGAGAAATTTATGAAGTACTAAAAAACTGCAAGAATAAAGAAACACCACTTTTGGGCATTTACCCAAATGTTTACAAACAAGACCACACTAAAGCTACCAGCACAACAATGTTTATTGCAGCATTATTTACCATAGCTAAGATATGGAACCAACCCAGATGCCCCTCAGTAGATGAATGGATCAAGAAAATGTGGTATATATACACAATGGAATTCTATGCCTCCATCAGAAAGAATGACATTGCCCCATTTGTTAGGAAATGGAAAAACTTGGAAAAAATTATATTAAGTGAAGTAAGCCAGGCCCAAAGAAACATAGGTCCCATGGTTTCCCTTATTTGCAATATCTAGTAGATGTATGAGTCAAGCGGAAAAGGTCAGATAATGTGATGTCAGGAAAATGAACCCTTAGATATGTATTTTAATGTTTTTTTTCTTCCATGCATGTGTTTCTAACGCATTTATAAGATTATCTCTTTGTTGCTTTGTATGTCCCTCCCCCACAGTGTAACCCCTGCTTTCACTATATTTGATGTCAGTATAACTTGTGGAGGAGATGGGGAAAAACCAGTTGTTTTAGGATACAGGTGGACCTGTTGCAACAATGAGAAGTACAAGTTGTCATGTCCAAAACGAGCTTTACAACGTCGGTGCGGGGGGGGGGGGGGGGGGGGAGTTGGGGGGGAAGGAGAAGGATTGGGATTGGGGGGGAGGGGGAGGCTGGGAAGGGATGTGAAGGGTAAACCAAAGGAGGAGGCTGCAATGCTTGGTAAGAAATGTACACATTATCCTGCCCATGTAATTGTAACCCCTCTGTACAGTATGTTCACAAATAAAATTAAATTAAATTAAAAAAAAAAGAATAAAGAAACTAATATCACACAAAACAGCAAGGGAATGTATCCATGTTGAGTAAAGAGAGCCAGACTTAATATGCTTTATAGTTTTACTAATAGCAAAAAAGCAGATAAAGTTAAGATAGTAATCATCCTTGGTGGGGAAAAAGGTCATGCATAAGGTCATTTTCTGTTTTTCCATTAAAGCACTGATTTCATGAACACAGTCTGTAAGAATTTATCCAGCTTATCTAATACAGTGTGTACACAGGAATGACACATGTACATACCATATTTGTTAAAAAGTTAAGATCTGCCAAGCATGATTTGAGTTATAACCTCTGTACTTATTACCAAGAATAAAATTAACTCACATTATCATCAAGTTGAGCTGAGACTCGACAATGTTCAGGATCTGAATCAGTCTTTGTAATTAAAGGAGGCACCTAGAATTTTAAAAAAGAAAAAAAAAATGTAATGTAAACACATTCAACTGTGACAAAGAAAAATAATACACCAAAGCACTTGATTGATTTTTTGCACCAATATTTGAAAGAAAACTTAGGATGTTTATTTAATTATTCAAAGATTTTTTTGCATTAAAAGAAAAAAACTAACTTCAGTTTTAAGGCGAGACATTTGTCTTTATTGTCAACTTAACTGGACAGAGAAATGCCTAGAGATTAGGAAACCACATCTTTGCTTGTGCCATAATACTGTTTCTCAGAAAGAACTAAGGAAAGGGGAAGGTTGGGGAAGAAGACCATCCCAAAGGTTGGGATAAAAACATGAAAAGCAAGAAAGCCAGCAAAGATATCCTTCCCCTCATCTGGTGGTCTGTCTCTATCTTCCCCCTTTCTCCTTCCCCACTTCTCTGTGCTTTCTTGGATGTATTGCTCTGCCAAACTTCCCCTGTACCCCTATACACCATGATCCAATGATTTATTTTTTTCAGCTAAAATAAATCTTTGCTCCTTTAAAGTGTTGTTGTTTTACCAAGTATATTGTAATAGTGAGGAGAATGCTATTAACACAGAGGGAGAGACTTCTTAGACTCTATTTTGTAGAAAAATTTAAAACTAAGAAAGGTTAAATAACTTGAAGACCAAGTCAAGAACATGACTATAATTATCTTTCTTACCACAGAAGTTCTCAACAGTATGCTAAAAGGATTGATCAAATATTGGACAAGCTAATGAAAAAGGACAGACAATCCAGACAGACTCTTCTATGCTACTCAGAGATCTACAGTGACAGACACTGACCATGTGGAAAGGACTCTTCCTTCCCTTATTCTGGTAGTGCCTCCATGAGTGAATAAGAAAAAAAACTGACTTTGTTTCCTGAACAAAAACTAATACAACGCACTTACAAATAGCACTTACTTATTTGCTAAGCAACTTATAGCACTGCACAATAAGAAATGGAATATTAAAAAAGGTACATAAAGTATTAACTCATTTTATATATTCATTTTAAATGAATTTTAAAACTACCATAGCAAGCTAACAAATGACTAGACTTTTTAGTATCTATTTCTGATAGGAATTATTTATTTTTCTCATAAGACTATTATTTCACGTAAGACTATGTGTTTGAAGAACTTTGGAAAAGGGGTCAATATATTGTACTTGACTTAAAGGTTCATTTTAGGTATTACTGAAAATGTTTTCTTACCTTGAAGAATGATTGCTTTATGTCTTGACCTAATCTTTCCGACATTTTTCCCATGTTGTCTGACATTTTAGTCATTCCTTCTGCCAAGCTGTCAGGAAGGGATTTAACTGCATTTGAAACATTCCTCATAGAATTTCGAAGAGGATTTACAAAAGTGTCCATCTAAACAGAAAAACATATGTAGGATGATTTCATTGTTTCATTCATGTTACTCATTTTAAAAGTATAGAAAAATAAAGAATGCAATATACAAAATGATTTTCCAGTATTTATTATATCAGTACATAATATAGAACAATTGTCTTGGATGAGTCTTAAAAATGAATCTTTATATTTACATAAATGATTTAAAAATTGACAGATGAGGTTATTGCTGGAGAATGAATATGTCACTCACTGTCCTTTTACTGGAGGGGAGGATAAAGTCTCACTTTGTTAGCTTTGAATTTGTTATATAATCCAGGTTGAACAGTAACTCATGATCCTCCTGTCTAAGCCTCCTGAGTGGTAAGTTTATAGGTATGTGCTATTGTGCCCAGTCTCAGTCATCTTTACCAGAGAAATATTGAACAACAAGGTTTTCCAAGTTTTTCCATTCCCTAACAAATGGGGCAATGTTATTCTTTCTGAGGGAGGCAAAGAATTCCATTATATATATGGGGCATCTGAGTTCGTTCCATATCTTATCTATAGTAAATAATGCTGCAATAAACATAGTTGAGCTAGTAGCTTTACTATAGTCTTGTCTGTGATCATTTGGGTAAATGCCCAAAAGTGGGATTTGCTGGGTCATTTATATTAAGTGAAGTAAGCCAGGCCCAAAGAAACATAGGTCCCATGTTTTCCCTTATTTGCAATAACTAGTATAAGTCTAGACAAGCAGAAAAGGTAAGTATGATCACGTAAGATGATGTTAAGGGAAATGAACCCCAAGATAGGGACACACTGGCTTATTCTTTCCTGCTATTGTTTTTAACATATTTAAAATGTACTATGTGATTTTATTTCTTTTGTATGTTCTTCCTCCACGGTATAACCCCTGTTTTCACTGTGTTTGATGTCAGTGCTCTGAATCTTGTATATACATTTTTCTAATTTAGGGAGGGGAAGGGAAATAACAAAATCCTGAAATAAGGATATAGGTTTGACCCATTATAAGAATGAGATAGATGTACACGACACTATGTTGAAAATGAACTTTACAACTGGGGGTGGGTGGGTGGGAGGAGTTGGGGAGATGGGGAAGGAAGGGATGGTAGGGGAAAAACAAAGAGGAGGTAACAATGCTCGATAGGAAATGTACTCATTACCTTACTCATGTAACTGTAAACCCTCTGTACAGTATTTCTACAATAAAAAAAATTAAAAAAAGGTTTTCCAAAACAGAAACTCATGCAAGTAGAATTATACACTTCAACCACAACTAAAAGCAAGACTTCAACAGATGCTGAAAAGAAAGTAAAATAAATGAAAAACTAAAATAACAATATTCTAAGAGTTTATAGGCCAAGCTCAGAGAGACAAATGGCACAAGTTTTCTCTCATATGTGGAAGCTAATCTAAAATATTATAATCTATACAAGACTACGCATTCACACACAGTCAGACTAAAGAAGGATACTCTCAGAGAAGAAACCCAAAGGTGTAACTTCTCTCTGAACATTAAAAATACTATTTACCAAAACGAACTCTACGAAATGTAAACATGGGTTGTTTTTTTTTTTTGGTAGTGATGTGCAGTTTGTTTTTGCATTTGCTTTTCTTTTTTTTCATGAGAGTAAAGGGAAAGCGCAGAAAGGAACAAATGCAATTATGCTATGCAGTTATACACTGTAGAAAATGACCTGTGTAACCTGAGGGCAGATATGGGAAGGGAAAAGAAGGGATGACACTGTCCAAAACAGAAATACACTCATTACTTGACTTATGAAATAGTAACTAACCACTCTGTACAAAATCTTAATAATGACAATAAAAATATTTTTAAAGAAAAGAGTAATAAAAAAAGGAGGAAAAAGAAAAAATTCATTACATGCTCAATTAGTATTTATTAAGGCAATGATGTCTATTCAAAAACAAAGATCAGTTAAAATTAGACAGGTAAATCATATTTTAGTAAGGCAGAGTATAAGAATTATATTTAAAAGAAAATGTGATGAGATATATAAAAAATTTCCAGAGTGTAGGACACAAAATTTTATATTTGACTGTAAACATGTCAAATCATTTCAAGTAAGAAAGGGAAAGAAATCTAAACAAATGAAGAAGCTTCACAAGGGACTCTTTGAAAGGCAACTTCTAACAAAAGTGAAAAAAATTTTTTTAAAAAGTTGAACAAAACTTTAATAATAATCCCCAGAGAGTGTTGTCACATGAAAACTACCAAGGAAAATAAATTAAATTCTATGTAAAAGAGAAAAAAAGGAAATAATAACAAACTAAACATTATTGTTTACATGGAATGAAGCACAATGTTAATAGAGAAAAAAGACAAATCTCCTTCACTCCATTTATGCATTCATCAAGAAAAACTAGAAGAGCTGAAACAAGTAGTAATGACAACCTAACATGAATCTCAAGATAACTAAAAAATGGCTGGGAGTTTTGATTATTCCTGCAGCTTAAGCTGAGCCAACAATACAACAAATGTGCGTCATGGAATTTCCAATCTACAGTGAATGCCTGTCAAGAGAAGAAGCAAAGTAGAGAACAAGGAAAAATTACCACATTATAATAGATACAAAGATTTAAAAATTAAAGTAATTCTCGTGTGTGCTGTGTAAATGTACATATGTATATATGTGTACATGTATATCTATAATTTTATATAATTATTTGGTTCACCAGAATGGAGATCATTTGAATACTTTCAAACATATTTTAGATATTTACATGTTTCATATGTTATAGCAGAGACTTGAGTGCACCTAAAACCTTATGAATTGGTTAAATGAACATATGCTATCAATGCACTGGGCTGAATTACCACTGGATACTATTAACAAGTAAATATTACAATATTTGTGAGATATTAATTAAAAACTTATGAGTTTACCATTTCAGACTTAAAGATTTAGTTTCTCTCTCCCCCTATGTGTTTGTATATGTGCAATTTCTATGACTTAAGGACAAAGTATCATATTTGAAAGGGAATGGGGTAAATCAAGGGAGAGAAAACCTCCACCTATAACTTTGATTACTAAGCAAATGTAAGAGAATCTCATAAGCACATTACAGTCTGTCACTGGATGATTACATTTACAAAGCAATATTTAGATTAAAACAGATGTTCAAAATGAAAATAAATAAAAGTTCAAATTACCAGGTATTGGAGTAAATTGTGAATTATCAATAGATAAATTTAAGCTGACTTATATAGATGCTATCTGCCCATTTTATTACTAATTCAACCACATTCTTTGTATTGGTAACAAGATATATTATGGAATTTTTTTCATTTAAATGTTTTAATGGAAGTTGTATATAAGGTTACTTCATTCTTTCATCTTCTCAATTGTTTCTTCCTTATATTTGCCCTTTCCTTTCCTACTTGGTAAGATTTTGCTTTCCATTCTAGGATCTTTTTCCAGTTTTTGTCTAGTTTCAGCCTGGTGTTAACCACCTTAGTGGGGTGAATGCGCACGTGGACAGTGGTGCCCCAAATTGCCTTTTCCTACTGTACCTGGTACCTGGTCAAAGTAGATGACATACTTCTTCGTGTAAATCTAAACCACTTTGCCAATCTGCTCACCTTTATAAGTGTATTCAAAGAACTTGTACCTCATCATCCTTTCATTTGGGCATAGATCACATATTATACTTCTGTTTCAGCTGGTTTTCTTGGAGATAGAGAGTCTCATGGACTTTCCTGCTCGGGCTGGTTTTGAACTGAGATCCTGAGATCTCAGCCTCCTGAGTAGCTAAGATTACAGGCCTGAGCCAATGGCACCTGGTTTAAAGTGGGTCAAGATAACCTTGATGACTGCAATCATGATTTATAAAAAATATCTAATCATGAGAAGAGTGCAGCTGAAATCAGGAAAGCAGCCCCTTTTGTAATAGCTCCACAAAAAATAAAATACTGAGGCATAAACTTAACTAAAAGAAGTGAAGGACCTCTATGATGAAAACTTTAAAAACCTGAAAAAGAAAATTAAAGCAGAACTAAGGAAGTGGAAAAACCTCCCATGCTCCTGGATTGGGAGGATTAACATGGTGAAAATGGCAATACTGCCAAAGGTTATCTACAAATTCAATGTGATACCTATCAATATCCCAACCTCATTCTTCATGGAAATAGAAGAAGCAATCAAAAAATTCATATGGAACAATAAAGATTCTGAATAGCAAAAAACGATCCTTAGCAGAAAGAACAGTGCTGGAGGAATATCAATACCAGACTTCAAACTCTACTACAAAGCCATCGTAATCAAAACAGCTTGGAACTGGCACAAGAACAGACCTGAAGACCAATGGAAAAAAACTGAAGACCCAGAAATGAACCCACAGACCTATGGCTAACTAATCTTTGATAAGGAAGCCAGAAAAATAGAATGGAAGGAAGACAGCTTCTTCAATAAATGGTGCTGGCAAAACTGGTTAAACACCTGTACAAAACTAAAGCTAGATCCTTATATATCACCCTATACCAGAATCAACTCCAAATGGATCAAATACCTCAAAGTCAAAGCAGACACCCTGAAAACATTACAGGAAGGAATAAGAGAAACTCTAGTGCTCCTTGGCACAGGCCAAAATTTTCTTAATAAAGACCCAGAAACAACAAATCAAAGAAAGGTTGGACAAATGGGATTGCATGAAACTAAAGAGCTTCTGCATGGCAAAGGACATGGCTAGTAAGATCAATAGGAAGCCCACGGATTGGGAGAAGATCTTCACTAGCTATACAACAACAAGGACCTCATATCTAAAATATACTTAGAAGTCAAAAAATTTAATTCTCCAAAAACAAAATCTCAAAGAAACAACCACCCCATCAACAAGTGGGCCAAAGACTTAAAGAGAGACCTCTCTGAAGAGGAAATAATGTCTAATAGACACATGAAGAAATTCTCAACTTCTCTAGCCATAAAAGAAATGCAAATCAAAACAACATTGAGATTCCACCTCACCCCAGTTAGAATAGCTATACTCAAGAAATCTAATAACAACAGATGCTGGATGGGATGTGGCCAAAAGGGAAACCTACTGCATTGTTGGTAGGAGTGTAAACTTGTTCAACCACTCTGGAAAGCAATATCAAGATTCCTGAAAAGACTACACATAGACCTCCCCTCTGATCCAGCAATCCCACTTTTGGTTATATACCCAAATGAAGACAAACATGGCCATACTAAACTACCAGCATAACTATGTTTATTGCAGCATTATTCACCATAAATAAGATATGGAACCAACCTAGATGCCCCTCAGTAGATGAGTGGATCAATAAAATATAGTATAGATACATATATATGTCTATATATATGAAATTCTATGCTTCCAGCAGAAAGAACAACACAGCCTCATTTGTTAGGAAATGGAAAGACTTGGAAAAAATCCTATTAAATGAAGTAACCCAGTCCCAAACAAATTTAGGCCCCATGGTTTCTCTTTTCTGCATTAATTAGTATATGTATAATCTTATCAGATGAGCTGAAAAGCTCAAACACTATGTACATATGATCATATAAGTGGATGCTAAGTAAAATCAACCCCAAGATATGAACACAAGAGGTCTGTCTTTGTTGTTGTTGTTTTAAATGTACTAAGTGATTTTTTTTTGTTTCCTTTGTATGTTCTTTGCCCTATGGTATATCCCCTGTTGTCACTGTACTTGATTATGGTACCTTCATCTTATAAATACATTTGTCTAATCTGGGGAGGGGAAGGGGAATAACAAAACACTGAAACAGGGACACAGGATGACCCGTTGCAACAACAAGAGCCACGGGACAGTATTCTTTACAATAAAACTTTAAAAAATCGAATTATGGACTATTAGTAATTATTTGGACATACAGATGTACTACTTCTGGTTGCTAAAATGCTATGTATATATAATGTTTCTTTTATCTCAAAAACCCTGTTTTTAACCATTAGTTACATACTAGTAAAATTAATGCAATCTTGAGACAGAAGGAAAACATAAAAGAGACGGAAGACTTGAATGTATCTCTATTGACAATAAAACTATTTGTTTATTATTTATTTATTTGTGACAGTATTGGTCCTTGAACTCAGGACCTGAATGTTGTTCCTGAGCTTCTTTTGATCAAGGCTAGTACTCTATAACTTGAGCCACATCTCTAATTCCAGCTCTTCCTAATTATAGTTTATTGGAAATAAGAGTCTCGCTGACTTTTATGCCCTCACTGGCTTTGTACTACAATCCTCCGAGTTTCCTGAGTAGCTAGGATTACAGGAGTGAGCTACCACCATTCTGTTTAATAAAGCTATTTCAAGCTGGATTTTAAATGTAATCACTTCAATCATAAATAAAATAAAAATAAATAAATAAACCAACATATTTCACCATATGTATATGTTTATGGCCTGGAATTTTCTATTTAAACAAAGTATTTAATGTAGGAATGGTAGAGAGTTTAAAAATACAATACGCTAAAGTAACTATACAAATTTCTACCTCAAATTATTAATTGATTGTCTATCAGTAACTTAATTTTTTTGTTAAGAGGAATCTTTGAAGAAGAGTAGGATTCTTTTCGTTTTTTAATTTTTATTTTAAAAGTAATTTCAGACTTTTAAAAAGTTGTAGAAAAAAATACTAGTAGTTCCTGCATATCCTTTACCCACCTACCTAACTGCTGCTATTACTGGTGCTATTTTGAAGTGCCAAATTATTGCTGCTGTTGACATTATTAAGAACACTTATTTAGAAGCTATGTGCTAGGTACTTTTAAACACAGAATATTGCATTCAACTCATACAATGCTCTCACATGAAGGGTAATATCCACATTCTTTGAGGAAACTAAAGTACCAAAATAATAAGTAACATGCTCAAGTTCACAGCCAATAAATATTAAACAATGACTTGAACTGAATGCTGTCTAGTTTCAAAGCTTATCATTTCTTATTTTTCACTTAGTACCTTACTGTAAGTATAGGTTTCATATCCTATGTTATTTAAAGGATTTAAGTGACATATTACTCTAAGTACAGTACCCTATCCTTTTTTATGTTAAAGAATTTTAAATAACTAACATTTATTTTAAAAGGTATAAATCCTTTCAGAACATAGTCTATTTCATCCTACTCAAAGGAAAAAGAATTTCTTTTCAGCCTCAAACATTTCCTGCTCAAGATAATGAAAAGCTGGTAATCTCAGGCAAATTTCTCTTAATGTACTATTATAAATGATCATTTGTTTTCCTTTCTTTGAACCTACTGTTAGCTCACAACTAGCTCACAACTAGTTCACAACTAGCAGCTACTCAGCAGATACTCCAATCAGCAAGAGGTATACTAAATAAAGTACAAAAGATAAGCCTGTAATTCTAGCCACTCAGGAGGCTAACATCTGAGAATCACAGTTCAAAGCCAGCCAGGGAAGGAAAGTCTGCCTGTATCTGCTATACAGAAAAAGCTGAAAGTGGTACTGTAACTCAAGGGGTACAGCACTAACCTTGAGTCAAAGAAGCTCATGGACAGCACTCAGGCCAAGAGTTCAAGCTCCAGGACTGCCCATCCCCCCCCCCAAAAAGGAGGTTTAAAACACAGACGAATATAATCTTTTTTTTCATTAAAAAAAATGTGCCTGATGGTAAGAGAAAAACAAAGGAAGGGCTAACAATGTTCAAGAGGAAATGTACTCATTACCTTACTTATGTAACTGTAAACCCTCTTTACAGTATCTTTACAATAAAAATATATTTAAATAAAGAAAATTTATCTGATTCAGGTGGCTCATGCCTGTAAGTTTAGCTACCCAGGAGGCTGAGATCTGAGGATCGCAGTATAAAGTCAGCCTGGGCAGGAAAACTCATGCAACTCTTATCTCCAATTAACTATGCAAATACTGGAAGCGGAAATGAGGCTCAAGTGATACAATACTTCCTTGACCACCAAAGCTCAGGGAGAACTACAATACTATCCTTGGCCAAAAAAGCTCAGTGAGAGGGCCCTAGTCTTGAGTTCAAGCCCAATACCAACACCAAAAATAAATAAAATAAAATAAGATAAAATATTGGAAATTTTAAGCATAGTTGACAACTTTCAGAATAGGATTTTAATAGCTAAGTAAATCCAAGCAAGGGCTGACAAAAATGAGATTGGATCAGAATAAAAGGCTTCTTCACAGCAACACAAATAGTCACTAGAATGAGAAAGTAGCCTATAGAATGGGAGAAAAACCTTTGGAAACTATATATCTGACAATGGGTTATATAAGGAATTCAAAAAATAAAATACAAAAGAACTCAAAACCCAATTCCAAAACAACCAACTACCCAATTCATAAGTAAACAAATGAATTGAAAAGCAATTTTCAAAAGAAGGTGGGTGCTGATGGCTAGTTACCCAGGAGGCTGAGATTTGAGAATTTGTTTTCAAACTGCAGTGCTCCTGTCAGCCAGCGAAGGAAAGTCCATGAGACTTACATACAGTTAACCACCAAACAATGGAAGTGGAGGAATAAAGTTGCATAGTGCCACTGGAAAAAAAAGCTAAGTGGCAATCCCTGAGCCCCAAGTTCAAGACCTGGTACTGCCACAAAACAACAACAAAAGAAGAAATGGCTAGTAAATATACAAAAAGATGTTCAATATCCTGTCCAAGAAGAAAATGCAAATCAAAATTACACTGAAAGTCCATGTCACTCCAATCAGAATGGCTATCAGGAAGAACACAAACAATTGTTGGTTGAGTATCTGAGGAGGAGCCCTCAAGACAATTCACAGGAACGTAAATTAGTGGAACCACTATGTGAAAAACTAAAACCAAGAACAAAAACAATAGAGCTACCATATGATCAGTGATAGCAGTATTGGGCATATATCCAAAAGAGTATAAATCAATATACAATAGAGACTACTGCACATGATTTTTATTGCAGTATTGTTGTAGGACTGTTTGCAGGGACTGTGGAGTGGAAAAGATGGGGGAAAGGTGAATAATATCAACATACATCATATGTGTGGATGAATACAATATATAAGAAAACACACTGACAGAAGGGATGGAGGAACAGAACAATAGAAGGAGTTAATCTAATTGAAGTGCAATATATGCATTTGTGAAATGTCATGATGAAACCCATAAGTACAACACAAGAGAAAGAGAGAGAGACATCAATGCAGCCATTTGTTTACCTTTCGAGCAAAGTCCCCTTTTCCTTTACTGTAGGCTTTGTTCTCAAGAAAATCGTATACATAGTGAGCCAGAGCTGGGGATGCTTTCATCATTTCAGGTGTTAATAGCAACTAAAAAGATGGAAAAGGCATTTTGAACTGATAACTACTACTTATACTTTATAAAAAGTTAAGAATATGTAATAAAATTTTAACCTTATACTTAAAAACAAAATTACAAGGTTAAAATGAAATTATCAATTGTATAGTTATACTGAGTTTGATGTATATTCTCTACATATGGTATTTTGATTTTCAGAATATATGTGTAAGTTGCCTAAATATATTTATTATTCTAGTTTCTGATATAACACATTAACTAAAGAGCCACATTAAAAAACTGTTATACAGGACTGGGAATGTGGCTCAGTGGTACAGTGCTTGCCTTGCATGCAAGAGGCCCTAGGTTCTATTCCTCAGCACCACATAAGTAGAAAAAGCTGGAAGTGGTGCTGTGGCTCAAGTGGTAAAGCACTAGCCTTGAGCTGAAGAGCTGAGCTGAGGGACAGCGCCCAGGCCTAGAGTTCAAGCCCCATGACCAACAAAAAACAAGAACAAAAGAAAAAACCCCAAAAAAACAACTGTTATACAAAATATAGTTAATATTAAATAGAATTTTATGAAACAATGTATACAAAAGAATCCAAAGAAAATTTTTCAGATGTTATAAAGAAATTTTAAGTGAGATACTGCTTTTAAAACTACAAATGAACTTAACATTGCTTATAATTGCTTTCAATACAACCAATGAGTTCATGAGCTAAACAGTATACAGTACAGCCACATTCAAAAGATATGCTTAACAGATTTGGAAAAGGATCATCATCTTCAATTAAACTGAAATATATAAAAAAAAACTATTCAACAAGAGCCAAATATCTGACATTCAGCTCTAAGCCAAGAAAGGACAATGATGGATAAGAGCAGATATTTATGTATTTCTATGGTCCTTTTTATTACACAATAAGAATATGGAATTCTAATAATGATTTAAACACAAGTTATCTAAGCAGTGTTCAATATTCTTTTCAGTATATTTGTAAGTTCTAAGGTAGAGGTCAGAAAACTTTTTCTGAGAGAGGCAAGTAGTAGCAATTACTTTAGGTTTTATAGTTCAGAGTCTTCCCTTCCACTCTACTATTTATAAAAGAAGCCATAGTAGCTGGCATCTATAGCTGTTCATACCTTTTGTAGAGTAGACAGAGCTAAATAAGGGAACACTATAGACCTTAGCTGCTGCCTTGACTAATACAAGTAAAACTCTGTAAGTTATTACTTCATTTAAAAAATTGTAAAATGTTATTAATATTGTATCTACAATATGGATACGCAGGTGTAAAAGAAAGTTATTTCTGGGAATTCTAACAACTTATGCACTAAACAACTTATGAGACATTCCTCAAGAGAAAACTACTATATTTTAAAAATAGTTTTTCAGATAAATCCTTCTCTTGAATTATTCTGTAGCTTTAGAAGCCTTAATTCTGGGCTATGACAGGCAACAATACACATTTATGTGGGAATAAAAATTTATTAGTTTTTCAAGTGAGCTTGTTAAAAACTGGTTTAGGCAGGTGAAAAGGAAGAATGAGGGAACATGATCAGGAGAATGATAGAGGGAGAAAACGTGATCAACATACACTCTGTGAATGTTTGGTCAAAATAAAAGCCCCTTGTAAAACTAATTGGTTATAATAAACACATAAGTGAAAATCTATTGGGCTTTGATATAACATGAAATGCTACTACTATACAATGAATTAGGAATGTTCAATTTTTAGTCTATCAAAAAGTACCTGCATTTTACTGTAATTTGTAAAAAGTTATGTGTGGATTTATCTAAACATGGAGCTGCAAAATCTCTTATACTACGTGATTAGAAAATTTCTAAGTTAATCAGTAAACACAGTTTATAATGTTTATAAATAACTGACTAAACTGTATGTCATGTCACATTTGGCACACTACTCAAAAGTGGTTATGTTCCTCCTGATATGGTAAAAATGTTATTTTTAATTATGGTTATTTTTTAAATAAAAGTTCCAAAAGAATGTGACACATATGTTCTATCACTGAGCTTCTAATCCCCTAATATTATTTGATAAAAAATTTTGCACAGTGGGCTGGGAAGGTGGCTCAGTGGTAGAGCGCTTGGCTTGCATGTTTGAAGCCCTGGGTTCAATTCCTCAGCACCACATAAGCAGAAAAAAAAATTTTGCACTGTTATATCAAACAAAATCTACCAGAAATAATAAATATGGACTTACCTGTAAATATGCATTTAGATCCTTTTTCCTTTTTTCCAAAAAATCTCTATCCATATTATTGAAAGTCCTTTTACCAGGAAGCTTCAATATACTTGACAGATTTTCAAACTATAAAGACATAATATAATCAACAGTTCTTCCATGATTTTACAAAAATACAATTCTTCATGACAATTTCTCAACATATCAAAAATCAGAAAATATTATCCAGATATACCCAAAATACTGTTCTAATATTTATTAATTACAAGAAATTAAGAGTGACAAATATAAATAAAGAAAATGTATATTGGCCATATATGGTTTCATATATAATCATAATAGTTATGAGATTTACTATTTACATGATAAAAGTCACAAGAAACATTTTTCTTAATCTTTTGACTTGTAAGTTATTAATATGTAAAAATTTGCTTGGTGCCAATGGCACCACAACAGTAATCTGCATGCTTAGCTCAAACATAGGATTTTAACCATGCTAACTCTACTTAAGAATTTAAGAGCAAAGCCATTTCGCTATGACTGTGCCCGGCCAAGAGGCAGTGACTGGAACTTTTAACATTTTCCTTGCTTTTCCCATGTGATGCACACTGAAGTAAAACAAACTTGAAAGAAAAAACATTTTTTTCTTCAAATAACAGCAATACTTTCAATAAAGAAAAACAATTCCTAATAAGGAGAGTGAAAGCAAGAGATACTGACATTAGGTCTACTTTTCAATTCTGAACTGTTAGATTCGGAAGAATTATTAAACGAAAACTGATACTTGGACTGGGAGAAGAAAATTTCAAGCAGTATAGTATCTGCCTCAAATTCTGATGGTTACTTTGAAATAAAATGCAAACAAGTACATTGTATGGTGTGTGTGTGTGCATCTAGTACATTGTATGGTGTGTGTGTGTGTGTGTGTGTGAGCGCGCGCGCATCTAGTACATTGTATGGTGTGTGTGTGTGTGTGTGTGTGTGTGCGCGCGCGCGCACCCGCGGGTATCTGTCCAAGCCAAGGGTGAGGCCTCAGGAGAAACTGACTCTGACAGCACCTGAATCTTGAACATCTAGCTTCTAGAAATGGAAGAAAGTAAATTCTTGTGTGTTAGCTACATATTCTGTGGCATTTTGATATGCCAGCATCCGTTATAGCATCCGTTAAAACAATAATTCTAGAAACTAAATCTTTTAAAAAAGCCCTGAACAATATAACAAAGTCAGTCAAGATTTTCAAGACAATCTTTCTTTGTTCTTATATATCTGAAACAAAAATGTAAGTTTGTTCCTAAAATATTATTATGCTAAAAGTAAGAATCAGGAAATTTTATACTCTATATTAACTCATCAAAATATTATACGAGCAAAGGAAGGAGTGACCTTCTCTAAAAGGAAATGTACTCTTGCCTGCCTTATGTAACTGAAACCCCTCTGTTTTTAGAATTTTCAAATAAAAATAATGAAAAAATTATGGGAATATGTTTCTAAAGCATTTAAAAGAAATTAGAAATTTACAAAAAAAATCTAAGGATTCACAAAAATTAGGTCAGAATGTGAATGTTTACAAAGGATGCAAATACTACATATAAGTCACAGACATTCTAAATTCAAAGACTGTGTGTCTACATTAAGCATATGAGGTTTAGATTCTTAATATAAAATTTTAAAGAGCTAGTCTGAAATTCAAAATTTGTAATATTCAATCATATAAACTTTTACTGTTTCATTATATATAACACTATTACTTAAATCACTAGTATTTTATATATACATAAAATATTACACCCAATAAAACAAAGATTCAGTATCTACAGAATGTATACTCTTACAGGCAAGGACTTTGCCTGTCGTGTTCATTATTATTTTTTAACAAAAGTGTCACATACACAGGAAAACCAAAACAATAAAGAAACAAGTAAAAAAGGGAGGCAGGTGAGGCTGTTTTTAAAAGCATAAGACATTTAAATATTTAATTGTTTTCCTTTAATTTTATAACCCCATGAAATATAAAATTACACGATTAAATTCTTTGGGGAAATAATGTATTGTTCATATATTTAAACAGGGAAAAAGCACATTGTTCATTGTTTCACTCACAAAGTGAAACAAAATGAAATCTGCTTTAAAATCATTTATGGGCTCTTTGGAGTTGCTTTTTTTGATGTTGTTTGCACTGTTTCCAACTGCTGAATTAGAAATCTTCTGTAACACTGTTCAAGTTAAAAACATGCAGATTAGGCAGACTCAAAGGCAAACAATTTTTATTTACAGATGCATATAATATGAAAAAACCTAGTTTTCATCTATAGGCTTAGTTGTTAATTTCTTAAGCTCTGAAACAATCTAAACAGCAATCAATCATAGCTACTATTACTTTAACAGAAATACTAAGTCAAGCACGCTCACTTCACCTGCACTAAACCTTTTGGAAAACTATACTACTGTAAAAGTTTTGATGCTATAGTGAAAATGGAAATGTCTCTAAGTGCTGACTTATAAACCAAGTCATTAAGTTCTTCATTTACACTTGTCTATATAGAACATAATATGTACATCCCTTTGAACATTTAAAATAAAAATGTTATTCTTAGAATAAAAATTACAACTATTTGCAAATAAATACTTAAAATAAAATTCACATTATTTAATATTAAGTAAAACTAATTTTAATTTAAAAAGCCTTGAGAATATAATTGGTCAAAATAGTTGAATGAGAAGATATATGAGCTATATCTAAGCACTAAAAACAATTCTCAAATAGGAAAAAAGCAATTATTTCTTCAGTGCTTGTCAGAAAATTATTTTACTTCACAAAGCAAGGTGAACATAAAAACTTTATGATAACATATAAACATCCCTGTCCAAAATTATTAATTTCCTTATGAATATAAATCAAACTCTTATTGTTCATATGGAGGCTTATTAGTCAAAAATGACCTGACTTTATTCATTTTGAGCTATTAATGATGTCACTCTACATACACAATATTTTCATGAGATTATCATGGTACAGATTATATTTTTCTATTATCTTAACTGAAATTTTATTTCTGAAGTGTTCGATATCATCTCAGAATTTTATCATCCAATAAGGCATCATATTTATTACTTTTATTGGTTTAATACAATTTGTATATCTAAGGGAATGAATGACTTTTAAGAGTTGAAAGTAAGCTTCAGAGATCATCTATTCAACTTCACCTGGTATTTTTTTCTAAGTTGAATAAAATATTCAATCAAAAAAATAAGAAAAACAGTGTCTTTGTATTTGATAGCTTTAAAAGACCTAGCTGAGAACTGAGCCAGCCTGGGCAAATAAATTCTCAAGACACTTACTTCTAATTAGCCAACAAAAAGTTAGAAATAGACGTTCAAGTGGTTCAAGTGGTAGAGCTCTAGCTACAAGGAAAAAAGTGGAACAAGAACATAAGGCCCTGAGCTTAAGCCTCAGTACTGGTGCGCGCACGTGCACACACACACACCCCAAAAACAAACTTGTCAGATGCCAGTGGTTCATGATTGTAATACCAGCTATGAAAGAGAATGAGTTTTGGAGGAAGGCAAGTTGATGCCAGCTTAGCAGAAAATTCCGGAGAGATTCCATCTCCAAAATAACCAATAAAAAAAAGGACAGGTGACATAGCTCAAGAAGTAGAACACCAGCTGTACAAGAAAGTCAAGTAAGTATGAGGCCCCGAGTTCAAACTCTTGTTCCAGGAAAAAAAGTGCTTCAAGTTACTGTTACATATTAGAAAATTATATACATTAAGAATTAAAAACGTTATCTGATTAATAAGTTTATTTTAGGATGTAGTTCATAGCAAGTGCAGCAATGGTACTAAGATTTAACAGTTACACTGTTACGGTGTGAAATAAGAGGTACATACCATTCACAAGTATGCTCTGAATTATGCTTCCATACAAAAGCATTAAAATTCCCTATAGCAATCCCATCTCTACTTCAAACCAAACACCTCTGGCAAAGCAAGCATATAAACACACATTAAAAAATATGCATATATCAGAAATATTTCATTAAAATTTTCAAAATATACCACTGGTATTTTGTCACTAGTTCTCATGTTAAGAGTGATTTTACTGACTCTCATTCTCTTACACTTTCTCTTCATTGTTTTAATAGATCAAATTTTTAACACTAGATCTACTAATTACCCAAACTCAAAATATTTATGCTGCCTATATAAAATATTACCTTATTTTATCTCATTAACTTTAAGATCTGAACATTTCTTAGAGTACTTTAGTATGAAAATTATTATTATTATTTTTTGTCAGTAGTGGGCTTGAACTCTGGGCCTGTGTGTTGTCCTGAGCCCTTCGGCTCAACGTTAGAGCTCTACAACTTGTGTCACAGCGCCACTTCTGGTTTTCTGGTGGTTAACTGGAGATAAGAGTCTCATGCCCAGGCTGGCTTTGAACCACGATCCTCAGATCTTAGCCTCCTGAGTAGTTAGGATTACAAGCATGATGAGCCACCAGTGCCTGGCGATAACTAAATTTTTTAAAAAACCTTCATACCTGTTCGGTGATTCTCATGTGGAAATCATGGAAGTCGCTGTATCGCCGGTAAGTTTTCCACATCTCCTCAGTGTTCAAAGTGCGCCGGTGTACGGTGATAGCATACAAGGCATACGTCTTGCCATGATCATTACAAACGCCTGCCACAGCATATGGGTCATAGTCAGCACATACTAGTCATTCAAATCCAAACAAAGACACAGAAAGGAGGAAGATGAAGAACAGAAACAAAAAAGGTCAACATGAAATGAAGAAGAATGTGAAATGACAGACGGCGACAAAAGGATGAAGAATAGGCTCCTGGATTCTGTACTCACATGTACAGCTGTAAAAACCAATTGCTACAATAGAAGACAGCTATCAACATTAAGATGGTAGTGTCCACCACAAACTGATGTCTATGTACTTTGTATTCTCTTCCCAAGAGCCACTGTGGATTACTAGGAATATTACTGCAGCACAAAGTGGGAGTGCAGCAGTTGGAACTTTTAAGTTTGAGGAAACAACAAAGACACAATCAAACCTTTCACTAGCCTTCTCTAGTTAGCTATCCTTCAATTTAAATATGTTCAACTAAATAAAATAAGATTTTTCTCCTTGACATTCTGCTTTTCTCTGATAATTTCAACAATTAGGGATTTAATAACAAAATCACTTGCCTACTGATTTGCCACATACAAGTCGGGCAACTCATTAAGTCTTATTTTATACTAGTCTAAAATAAAAGAAATGAACTTTGATTCATCTTTGTTTTTCTTTTTTTCGGGTTGGTTGTGAGGCCTGGGCGCCGTCCCTGAGCTCTTTTGCTTAAGACTAGTGTGCTATCAACTTTGAGCCACAGCTCCATTTCTGGTTTTTTGGTGGTTAATTGGAGAGTCTCATGAGCTTTCCTGCCTGGGCTGGCTGTGAACCACAATCCTCAGATATCGGCCTCCTGAGTAGCTAGGATTGCAGGTATGAGTCACCAGCACTAGGCTTGATTCATGTTTTTAAGCTGTCTGACCTCACATATTTTGTCCTCTGTTTTAGGTCTCTAAAAGTTACTGTCTTCCTCTTACCTGTGTCTAGATAATTTTCTTATCCATCACTTATATGAATTCTGTCTTATTTGGTTTGTTTTTCTATCATTTATTCTTATATATATTTTATCTTCATGATTTTTTTCTGAAAAGTGTTATACTGGGGTTTTAACTTGGGTAAATATTACAATTTGAGCTATTCCCCATACTTTTTAACTTTATTTTACAGGGTCTCAAATTTTGTACTGTGATCTTGACTTGAACTGTGATCTTCCCACCTACACCTCCTACATAGTTCACATTACAGATATGTTTCATTTTGCTCAACTTGTCTGTTGAGATGAGGGTCACAGTAAGTTCTTGCCTCGGGTGGCCTTGAATCCCCCCAAATAAGTGAGATTATGACTTGTGTCACAATACCTGGCTCTATTTATGAATATTTTAAAAACAAATTATATTAAGATTTTTCATCTCTAGTTTCTTAGAACACAATTTATCCCATATGCTGATTCTGTTAACTCTCCTTTAGTGTAGTTCCTATTTACTCCTGGGACTTTTGCTTTCCACATCCTATCAATGGGTATTGCTTCTGTCTGGGCATTCTGAGTACCCTGAGCTATGGGCAAATTTACAATGACCAGTATCACCACTATAACTGCTGGTTTCCATGGTTCTGAAGCTATTTTTGTAGAGTTGGTTCTCTGTATCCTGTGGTCTATTTTTTCAATAAACCATACACTGAAAATACCTTTAAATGTTTTTGTACTGAATACCTATAGACATTTTTCCTTGACATTATTCTATAGCTAATAGAGCAAACAAATATTTATGTTGCATACACCTTTATAAGAGGAGCTTAAAAGATGCTTTTATTAAAAAGTACCAATTTAACTAAAATCAGGAGAAAAGCTTCATATCCCTATATCCATTCTATATGTGTCTGCTCTAAGCCATTCTCTCTGCAGTCATTTTGTAGTAGCCATAGGATCTAGGAAAGAAAAGACTGATAATATCTTCATGAGAAAGGACCTAAACTACATATAAGGAACAAGATGGCCTCCTCAGGACAGGTCATTCATGTAACACTGATGACTGGGGTATCTCGACCATTGATGTCAGTGATAGATAGCTACTTCTCTAGAATCTTCTTAAAGCAGAGTGAAATAATGAAAAAGCCATTGTTTGACGAGGACTGTTAGAAAATTATACATTCATCCATCTTCCTGCCCCCAATTCTTAGTCCATAAAATTTGAAACTCATGTTTGTACCATAAAGATGGTTGACTTGTCTTCTCATGGCATTCTGTGCCAGGTAATAAACCTCCTTTCTTTGTCCTTTACTATGTCTCTGTCATATATGGCAGCATGGCAGGACCTGACATGTGAAACTCCTGTGATTTGGGATAGAGGTGTAAAAATTCCTCTTTCAGTTTTAACTATTACAGTAATACCTATAGTATTACAAGTACTATCTACATTGTATAAGTAACTTGTAATAATGTAGGTATTGTAATACCTAGTGTAGATTCTCTCTAAATTACTTGTAATCTAGAGATGATCTACAGTTTATAAGAGGATATGTATATGTTACATGTAAATATAGTAAAAATATATATATATATATATATTTTGGGGGGGGGGTACGGTCGTGGGGGCCTGAATTCTGGGCCTGAGCACTGTCCCTCAGCTCTTCAGCTCAAGGCTAGCGCTCTACCACTTGAGCCACAGTGTCACTTCTGGCTTTTTTCTTTTTGCTTATGTGGTGCTGAGGAATCGAACCCAGGGCCTCACGCATGCAAGGCAAGCGCTCTACCACTGAGCTACCTTCCCAGCCCCTAAATATGGTATATTTTTATGGATTCTATTAATCTGCATAGGGCCTAGAAGCAAAGTCCCACAAATACTGGGGAACAACTGGACTTATTCACTGGCTGAAGACTATGTGATATTCAGTCACTAAACTGAATCAGACAGCTAAATCTGGCCACACACATATTAGGTAACAAAGTGGGTTTTACTTTTTGTGTGATAACATTAAGTTTTTCCCCATCAAGCTGCCCTTTGTGACTTATGATTTATGTAAAGGACTTGTTTCCAGCTTCCTATGTTCATCCAAACTTGAAAGCAACCAAGTGCTATCAAAATCAAAACATCAGTCTTTATGCTCCTATGACCTTTAGCTTCAAGCTTCTTTACCTCCCAGAATTTTTTTCCACAGTCTATAGCAGCTGTCAATTTCCTCTTTTACCATTTTCACAATATTGTTTGTAGCCTATTCAATTGTGGGAGGCAGGATTTCCCTAGCAATTTAGCCAGCCACATTGACCAGATGTCAAAGATGATCTAAAAATGTATTATTGTGCTGACACATAATCATGAAAAAAAAGTGCACAAGTTTTAGAGCTGACTAAATATTTTGCTGTTTTATAAGTAATTACACAAAAGGACCTTCTATGTAGCTTCTTGGTAAATTGTTTTAATGACATGAAAGTCTGATATCTATATTGGTAAGAATAGGTGAATGACAAGCTTCTCTTCACCTTTCACCAGAACTTTTCAGTTTTATATTTTTGGTTCAACTTGTAATCCTAGCAACTCAAAAAGTTGAGAGCTTAGGATCATGGTTTAAAACTAGCCTTAGCCAAAACGTCTGTGAATCTCTTAATTCCAATTAACTATCAAAAAGGCTAGAAATGTAGCTGTGGTTCAAGTGGTAGAGCACTAGCATTGAGCATAAAAGCTCAAAGACAATGCCTGGGCCCTGAGTTCAAGGCCCAGGACTGGCATAAAAAAAATTGCACTTCACTAAAAAATTGTCCTGCATTCCTTTTCCATTAATACCAGTGTTTCTATTAGGGAAGAAAGGAGAAAGAAGGGGTCAGGGGAGAAGAAAGGGACGGAGGGCAAACAGAAGGACAAAGAACTAGACTTCGGCCATCTTGTTCCACCACAAAGAGTCTTTGACTGCATTCATTTTTCACCTCTTATAATCAACATTCTTGTGGGGACCTAGACAGATTGAGCATAATCCACCTATACTGTTAGAAAGCCACGGTTTCTAAACAGGATTGAGATGAGAACAAGGGAATAACTTATCAGGTATGTCCAAGACAGGTTTGGAAAAGGAAATAGAAAACAGGAGGCTGATTAGGCAGCTGGACATAATCAGATGTTAACAAGAATAAGGGGAACAACAAGTAATAGGAGAAAAAGAGTAAGGTAAGAAAGCATTAACAACAACAACAAAATGATCTACAAAAAATGCAAACTATGAGATCATGCAGTTGTACATACAACAGGAATAATAAGGAAGATGCTAGTTTTAAAATGCACAACAGAGAAATGTCATTTAATTTTAACAGAAGATAACAAGGCTACATGTATTGACTGGGACAAGACAGTGACATATCTAGATGATTTTGTTTGCTTCAAATAGGCCAGTGCTATTCATGACAGGTTATCTGAAAGCCATTTGTTATTAATCCACAAGTAAGTAAGTAACTAACACCAGGTATTAAACCAGCCTCATCACTAATGCCACTGCTTAATTTATAGAACATTTTAATTTTATTGATTTTATTAACTTTTTGAACTGAGCTATGTTTATTTCTGAAGGGTGTGCTTTCAGCCAAAACTCTGGCAAGCAAGCACACAGAACAGGCAGGTTGCTCCTTTTTACCCTTATGTCAGCCAGCTCTGCCTCCCCTCGACTTCACTGAGTTCAGGGCTACAATATGCTTATGATTGGCTATTTAAGTGGGTATGATAGATTTACATAAAGTAATACTCACACCCTGTGCAATTCTCCCAAAATATTTGAGATGTGTCTTAGTTCTACTTCCAAGTAGCTACACCCAATTAAGGAAAAAACCTTACATTTCACAAGTCCTTCCTCAGCCCAAAGCATTTCCTCTTTCCAGTTCTTTACTTGCTGATAATATCTCAGCAGAATAATCAACAGACGCCAAGCCACTCCACCAAAGTTAATATCTCAGCAGAATAATCAATAGATGCCAAGGAGGTCAGCTCTGACCGGTGCCATATTAGTCACATGGTTAGATGATTGATTCTGGCATCTTGTCTTCATGCTGGAGGAAGGAAACTCCCTGCCCATCACCAGTCTCCCAGCTGATGCATGCCTGGATCCCTGGAGGCAGGGGTGGGTACTAGGCTGATAGGTTACTGAATCTGTCAGTCTAGTACCTGGGACTGGGAATTTCCTGTGGATCTGCACCCTTGCCTGATCTGGCTACTTGCAACTGTTGTTAAGGTGAATCATCCCAGAAGCTGCATTTTAAAATATAAATGTTGGAGTCTTTATTATACAGTTAACAGGCTGCAGGCTGCCAGTTGTTACAAAGACCTGCAGCACACAAATACACATAACACATCTAGGAAATGGCAAAAAGGAAAGAAATAACAAAAACAATACCAACAAGCTCCAATGGAGACCTGAATTTGGACACCATGATGACTGGAAATGAGCCAGGAGACAGGACACAATCACAGAGACACACGTGGCATGGTGTCCTGGTTTCGATGTTGATCGGACAGGGAGCAGATTCTCAGGAAATTGCCAGTCCTAGGCACTGGACTGAAAGATTCAGTAACCTATCAGCCAAGTGGCCACCCCTGCCTGCAGGGATACGGGTACGCCCATCATGTGGGAGGCAGATGATGGGCAGAGGGGTTTTCTTCCCCCCTGCATGAAGACAAGATGCCAGACCCTGCCATCCACCATGTGACCAATATGGAGCCAGCCAGACCGGACCTCTTTACAACCTGCTAAATGTATAATAAAGACTCCAATACTCATATTCCAAAATGTGGCTTCTGGGGTGATTCAAAAAAATATTAACATTAGAAGCAGAGACCTAAAAATTTTCCTCTAGACAAGTTTAAAATCTCCAGGAAATGCAGGGTGCTGGTGGCTCACACCTATACTACTAACTATTCAGGTGGCTGAGATCTGAGAATTGAAGCTTGACTTTAGCCAAGGAAGGAAAATCCATGAGACACCCATTTTCAATTCATCACCAAAACGCCAGAAGTAGAGCTGTGTCTCAATTGTAGAGTACTAGCCTTAAGCATAAATAAATACATATTAATAAAAATAATAAAGTAAAATAAAATCTCAGAAACAGCACCCAGGTCCAGGTCCTGAGTTAATGCCCTAGGACCAGCATTAAAAAAAATCCAGGAAATAAAAAGACAGAATAGTAAACATTTGAACCTTATCAAAGACTTTTGTAACCAGAAGAAAACCAACAGAATATAGAGAGTTTGAAAATAACTTTAAAAATTTACATAAAGAAAGAAAAAGACTTATTGGTACTATTGTAATCCAAAGATCTTTTATAGAGTAAAGTAGTCTATGTACCAACTACATATAAAAGATTATACTAGAAATCTGATAGGAAAGGGAATGTTTCTAGTAAGAAGGAAAAAACAAAAACAATCAAATAAAAAAATCTTAAAAAAATAAAAATTAGGAGTTTTAAAACCACACTTATACTATAATATTTGTTTATATCAAGGGGAAACAAAGGAGGAGGCAACAATGCTTGACAAGAAATGTACTCATTACCTTGCCCATGTAATTGTAACCCCTCTGTAGGTATTTTCACAATTAAAAAAAAAAAGATATGGTTAAAAAAAAAAGTAAGCATGAAATTGAATGGAGGTATATACTTCAGTATATTTTCACTTCAGTATGTATATGATAAACATGCTTCTGTATTTAAAGGAATAATTAAGAGGCCAGGTTAAAAAATTGTCATCATTTAATACTCATTAAACTCAGTGGTAATGACGGAGATTGGTAATAGTTTTCTGGTATGCTAACTGTTCTATATGCTGGTAGACTATAAAGCCCTAAAAGTCTCTAACCCTAATCAAGCATTTTGTGAACAGCAAATGCATACACTCAGTGGCTTTGTTTTCACTCTAATTACCTAGTCTAACTCTAGAAAGTAAATATTACCTGATAGCTCTCCCCAAAAGAGTAATTGTCAACTAGATTCAAATACAGAAAGAAAAACTCTGGCTTCGGAGTTTACTTAGGATAACAAAATAATTAGGATATAAGTGTTATAAATGTTAAATCATGGCAATCATAGGGAAGAAAATACTCAAATGAACAAGTAAAAAATAAGCAAAAAAAAACCAACACACAAATAGAATTTAATAAAGACTATGTTATCAAATAAAATATCTAACTTAAAAGTATGAATTTAAACAAATTGATTGTGAACGATAACTTAAGAGATGAATAATCAACAGCTTTAACCTCACACTTAAGACTACCAACTACAAAGTCTCTTACCAGTGTCTGAAATGTAAGCATGAAGTTGTACTGAGTCATCAGAAGATACATTTGAAAGGTCATCTAAAGACTGAAGAAAAAAATATCAGGATAACAATTTTTAAAAATTTTTAGGAAAATAGTCAAAGAATTCTCTATCAAATATACATTTATTCATACTCTAAGTATAAACAGTTTAGTATTTCCATTTTCCCACAGGTAAGACCTCTACATTTATATTAAAAACAGAGAAAAGCCAAGTTTTAGAGACCAATTAGGTATAGTAGTATATACTTATAATCCTAGCACTCAGGAATGTGAGAAGGCTGAGTCAGGCGGCTCTCAAGTGCAAGGCCAGCCTGAACTAAACAGTAAGATCTTGTCTCAAAAACTGAAACTTGAAACAAATTAAAATCCAAAATAATTTAGGAATCAAGATAATTTATCAGATTACCTTTTAGTCATCATCCATATGCTGCTAAATTTCTACTTTTTAATTATATTCAATAGATGGAAGAAAAAATAAAAAGCAGAACAAAAATAAGTAGCCATATTACTAATAATTTAAGTTTTTTAAACTGTCAAAATATACAATAATCTTTGTGCTCTGTAACTTGGCATTTTGTTTACTTAGAGTGTTCCCAGTTAATTTAATTGCTTGCTATAAATTTTATAGTATTTTTATCATGGTTATATGGATCATATAACATATGTAAAGTATAATATGCAAAATATTTTGTTAAAAACTGCCTATTATAGCCAGTATTAGTTATCATTATTTATTATTATTTACTAAATGAAGTGAATCCATACACTGAAATTTTTGTTGATAGAATTATTGTTCAAAGTATCATCTTAATTATAATTTTCTAAAATAATTTCACATGCCAGGTGCCAATGGTTCATGTCTATCCTAACTACCACGTAGGAGGCTGAAATCAAACCTAATTTGGACAAATAAATATTTGAAAATCTTCTCCATTTAAACAGCAAAGACTGAATGTATATCAAGTGATATAGTGGTCAGTAATGGATGAAAAGGCCTTGAGTTTAAGACCCAGTACCAGGACCAAAAAATAAGCTAAAGTAATTCCACAAACAAAGCCTATCACTGCTTGAAACAAATTAAATGAATTTAACTAAACACTTTGCTATGCTCACATGCAAAGAAGAAAACATAATCATATAAGTAAAGGCACACTGGGCAGTGTCAATATGCAGTCAAACTGCTCTTCGTGGAAGAAACTGCTTATAAGGTTGTCCTTTGGATAGCATCTGGTTTAAGAAAAGCTCCAACTATTCTCTAACTGATGACTGGCTTACTGTACCTAACACTGTTAAAACAAGATGGTTAATGCTCAATGCTTGGATTACTTCTGGGTCTAGAGTTTGAGATATAATAGAAACAACAGGTACAATCTCATCTTCTTCCAATAAAACCTATGCACTCCAATGAGTTTTGTTCTGGGAGGCAACACATCATGTTGTTATAACACATTGAGGAATTAAGCACATTTGTGTGATGTCCCTAGGACTTTTTGAAGCCTGTGCCTAGTTTTCTAGCCTTTTCTCTGTATGCCTTTTTCCTTGTTGATTTTGCGCGATATTCTTTCATGATAATAAATGCTAGTCATGGGTCTGAGTTCTGTGAGCCTTTTGAGCAAATTACTGAACCTGGAGTAGTTTGGGGACCTCTAACATACCAGTATTATATAATTTAGGCATATGCCATATTTTAAAAACTGTAAGATCTGAATGAGTTGTCTAACAAATTAATAAGACAAGAGTGACTTAAATGTAGACTTAATGTAGCCATCTTTATAATAAATGATATAAAGCTATTTAAACTAAAGTAACTGAAGCAAATTATGATCATTCCATATAGACATCTTGGCCAATTCAAGTGGTGGAATCATTATATGGACTTACTACAGGTTCTACTACTGATACTTTGAGAGACATTAAAAAAAAAACCCACTTCTTCTTGTATCTCATTTTTCCCAATGACAAAGTGGTGTTAATACTTGCTCTAGGGCTGGGAAGGTGGCTCAGTGGTAGAGTGCTTGCCTTGCATGCAGGAGGCCCTGGGTTCGATTCCTCAGCACCACATAAGCAGGAAAAAAATAAGCCGGAAGTGGCGATGTGGCTCAAGTGGTAGAGTGCTAGCCTTGAGCTGAAGAGCTGAGGGACAGCCCCCAGGCCCCATGACTGGACCCCCCCCCCAAAAAAAAAATACTTGCTCTACATTGTCTGTAAAAATATTAAATAAAATATATTGAAAAGGAAATGTACTTAATTTTTTAATATTTATGTGGTCCATAATAAAGTACTTTAATAGAAACAGCACAACCTGTTAAATTTTTCAAGGTTTTTGCTTTTAGAAATAAATTGTTTTCCTGGAAAAAAAATTTCATCATTTTATGAAAACATACATAGTAGCAATCCTTTAATTTTTTTTTAATGAAAAACACAAGAAGCCTCAGAGGAAGAAAAAAAGAAGCCTCAAAGGAAGTAGTATGGCTTACCAATACCCTTATCTATTAATTATCTACTTTTGCATCTTTCAACTATAAGCCAGAACAGAAAACTATTTAAAAAAATAAAGCATTACTGAGCACTTGTGGCTCATCTGTAATCCTAGCTACTCAGGGAGGCTAAGATTTCGGGATTCAGTCTCTTTCTCCCTGAAAAGCCAATGGCAGTTTATGTGCTATAAGGTTTGAAGCTAGCCTAGGCAGAGAAGTCTGTGAGAATCTCCAATTAACAACCAAAAAGCCAGCAGCAGAGCTGTAGCTCAAGTGGTAGGGTGCTATCTTCAGCAAAAAAGCTCAAGGACAGAGCCCACACCCTGAGTTCAAGCTCCAGAACTAGCAACTAAAAAAATAAAAGGCAATAATAGTAAAAATGCTAAAATAAAAATAATAAAAATAGCATTTTAAAAAGCAAATGTACTTATGACTTTAAGCATGTAGTCTCTCCTACTATTACAATCTTGTTGTTAAGGACTTTGAGATTAAATATCTTCCTTAATACTTTAAAAATAATGAAAAATCTGATGAAAGTCTCTTAAAAATTATTTATAGTAATAATGCACAAAAAAATAGTGAGTTGACTAACAAATTATAAATGGTAAAATAATGTTAACCACAGAACTACATTTCATTTAGGAACATAAGTACTGATTAGTAAAAGAAACTTCTGATTTCAAAATAAATTCATTAATTTGTCCTGAAACAACAAAAAATTTACAGCTTAATCCCTGATTTAAGCTTCAAGCAAGAAAAAAAACTGAAACATTATGCTAAGCAGAACCTGAAAAAAAATTAAAATTTTTGCTTTGCTATGATATAGTCTTCCTACATTGTCCAAGCTTACCTATAACTCGCAGGCTCAAGTGACTCACTGGCCACAGCCTCCAAAATAACTGGAACTATACGCATATACTACTATACTCAGCTGAAAAGTACATATTTTCTATGAATGATGTCTCAGTAAATACAAATCCAAGGACAACAATGGAAATTTAGAAAATAATTTACCTGGCAATCTCAATTGTACTTTAGATATTGAATACTTTCTTTGCTTAGTATAGTGGAATAAATTATCCTTAGTTTGTAATTTAAGATTACTTAAAAAATGCAGTTATACTTGTATACATACTTTTGAAAGATTCTGAAGATTCTATTTAAGTATGTTCATTTGGCACATTTTTGAGAACAGCAAAGTAGCACAAATCATTGACCTTAAATAAGACTATGATTCATAGACAGCTGGGTTTATATTACTATGTGTGAGAAAGCATTTATTCCAGACATAAAGTTTTTAACTAGTGTTTAAACACTTGTACAAACATTATGCTCATGAATGATAGAACATTTCAAACCAAAGAAAAGTTTCACATCATTTGGAAACTTTACATAAGGATATTATTGCAAATATTACTGAAAGATAACCTCATATTCTAACTCTAGGGCTAATTTCTGTTAAACAGTTTAGAATGTAAGAAAAGAGTAAAGATGTCAAATAATTTAGGAAAGCATTTAAAAAGTTACAAAGTAACTGAAATACCTTTACTGATGATTTGGTTTATGTTTTGGTAAAGACTATCCTTTTTTCATAATAATAAAATGTGTTTAATACTACTTTTCACTAAAACTATTCCAGAAATAAGAGTAATAGTATAATCGACATTGTTAGAAAAGACATCTAAAACCATATGGCTATTTCAAAACATTTAAAAGAAAGCCGATGCAGGTAAAAGGACAGTAAAAACAAACAATTGTCCACATTTCCCCCTCACCTACCCTATTTAGCCACACTCTGGACTAAAAACCTGATAAAATACTGAAAAACATTATTAAAATATACTATGGTATAGCTGAATCTGAAATATATAAAAGCACTGCCACAGGCATTATCTCACAATTCACCCTGAAAATCCAATGGCAGTTTATATGTTAAAAACCTGTCATTCTTAAACCTTTAATCATAAAATACTGCTGGTATAAAACATTCTATGAGTTAAAAAGAAATTTTTAGAAGCTGGATGCCTGTGGCTTATACCCATAGCTCCTCTGGAGTCTGAGTCCTGAGGATCATGGTTCTAAGTCAGCCAGAGAAAAAAAGTCCCTGTGAGACTCTTATCTCCAATAAACTACTCAAAAATGCCAGAAGTGGCACTGTGGCTCAAGTGGCAGAGGGCTAGCCTTGAGCACAAAGACTATCAGGTACTAAGCCCAGAGCAGGTCCTGAATTCAAACCCTAGGACTGGCAAAAAAAAAAAAAAATTAGAATGACTTAAAATTTATTTTACTGAACACTTTAAGAAATATCTAGACATTTTTAATCATCTCAACCAGTTTTATACTTTCCTAAATAAAATTAAAAAATTCATTACAACGTTTAAAACATCCTAAATACAAACCAAAAATAATGAAATAAATATCTTTAGAAAATAAACAGGCAATTATAAAGGTGTGACCTAATTCTACTTATTGAAATAAAAATACTTTTTCTAACTTCTAATTCACAGATGCCTTATGTATGAACTTAAGATTTCCTTAAAAACTATACAGTACTAGACTGAAAGAAAATTTATAGGCTTCTAAAATATCATTTATTTCAGTATGGAGAAGTTTAGCCTTTATTTCCAAGTATTTTAATAATTAAATTGTTAAAAATTCTACTTACCAAATTTATGCTTCCGGTAGGAGAGCCATTAAAAGATTCTGTAAGGAAAAAATTAAACTTAGAATGTAGCAAAAAAAATTGTGAAACAGTTACTTTTTTTAGTAAGGTTCAAAAATACAAATCACATAAACCAAGACATAAAAGAAGCAAAGGAGTGATATATTCCCCAACCCCTAATCTCATAAATTCCAAATTATTAAGATAAACAAGCATTTTAGTGAATATAAATGTACTTGACAGCTAGCAAAAACCAAGTAAATATTATATTTAATATAAAATATGTATATTTAATATTATCTTATTCCTATTGACTGACCACGTGAACATAATACAAATTAGGAAATGTCAGATTACTTTTGTTGCTTCTATCTCACCGATTTAAGAAACATTACAAATTAAAATTAATCATTAGTGTGAGCTACAAATGGACTGACGGTATCTATCCAGTCAATTTACTCTTGTAGTAGATTTGGTTCAAAAGTATTGGATTAAGTGAAAAGATATGAATTTTAAAATAAATATTAGAGAATAAGGTACAAAATGTCAAGCAGTAATCTTTTTACTCAGTTTATTTCATATCTAAGCAAATTAAGTTAGTAATAAAGGTTTCTCTGTATAAAACACAAACCAGTGGTAAAGCAACATTCATATGTAGTTCAAAAGTAGTATATATTTTCTAGCTTTTAAGAAATTATTTGTAAATTTGTTTTTTTTTTACTTTTTCAAAAGATTTATTTGTGTATTGCTATTGTAAAGATTATATACAGAGGGGTTACAGTTACATAGGTCAGGTAAAAAGTACATTTCATTTTTTTTTGTCCGTTGTGGGGCTTGAACTCTAGGCCTGAGTGCTATCCCTGCACTCGTCAGCTCAAGGCAAGTGTTCTACCACTTAAGTCACAGCACCACTTCCAGTTTTCTGGTGGCTAATTAGAAATAAGAGTTTCAGACTTTCCTGCCTGGGCTGGCTTTGAACCACGATCCTCAGACCTCAGCCTCCTGAGTAGCTAGGATTATAAGCATGAGCCACTGGCACCCAGCTTACATTTCTTTTTGAACAGTATAAACTCCTTCCCTCATTCTCACCCAGTTTTTCCCTCCCATCCCCACCTACAAGTTGTATAGTTCATTTCTACATAGTATCTCATGAGTATCACTGCTACATTTGTTCAATCTCTGTCCCATCCTTTCTGTGCAGTCCTGCTTATGCTCCCCAAAACAGATAAAGTTACAAACAAGACAAAGGTAAAGAAAACAAATACAGCAACACAGAAAAAAAGAAAAATCTTTTGTTTCCTTTCTTGTAGTTTCTCAATAAATGTTATTTTATATGATCATAAGCACATAGCTATTGAACCTTTGTGATATTCTCTTTTAGTGTCACTGTGTGACCATCTAAGAGACCTGTATAATTTATCATGACCCAGTATATTTTGTCTTTTACCATCCAGTGTGTTTACTAGTAAATATATAGGCACATTGTGCCTATTACCAAAGTGAGGGAAACCATGCCACCTATGTTTCTTTGTGTGTGGCTTACTTCGCTTAATACATTTTTTTCTAAGTCATTTCATTTCCTTAAAAATGGTACAATATCATTCTTTCAGATGGAAGCATAGAATCTCATTATGTAGATATACCATATTTCTTGATTCATTTGTCCAATAAGGGACATCTGGGTTGATTTCATATCTTAGTTCTAGTAAACAATGCTTCAATGAACATGGTTGTCCTGGTAGCTTTAGTGTGGCTTTGTTTGTGGTTAAATGTGGATAAATGCCCAGGAGTGAAATTACTGGGTCATAGCAAAGCTCTATGTTTAGTATTTTGAGGAACAACCATATTGCTTTTCAGAGTGGCTGAACAAGTTTACATTCCTACCAACAGTGTAATAGGGTTCCCTTTTGGCCACATTCTTGCCAGCATCTATTATTGTTAGATTTCTTGATAATGGCCATTTTCTTGATAATGGCCATTCTAACTGGGATGAAGTGGAATCTCAATATTGTTTCGATGTTGAACATTTCTTCATGTGTCTAGTGGCTACTCTTACTTCTTCTGAAAAGTCTCTAAGTCTTTAACATACTTATTAATTGGGTTGCTGTTTCTTTGAGGGTTTTTGAGTTTGTTAAATGAGTTTTAAAAGTTAATGCTGCATTACTTCTACAAGGAGGCAGCTGATAGTGCTTCCTCCCTAGAACTTCAGTGCCCAAGAATACTTCTTAGTTCTTCAGACATGTGGTCACAAAGGCCAAATAGGGCATTGTGCCTTAATTTACAGGAAGGACAATCAAAATAAACAAATCTTAACTATTTTCCTCATTTAATCATATACCTTCTGTTTTTGTCTTTGATATGCCAACCTCTTCAGTTTTCCCACAACAGAACTATAGAATTTGTCTTCTAAATCACTCTTTTTTAATTTGGAACAACTAAAATATAGTCAATGTACTAGACAAACAACAACCACTTCAAGATATATACTCTAAAAGCGTTTGAGTCCACATTTAATAAAAAATTTAATAAATGTGTACAAATATTAGAACACATGGGGTCCAGCTGCTCATGTCAGTAATCCTAGCTACTTGAAAGGCTGAGGTTGGGACGATGGAGATTTCAGGCTAAGGCATACATGCAAGACCCCTTTCTCAACCAGATGCTGTGCAACATGCAGTGATCATCCCAGCTAAATGGCTGAATAGAAATTGGAAGTTTCAGAGCAGTTAGAAGATTCCAATTCAATGAAAAAAAAAACAAAAACTAAGTTTAACAATGTGTACCTGTCATCTGAATTATGAAGAGAAGCCTAAAATAGGTAGTGATCTACCTGTAGTCCAGGCACCAGCCTAAACAAAAAACATGAAATACTTATCTCAAAAGTAATGACTGCAAAAAAAGTTAGAGGTATAGCTCAGCACACAGCAACTACCTAGCCAACTTGAAACCCTGAGTTCAAACTCTAATATCACCCTCTCCAAATTATGACATAACATAAAAATATTGCTGAACATGTTGACATAAATTTCATTGAGATTAAAATCTTAAAAGGACAGCATAACTTAAATTTTTTAAAGACAAGATCTTATTTTAATAAAGAAGTTAATATCTACATTCCTAATCAAAAAACTCTGAAATTAAAATATATCAAAATTCAAAATTTTTGAAGTCATGACATCCAAAAACTTTCAGACAATGAATGGAAGGAGCATTTTGGACTTCTGATTTTTGGATTGATTAGAGATGCATACCTACAGTGGATGCTGTTCTACCTAAAGAAAGTAATCATGAATAAAAATACAGAAGGAAGACAGAAAAGAAAAAAGAGAAGGCATGCATTAGTAAGCCAACTAGATGTATTTATCTACTCTGCTTAAGGAGCATTTATTTACTAAGCAAGAAAAAAAACAGGAAGAAAAAAGATGGAGGAAAAAATGTATTAAAATGCATTGTAAAAATATCCAATAAAAAGTGAAATCTTATTCAAAAACTGAGCAAAAAGGCTGAGAATGTTGCTTGCCTGCCTAGCAAGTACAAGGTTCTGAGTTCAAACCCAAATGCCATCAAAAAGAATGGGGGGATAAGAAGACTGGTTAAGAAGTTATAAATGGAAACTAAAAACCACATTGAAAGACTAGATTTAGATAATAATTATGTTACTGCTATTATTTTAAATCCCAATTTATTGAGAAAGTCTCACATTAGTCACTTTATATCTCTATCTGCTTTTATTCTTAGTCACACAAGAAATCTTCATAATTACTAAGACATTTTTTGAATAAAAAATTTATATAAAAAATCTAACCTTTACATCTTAGGCTATGAAAAAAATCACAAGCATCTTATTAGGATGGTTAGCTGATATGGAGTTATTATTGCCTATTTCTTATTTCATAGCAGCTCTTTAAAAAAAAAACTTTGCAACAAATACAGAAAATGTAGGTACACTACAAAATAGAAGAACACAAAATTTCACTACTTAGCCAGGAATTTAATCCTGTAATCATGGCTATCCAGCAGGCTGAATGTAGAGGATTGTGATTCAAAGTCAACCCAGGCAGAAATGTCCAGGAGAGTCCATCTCCAAAATAACCAATAAAAACTGGGTTGGAGACATGGATTATTTGGTGCCACTCAAGTAAGCAAGAGTGTCAGCAAAATAAACAAGCGAAGTGAGCATGAAGCTGAGATCAAATTGTAATACAGTACAGTCAAAATAGAAAAAGTAAAAAAAGACTGAGTATACTGAACCACATCTGTAATCACAACTACTCAGAATGCAGAGATCTGTAAGACAGTAATTCAAGTACTGCTCAGGAAAAACAGCAATACCCCATCAGAACCAACAAGCACTCTGTGGTGGTGTATTACCGTAATGCTACTTATGAAGAAAGTAGAAGTAGAAGAAACTCAGTCCATAGTTTGCCCCCCAAAAACATGCTAAATTCTATCAGTAAAATAAGAAAAGCAAAACAAGACTGAAGGTGTGATTCGAGCGGATGAATGCCTGCCTAACAAGTGTAAGACTTCGAGTTTAAACCCCAGTAACACCAAAAAAATAATTTTTAAAAAAACAACTCCCTTAATTATACAATGAAAGCTAGCTAATAAATTGTCAGTTTCAACAAATAAGCTAGGAGAAACCTTGCCTTTTTAAAGACACTTAGCTATCAGATCAAAAATCATTCTTAAAATTCTAATGTAAAATGTGTAACTGTAATTTGTAATTATTTTTAAAAAGTCTTACTAGTATAGTGAAGCAACAGCCAAAAGAGACGAAAGGCTAGAAAACTCTATAGCAGAAAAAAAAATTGTAAAGAAATGACTGAAACCTAACAGATTTATACCTTTGTCCTCATATGGTTTTGTTTATACAATCTGTTCATAAGTAAGCGGCCATTGTTAAAGTATTCTCTCAAAAAATTACTGTAGGGCTGGGAACGTGGCCTAGTAGTAGAGTGCTAGCCTAGCATGCATGAAGCTCCGGGTTCGATTCCTCAGTACCATATACGCAGAAAAATGCAGGAAGTGGCATTGTGGCTCAAGTGATAAGAGTGCTACCCTGAGCTGAAGAGCTCAGGGGCAGAGCCCAGGCCCAGAATTCAAGCCCTACCACCAACAATTAATTAATTAATTAATTAATTAATTAATTAATTATTAATTACTGCAGTCTTTCTTACTTTTTAAATTGCTTTCTTTTTAATTATTTACTTGGAAGAACATACCACAATGATTATCAAGCCCTAGGTACTTTATTACAGTTTAATAAACAATTCTACACTGAATCAAAAGTAAAATGGTCATTAAGCATAAGAATCTGAACACTTGTATTCTAATTATCATTGTAATTCTTAGTTAATTCACCACTTCCTATCAATAAAAGCTGAAACTTATGCTTTACTTTAAAAAATCATATAATTTCAGACTTATAGCTGAGAAAAATGAAGCATAAAACAATGTATGGTTCATGAATGTCAAAACAGATGACAAGTAGCAAGTGGGAAGTATTTTATAAACAATGTGACTCAAACTTGTTTTGTATACTATGGTATGCTAATAGTCTTAGAATTCTTATTTGAAAAATGAAAGGTTGAATAAGTGACTATCACTTCTGTCTGAACAATCTCTCATATTGTGCAAGAATTAGAAAAGAATACAATCCAAAAGAGTGGGAAAAACCTATTATTATTTATATACCTTTACGTTTATGGTACATTGAATTATTTACTATCACAACTACTTTTCTCAATAGACCTATTGATATATGACTTTATTATCTACTAACAAAAGAGAAAGAAATTACCTTAAGAACACAGGAGTTACCGATCTCAAGAAAACATAATTTTTCAAGAATTCTAGTTATCTACAGTTACATATGAATTTTCAACATTTTTATTTAATATGGTTACCACATTGTTATAAATTTATCCATTTAATAGGCTGGAATGTAGCTGAGTGGCAAAGTGCTTGCCTTGGAAGCAATGAAAAATACAACTGAAAAATACCATTGAAAAATACAATTTATACCTGAGCTTCAAAAACATTTCTATCTTATTTAAAAGGCTGTTATTTCGGTTTAGAATATGTAAATACACACACACACACACACAGTGTGCCATCTTACCTCCATCTCCATCATCTGATCCTCGGAAGCTGGGACACACACACACACACACACACACACACACACACACACACACACACACACACACACACACACACACACACACAGTGTGCCATCTTACCTCCATCTCCATCATCTGATCCTCGGAAGCTGGGACACACACACACACACACACACACACACACACACACACACACACACACACACACACACACACACACACACACACACACACACACACACACACACACACACACACACACACACACACACACACACACACACACACACACACACACACACACACACACACACACACAGTGTGCCATCTTACCTCCATCTCCATCATCTGATCCTCGGAAGCTGGGATCTTTTAACATGTCCAGCTCAGCTAACATGCGAACATAGAGTGCATTCTGTCTGAAGGAAGGATAAAATCTTTCATCTCGCAGCATCAATTCATATACCTTGTTGAAATAATCAAGATATTAAATAATTAATTCAAATGTGGTGATTTTTACTAAAATACCACCGAAGACTTCAGTAAAGTTTTGCTATAACATATCATAGTTACAAGATATCCAGTAATTTTTCAGATTTCTCAGCTAGAAGAAGCCATAGTCATTTATTCAACCTTTCATTTTTTCAAATAAGGATGCTGAGACTATAAGCATACTGTAGTATACAAATCAGTTTGAGTCACAACTAATAATTTCTTCTATTCCTCCAGTACTCTATTACACTGAAAGGGCCCCACAATAACACAAGTCACATGATAGTAGGTTAATATATAATTTTTAACAGTTGGTTCTGGGGCTTGAACTCTGGGCCTGGGTGCTTCAGCTCAAGGCAAGTAATCTACCTCTTGAGCCACAGTGTCACTTCCAATATTCTAGTATTTTATTGGAGATAAGAGACTAACAGACTCCCTGCTAGGGCTGGCTTTGAACTGTGATCCTCAGATCTCAGCCTCCTGAGCAGCTAGTATTACAGGTGCAAGCCACTGGTGCCCAGCTGAGTAGTGTTTTCTTAAAAACAAATGTACATAAATGATCATGGTTCATATTAAAATAAATTTGTAAGGCCAATTTCATATTCACTCCCTCCATTACTCTTATCCTTCTTCCTTCCATTTTATTTTGAACATTTTTAGTATATTTCATTATGCTATTTTCATAATGAATAGACTTAGATTATTTATCCTCACATCACCCTTTCCTATCTTCTTTCCCTATCATGACATGCACTTCCTCCCTTCCTTTCCTCCTTCACCCATTAAATTTGCAGTATAATAATGGTATTTGTTCTTTTGGTAATTAATGTCTGGAGCTCTTTATTCTAGATATTATCATGTGTGAAATGAATCAATGGTAGAGATAAGATTTTTCTCCTATTTTATTGGCTTTCTCTTCATCTGGTGATTGTTTCCTTTCATGTGTGTGTGCTGATCCTGAGGTTTGAACTCAAGGCCTGGACACTGCCCCTTAGCTTTTTTACTCAAGGCTAGCAAGCTAACACTTGAGCCATACCTCTACTTCAGGCTTTTTGGAAGACGAGATTCCTACAGACTTTCCCATCTAGGCTGGCTATGAACCATGATTCTAAGCTCTCAGCCTCCTGAGTAGCTGGGATTATATACATGAACCACTGGCACCTGGCTTTGGAAATTTTAATACAAACTTTTGTTCTTATTTCTGAGCTATTAGGAGTCTTATTCAGGAACTTTTTGTCTGGCTATAACTTCAAGTATAACATAAGATCATCAAGTTCTAAGCCAGAGTGTCTTCAGTAGATTAAAACAAAGAAAGCTAAAATATGGATTTCTCTCATCAATGGTTAAAGAAATAAACGAAAAATACTGGTCCACCTTCTTGGAACCAAGAGGTACACTTACCACAGGGTACATCTGGTTTTTTATGATGCTTCATTCACTCTTATTTCATTAGTTAAATTAATAAAAACATACACATTCTTAAAAAATACAAAATATCTAATACCTTCCTTTGAATGTCATCAAAGATTTCAGGAGTTGGATCTTCATGATTCAAAGTGTCTGCTAATTTTGCTACTAAATAGTCATCAACAGTAACTCTTGGAGATGCCTAAGGAATACAAAAAACAAGAGAATAATGACCTTTGTAATTTATAAGTACAAACTAATAATAGATAGCAGGGGAATTAATTATACTAAAGTAATTAAGAGATAAAAATCTTTGGTTTATAAATACCTGGATATTTAAGAAAGCTAGAATACAGATATGGCTTTCTCTTCACTATGTACTATGTTAAAGAAGAGTAGAAAACCATGGATTTAAAATCTTGATTTCTTGAGCAAATTACAAGTAGGCCATTCTGGTTTTTTTTTGGTCCGGTCGTGGGGCCTGAACTCTGGGCCTGGACGCTGTCCCTCAGCTTTTCAGCTCAAGGCTAGTGCTCTACCACTTGAGCCACGGCGCCACTTCCGGTTTTTTCTTTTTTGCTTATGTGGTGCTGAGGAATCGAACCCAGGCCTCGTGCATGCAAGGCAAGCGCTCTACCACTGAGCCACCTTCCTAGCCCCAAGTAGGCCATTTTGTAAAATGGAGATAATACTACATATAGTTATTTAAGATCAATGTAAAGGAATAGAAAGAGAATCATTTCAGATATATTGATACAATGTCTAATTTTCCTGTCACCTAGGCAAAGCCTGATTTCATTAGGAGGTAAATCATTGTTTAGTACTAAATGTGTATAAAGACTGCAAAGAATAAAACTGATTTATCTATCAAGGGAGAGTACTTTTTAGTGACCATTAAAGAGACTAATTTACTCTATAATTATTTGAATCACCTATGCAACAGCAGGTGCAACTTATTTCAAAATACAGGACACAAATACAAAATCTGACCCTCATATGCTTAGAAAATGATCTTTCTCCTAAAAAATTAATATAGAATTATATATGTATAATTTTAATATAAAAAGTAAAACTTTCCCCCAAAAGTATCTATTAACGTATACTCCACTTTCCTATTATACAAATAAAATAGTGACAATAAAAAGTGGCTGTTAGTACCAACAGGAATTATTAAATGTTCTTGTGAAAAGTAACAAGTATCTTCTTTAACTTTTAGAATACTCTTTATTAGCTAGGAATGTAGCTCACTGGCATGTACACGAACCTGGATTCAATTCCTTGCATTGTTAAAGTAGGAGGGGCACCACTATTAGACACTGAAGATTTTAGGATATACTATTTTGAATTAATAAAATACAGAAACATAAGACTTTGTGCAAGCTGAATGTATGCACAGCAGGATATTTCTGAATCTTTCTTCACTTTGTTTTTGTGGTCATAAAGATTCAATACAGGGCCTTATGCATACTAGGAAAGCAAACCACATCCCCATGTAGGATGTGGTAGGATATTTAAATGTAAGTTATATTATTTTGTATCCTTTAAGTACAAAAGTATACAATTTTAAAATGTATATATATATATATATGTATATATAGAGAGAAAGGAGATAGAAAACAAGATATTATATATTTAAGTTTTAGAAAATCATGAATTTTCTATATGTTCCATGAAAATAAAATGTTAATATTTTTGTTTCCTTTTACATTTACAACTTTGTGAACTGCTTATAACCTTTATGACACACTTTTCTTTTGTATTATGCTACAAGATACAGTCAAGTGTAAAATTCACCTTGACTTTTAACCCTTGCTCTTGCACAATTTAATCAACTGTTAAATTTTCTGAATCCTATGTGGCATAAAGTTATATATATCATCAAAAAGTAATTTTGGTATCAACTGAGATTTTGTCTACTTAAAATAATCTATCTCTAAGTTTCTACCACTAAAAAAAAGTCCACCAAATTTTCAATTCGTGATAGTGGCTATCCATGTCTAAAATAACCATTTTTAATCACTTTGGGGCATTAATGATGTCAACATGATAAATGCCACTTTCTCAGGGAAAACAACTTTAAAACATATGAGACAATTTCAACTTATGAAACCGAAGTTGGCTTCAAAACATACTAAAGTAAACCTAGATCAATCAATTCATCCTTTTTGTTCTCTTCAAAGATCACCTACCAAATTTAGAGAAACACTAACTCAAATTCAATTTATTGTAATTCTTTCCTCCATTCTACTCTCAAAAGTATTTTCAAATTAGAGAAGAGCATTCTTCTTGTACTTCTTTTTAAAATACAATCTTACGGCAGAGTTAACAATTTAGCCACAGTGTAGACATTTCTTAAGAGCCCAGGTCCTGTGTTCAAGTTCCAGGACTGGCACACACACCAGAAAAGGTACACTGTTTTATTTTTAACTTGATAGTGATTTAATATGTGGTTATTCTTAAAACTATGTTTTGGTCTTTAGAAATTTTGTACTTAATCTAAGCCTAATGAGATGATTTCCTTACTAATATGTCTTTCCTGTTATTCAATTGGGTGTCTTCTCTTCTTAATGCTCTAAATTGTAGCTGATTATACTTTTCCTCCCTGTAATTACATTTGCTTTATGTTTCAAGTCAGCTGAAAAGGAATTTAAATCTACCTCACTTCACCCTCTTTGCCAAAGCACTTTTGATACACTCCACTTTTCATTAATGTCAGTCTACTTAGCAACCAAGTAAGGTACTTAGAAGTAGACCCCTTCAAGGGGGGCAGGAGGGAGGGAGGGAGGGAGGGAGGGAGGGAGGGAGGGAGGGAGGGAGGGAGGGAAGGAAGGAAGGAAGGAAGGAAGGAAGGAAGGAAGGAAGGAAGGAAGGAAGGAAGGAAGGAAATTTTACACTTGAAGAGAATTTAAGAGCTAGATGGTATCAGAACTATATTTGGGTGGGGCACCATGAACACAATTTAATGTCTTAAATTCAGGACATTTCCAAAGTTTTCACTGCAATAAGGCATACTTAATTTGTAAACAATAGCTTACGTACTGTCTGATATCTAAAGCAACTAAATAAATACTTGAGTATTTGTTTGGGGGTTTGTTTGGGGGTGTGTTTCATAAGGCAAAATATTACCATATGCATTAATGAGCAATTTTCAAATAAAATTCATGCTGAAAAAATTTAAAATACTGTGCTAGTAAGAAACATGTTACTAGAGCACAGCATTAAAAAAAAAAATTCTACAAAGCTGGGCACAAGTGGCTCATACCTGTAATCCTAACTACTCAGAAGGCTGAGATCTGAGGATTATAGTTCAAAGCCAGCCCAGGCAGAGAAATCCATGAGACTTTCATCTCCAATTAACCAGGAAAAAAAGCCAGAATTGGAGCTGTGGCCCAAGTGGTAATGCTAGCCTTGAGTAAAAAAGCTCAGGGACAGCACCTAGACCCTGAGTTCAAGTAAAAGGACTGGCATGCACGTGTGTGTGTGTGCACGCACGCGTACACACACACACACACACACACTCAAAATTCTACAGTCAGATCTTGGCATAGGGACTAAACCTACAATCATAATTACTTGGATCCTGTTTTGAAGCCAGCCCAAGCACAAGTTTATGGACTCCATCTCAATCAATGATAGAGTGATGGTGTTCATCTATTATTATGAGGAAAGCAGAATAGCTGGGTGCAGTCAGTGCCTACCTGTCATCCTAGTGATTAAGAAAAACACAAATAGGAGGATTGGAGACCAGGGCTACCCAGGAATAAAGTGAAATTCTATATTGAAAATACTCAACAAAAAGAGGGACTGGTAGAATGGTTTAAGTGGCAGAGTATCTACTCACAAGCATGAGACACTGAGTTTTAACTTCAGTACCAAAAAGTATTTTGGAATTTTGAAGAATTTTCTGTCTATATGGTGAGATTTTTCTCCCTAAGTGACGTCTTTGGTTTTGGTATGAGAATCAACCAATCTCATAAAGTAAAATTAAAAGGTTTGCTTGAAAACATTGAGATATTATTCTTGAAGTACTTAGAATTCACCAGTGAAATCATCTGGGAATGATCTTTTACTCTATGGAATGATTTTCAATTGTTAATTCAATTTTTAATTATTATATGAGATTTTCTATTTCCTCTTGGGTCAGTATGGCAATTTTCATTTTCCTAGGCATTTGTACATCTCATCCAAGTTGTTTTATCTTTTGTCATGAAGTTGCTCATGTTTGCTTATATTCTTTTTCATTTCTGTATAGTCATAGTTGATAATTCTTTCACTCACGAGTTTGAGGATCTGTGTTTTCCCCCACTTTTTGATGGTCTATCTACCTAAAAGTTTGCTACACTGTTGATATTTTCAAAGAATGAACTCTCACTGATTGTAACTAATGTCTTTATAGTTTTTATTTCATTAATTCTTATAGTTTGGGCCCTTCTATTTGCCTGAAGTTTATTTTCCCTTTGAATTTTCCTAGATTTGTAAAGTGAAAAGTTAAAATTGCTGAATTTAGGTATTTCTTCTTTGCACTTTTTAATTGAAAAAATTGCACAGATTTATGAGGACCATTTCAAAGCATGTATACAGTTTTGTTCACAAAGAAGCTAATCATGCCTATCACTTCAAACATTTACCACTACTATGTGAGACAAATACTCAAAATTTCTCCCCATAGTTTCTTTAAAATACATATTATCATTATCCAGTCACTCCACTGTTCAAGGGAACACTAGAACCCATTTCTCCCATCTACCCACAACTTAGATTTTGGTTTTTTTTTTTTATTACATTTTAAGCTACAATTGTCCATTGGAGCACTGCATTTGCTTTAGCCCATAAATTTTAATCCAATGTTTTCATTTTTTAATTAAACACTGACTTGTTTTTCAAGGCATCACATTATATACAATACATATTTTTCAGTTGCCAATTTAAAAACTAAGATGAAAACTTCCTAGTTTTCATTTGATCTTTCTTATTGACACAGAAGCTAATTAGATATAGCATTTAATTTCCAAGTATTTGTAGACTTTATAGATTTCCCAGACATTTATTATCTTCCTATAGGATTTTATTCCAATCAAAGGACATACTTTGTATAATTTCAATACTTTCAAGATTTTTAAAAAATAATCTACCATATGTTTTATCTTAGAGAATGCATCATGTATTTTTTTAAAAACTAAAGTAAATTTGGCTGTGAGGTGAAATATTTTACAGTCTTATGTGATCAGGATGATTTTCTACATAAATATATCACCAATTATTGAGAATATTGTATTAAAGCAGCCAAATACTATTGTTGAAATTTCTTTTTCCTTTTAATTCTGTAAGTTTGTGTTTTATTTATCTAAAAGCTTTGTTGTTAGATGCATGTTTGTTTTATTCTCTTGACTAGCTGACACTTCTCTATCATTTCAAAATGATAAAATAATAATTTTTATCTTAAGTTCGATTTGCCTGACAGTAACATATTCCTTCTAGTTTCACTCATTTACTTTTGCATGTTTTCTTCTTTTATCCTTTTATTTTCAATTGTTTTCTTTGTGTGTGTGACCAGCAATCTTGACTTCATCATTTATAATTTGCATGACCTAATTTGATTTTCTAAACACTAGGTACCAATATGATACATACAAAGGATAAAAATCCACAGGAGAGATTTTCTTAGGATTAAATAAAACTTTGTGAGGCAATCATGCATGGCAGACTTATAAATATTACACAAAATATTATTAATGATAATGCCAAAGAAGATAAGAAAACAATAACCAAATTATAGCCTGACCTTTTCAGATAAGTATTGTTCATAAATTCCAACTGCGGCTGCTCTTAAGAGACCTTTGGTTTGATTGGTTTGATGTTTTCCATCTCTCTGACGACTTGACAAAACCTCTAGCTGCTGCTGGGCTGTAACTCGGTATCCTTCCACTGTCATCCAGAAGAAAAGATGTGCCTGACCTCCAGTCTGCTGCATATAATCTAAGAATTACCCACAACAAAGGAGATATTAAAATTACACAACTGGGGGCTCATGAAGCTTCATAATCAATATTTGAGAAGAAGTAATTTCAAGAATTTAAGTTATCAATATTTAATTTTTTTATTGTTTTTGAGACCATCTCACTATGTAGTTAAGAAGGGCCAAAAATTCAAGATAATCCTGTTTCAGAGTGTTGGATTTAGAGACATATTCTATGATACCAGCTGGAAAAAAATTTTGACATATGTGCTGCCCAAGTGAGCACTGGAAAAAAATTTTAAATCTCACATTTAATGAAAAATATTTAGTGAATAAATTCAGTATATAAGCCTTCATTAGAACTAGTTCACACTAACATTCAATATTTGTGATAAAATTATTAATCATTAAAAAGATTTAAAAGATTAGCAAGTTAACAAATCACATTTATATTTTAAAAAAATAGTGTCTTGTACTCTTCCCCCAGGACCTGCTTCAAACTCTGATCCTCCTATCAACATATCTCTAACAGTTGTGATTACAGATGCACACCATTACACATACACATAGCTTCTCTCCTGTTGTCATGTCAAACATTGACATATTAACAATTCCAAATTCAGTACATTTAAAATATCCAGGAAGACACAGGGATTGAGGAGTACCAGGAATCTAACTCCCCATCTACACAAAGATGGCACTGAAACTATCTAATATAAACAATCTGAAACTTGGAAGTTTACTGAAAATCTGCAACGTGCAAGGGACAACTTGACAGGTAAAGGTCTGATAAAGTTAAATTTTGGTAGAAATATAAAATAGTCACTGTGAAAACAATAGTTATTCTTAAAAACTAATAACAAAATTACTATATGATTCAGTAATTCCACTTCTGAGTACCAAACAAAGAGAATTAAAAGTAGAATTTCAAAAAGCTACCTGTATACCTATATTTAGAACAAACTCAAACTATCTAAAATGTGGAAGCAACTCCAAGATTTCCCTGATAGATGAACGGATAAGCAAAATTTGTGTGTGTTTGTGAGGACAAGGGGGAAATGAAAACACTTCCCATTAAAAAGGAAGGTTACAACATCAATAAAACATGAGGGCAATTTACTATATAATCACTTTTATATGTACAGAGTTTCACCTTTACCAGACACAAAAAGTTCTAGAAACATAGTATTTGAAAATTAACAGTGTACTTGACTGCACAATTGCAAAAAAAAAAGGTCAGAAAATTTTCAATGGTTATATTATTGAAATAAAATTTACCTACCCATAAAAAATTGTAGTGCAACATTGTCTACAAGAATGCTATCCAAGGGGACTGTGCAAAGTTTTCCAAAGTTTGCTGCCAGTTTCACAGTATTGATTTCCTACGGATAAAAGTAAAACGAGATTAATGTTTTATTCAACAGGGTGAGGAATTTTGTGTGCTCAATCATTTGTTTTTCCCAATAAAATACGCTAGTTAGTAAGTTTATTTTAAGAGGTATTTAGCAAATAGATACCAAAATGATAAACATTAATTTCTTCCAATAAAAAATAAATATAATCCCATTTGTCCAACCGTTCTTTGATTTGTTGTTTTTCTGGGTCTCTATTAAGAAAAAGGACACAGCTAGAAGGATCAATAGAAAGCCCACAGAATGGGAGAAGATCTTCACTAGTCATACAACAGACAAGGGTCTCATATGTAAAATATACCTAGAACTCAAAAAATTAAATCCCCCAACAACAAATCCTTAAAGAAACAACTGCCCAATTTACAAATGGGCTAAAGACTTAAAGTGAAACTTCTCTGAAGAGGAAAGAAGGATGACCAATAGACACATGAAGAAATGCTCAACCTCCCTAGCCATAAAAGAAATGCAAATCAAAACAACATTAAGATATCACCTCACCCCAGTTAGAATGGCTAGAATCAAGAACTCTAATAACAGATGCTGGAGGGGATGTGGACAGAAGGGAACCTTACTTCATTGTTGGTGGGAGTGTAAACTTGTTCAACCAATTTGGAAAGTAGTATGGAGGTTCCTCAAAAGACTCCACATAGAGCTCCTCTATGACCCAGCAGTCCCACTTTTGGGCATTTACCCAAATGATCACAAACAAGACCATACTAAAGCTACCAGCACAACTATGTTTATTGCAGCATTTTTTACCATAGCTAAAATATAGAACCAACCCAGATGCCCCTCAGTAGATGAATGGATCAAAATATAGTATATATACACAATGGAATTCTATGCCTCCATCAGAAAGAATGACATTGCCCCATTTGTTAGGAAATGGAAAGACTTGGAAAAAATTATATTAAGTGAAGTAAGCCAGGCCTAAAGAAACATAGGTCTCATGGTTTCCCTTATTTGCAATAGCTAGTATATGTCTGAAACAAGCAGAAAAGTTCAGATAAGTTGCTGTTAGGGAAAAGAACCTCAAGATAAGGCTTGAAATGTTTTTTTTTTTTTGTTCTTCGTATTGTTTCTAACATATTTATAAGATGATTTCTTTGTTGCTTTGTATGTCCCTCCCCCACGGTATAACCCCTGTTTTCACTGTATTTGATGTTGGTATAATTTGTGGAGGGGAAGTGGACCCATTGCAACAGTGAGATGTACAAGTCGCTATGTCGAAAAACAAACTTTACAACTTTGAAACAAAGGAGAAGGCAACAATGCTTGACAAGAAAGGTACTCATTATCTTGCCCATGTAATTGTAACCCCTCTGTACAGTATTTTCACAATAAAAAAATAAAAATAAATCTAAATCACTGTAGTTTCATATATTCTCTATCTCTACATATTCCAAATGAAAATGAACACTCCCGAAAATAGAGGGTGTAAGAGAACATCTGAAAAGTTTAATATATGCAGAGTAAACTGTAATATTTTCAACTTTTGGCAAAACTCTGTACTGTATTTCAAAGTGTAATTTTGCTTCAAACACAGTAGATTCTCTGTGATCATAAAAACTGTATTTTTTGTTGTTGTTGTTATTGGTCATGGGGCTTGTATTCTGGGCTTGGACGCTGTTCCTGAGCTCTTTATCTCAAGGCGAGTGCTCTACTGCTTGAGCCACAGTGCCACTTCCGGTTTTCTGGTGGTTTATTGGAGATAATAGTTTCATGGACTTTCCTGCCCGGGCTTTGAACCGTGATCCTCAGATCTCAGCCTCCTCAGTAGCTAGGAGTACAGCCATGAGCCACTGGCGCCTGGCTGAAACTGTATTTCTTTTAAACTATGTAAACAGAGAAATAACTTTATGTATGTGTGTGATATATATACCACTTTTCAAAGTGACATGACAGGGAAAACATGGCTCCAAACGGCATTTCCCGTCCAGCACTGTAATTACATTTCACATATCACCTCATTCAGGTGGTACAGATATACTATAAGACATTACCAATCTCATTTAATAAGTAAGTAAATAAATGTGAGAAAGCTTGCCTGACATCACAAAGGTGATCAACAAGAGTATATATTTTCAAATTTTGCTGCCTTTCCATTAAAACCCATGTTTTTGCAAACTATATTTTACTAGTTGCTATCCCCAAATCCCTCTCTCTCAAATTTCTATTTTAAAAAAGGTTAGATACATGTAATGTAAATTGGACAAGGTGTCTTAGTCAGGGACCAATACAAATTAAGCATAAGTGGTACATTAATAAAGAAGATGGGGGAAATTTGAAAAAAAAGAAAAGACAAAGCAAAAGATAAATCTATCTTAGTCATTAGATTTCCTTCATAAAAGTATTAATAACAGACTTAAATCAGTGCCAGCACCTGATTTATACTAAATGAGTTTCACTTCTTCAAATGCTACATTTATGTCCTGTCCAGCAACTGCTTCACAGATAAAGCTTAGGCAAAAGTCTTCACTGCAGCCTCATTTGTAATAGGGAGGATAAAAGGTCTTCTCAGATTTCAAGTTAAATAACATAGCTATAAATTTCAATTCAAACCCTCTTCAAGTATGGTTTACTTTTTATGATTTTAATGAACTCTATCCTGTGAAACCCAGAATTACAAGAGACCTCTAACTTGCTTTGCCAAACATTTATCACTACAAGTGTATAACAGACAACTTTCTCTCAAGCCTATTGTGGAGTGCTACATCGGGTATTATTCCATCTATTTATTTTTTTGCCATACATACTTTAGTCACTCTTTACAAAACATCATTAATTCAAAAGTACCTAATACTTACTTTTCCTGACTGCAATCTCTGTATTCTTGAATCACATACCTTCTTTACAAATAATAAACTATTTATTTGATTTTTGATCGTGTTGATATCTAAAAACAAACAAATTGATTATGAGCTAGAAAGTGGTAGTATTTGTAAAAAAGCCACACATTTACTGAATTTAACAAAATAATCAGAAAATTTTTAATCCAAAAATTAAAGAAATAATCTGAAACTATATTGTAAGATTATTTAAACCATAAAAACTTAAAAGTTAATTGTGCTCTCCCTAGAGAGAACAATGATGACTGTTTTAGATTCACTCAGAAAACAATGTTTTTGGCTCTAAACATATTAGCATAATAGTAACAGTTAAGAGGAAAACAACTGCTAGCTTAAAATGGCATTTAGGTAAATTAAACTTTAAAGGTACAGTAATGTTTTAAGAAGAAACACTCATTTACTTAAACAAATCACTTACCATCACCAGCTGTATCTAAAGATCTAAGATACTGTAATTCTTCTGCTGCCTTATCTCTGACTGCTTCCAGCTCTCCAATATTGTCACTCAATTTAATAATGTTCATAAAGGCCTCATAGTTGCAATTCGAATCTCGGATCTGAAAATAAAGATTGAAAAATGGGTGTGATACAGATCATTTCTTATGGGAAAAAACATGAACCTTGAATGATTTTGTTTTTCATAACATACCCAGTTTTAATAACAAAAGAAGAAAAGGACTGTGTTCATGATACTTTTATTTTTTTATTTTACTTTATTTTTTGTTTTTGTTTGGTCATGGGGCTTGAACTCTGGGCCTGGGCGCTGTCTCTCAGCTCTTCAGCTCAAGGTGAGTGCTCTACCACTTGAGCTACAGTGCCACTTCCCATGATACTTTTAATGCGGTAAACACAGTAAATAAAACAAGTAGAACAACCAGCATGGTATAAAGAACACAAGCACATAATATAGATGATAGTAAGGAAGCCATAAAGGCTGAAAACACAAAAAAGGGCTAAAGAGTAGAAAGATGAGGCCACGCTATAAAGCTAACATAATCAAGCAAGTACAATATTTGTATAAGAGATCAACAGCAAAGAACATGAGTTTCCAAAATTAGACATAAAAATATAAATTTAAGATAAGAAAGGAAATTAATTATGAAAAAATTCTCTTCAAGAATGGGCCACTTTAAAAACTGATGGTTTTTCTGCACTCTTGTTCAACTTCTAGTTCTTTATATGTGCTGGATATTCATTCATAGTTATATGGCTTACAAATACTTTCTCCAGTTCCACAGGTTGGTTTCCTTTTCAACATTCTGGTTACAGTTTTCTTTGCAGATAGCTTTTTAGCCTCTACCTACTGTCTATTTTTGCATGTGCTGCACCAGTTTTGGGTATCAAGTCAAGAAATCAGTCAAATGCCGAATACTTTCCCTATATGTTTTCTTCATGTTTTATCTGCTGACAGTCTTTTAGGTGCTACTTAACAAGAGAATTTTTTTTTTCTCGTTGTTTTCAAAATTGTCTTTGGCTTATGGTCTTCTTTGGCTTTATCCTAGATAGTTCTTTGAATTTTTGAATTTGAATGTATAATTCCTACATTTCCTTCCTTAGATGTGAGAACTTTAAGCCCAGTGGAACAACTGCCTACACATTCTACTCATAACTTATTCTAGGATTTCAATAATACACATATTATTTCACATTAGGATATCTTTTTCTGTTTCTTAAACTTTAATTTCTTCACTTAATTCCTATTTTTTTTGCTGCTGTTATTAAATAATTTAAAAAAGGCAATGTTCAAGTTCACTGATTTATTCTTGGTCAAGACTATTACTTCTACTAGAGTAAATTTTAAATTATATTTTTCTGTTCCAGAATTTGGATTCTTTTATTCTTTTATTTCTTTATTGATATTCTCAATTTTATTCATGATCATTCTCTTGATTACATTTGTCTGTCTGTTTTGAGTTTAAGGTTTCCGTAGGTTAGTCCCAAGATAATTATTTGATTCACTCTTTCCTTCATTCCCTCCCTTCTGCCTTCACTCCTTTTTTCCCTTTTTCCCCCTCTCTTTTTATCTCCCCCTGCCATATTTTGTTTCTAGTGAAGGTACCAGGATCTAAACTCAGGGCTTCTTAAGTTCATTCTTTCTCTCACATTTCTCTCCCTTTCCAAATCTTCTCCCTCCTTTCCCCTTCTTTGTTCCCCCTACTCCCTCTCCTTCTCCCTTTCTCCCCTTTCCCTCCCTCCCTCCCTCTTTCTCTTGCTCTCTCTCTCCACAGCCCAGACTTTTACTCTAAAACCCCCACTGCTTTATTTTGCTCTTTGCATACTTGCCCAGGACTAGCCTCAGACTGTGATCCTCTCAGATATGAACCACACATGGCTTATTGGTTGACATGGAGTCTCACAAAGGTTTACCCTTAACTAGCCTTAAGTAAATGCCTATATTTGGCCTTTTTGTTCACTTTCTGTTTTTTGTAATTTTTACACTTGAAAAAACAGATTTTACAAAGCTGTTTCACCCAGACAAAGATCTTCACTAATCAGTCTGGGTACAAATCTAGGCATGGCTCCAACCTTTTTTAGGATTGTACCTTTTCTGGGATTCTATGTGTAATTTCCCTTTGAGTTTCTTTTCTAGGAGCTGATCATCCTTGCTCCTTCACATGTCTTGTCTGTAGAAGTATTACAAAAACAAAAATGAAACTGCTGAGTTCCTATGTTCTTGGTAGAACTCAGGCATTCAAGGTAGTTTCAACAGTTTCCCAATTCAAAAGAGATAGAAAACACTACCTAAGGAATCCTCCACATGAAGACCCAAAGTACTAGAACAAAGTTCTACTTGTCTTTCCCTCTCATGCCAGGAGCTGACCAAACACAGTGAGGTTTATTTGCTTCTCTCTGAAGTATTTCAGGTTCTCTGACACTACCACAAGCTATTAAACTTTTCTCTGTCCTCTGTGGTCTCAGGCACCCAAAGTACACCTGTTTCTTCTCATCAGCAGTCCTAAATCAGAAGAGAAAGAAACCAGTCCTTTGGGCACATCCCTGAAAAGCCAGAGCAGACAAGCTACAAGTTGGAGTTTCCCTTCTGATCAGTAGTCACTGATGCCACCTTAGTGAAATAAGCTGACACAACTGAAATGAAATAGCTTTCCTTACTAGTTTCAATGCAGGTATACTTGGCTTGGCTTAAAGACTGCCTGGGGAACCAACATTTCATAACTGCTTTCTGGTGTTCTCATAGATTTTTGGACTATATATATTGCTGTTTTATATGCGAAGAAGTGTGATCTGAGGCTCAGTACACAGTATCTGTGAACACAGGAAATGAAATAGCCTATTTTTAAATAGTGCTAGTACCCAAACAGGAAGGAAGATAACCAATGAACTTCTTGTGGAAAATTTAGATAGCACATTCAACAAGAAGATATATTGGAAATGTATCTGTGTGTGTGTGTGTCTGTGTGTGTGTGTATGTATATACATGTATATGTATATAGTTGCTTATAAATTGTTGCTTGACCTTCTGATCACCAAACTGAATTTTTACATTAACCATACTTTAAAAAAAAAAGTTGGAACTTTAAAAGGAAACTACTTACCATCCATATAACATACTGATTAATATAATCAGGATCACTGAGTTGATTTATTAATGGAAGAAGAATTCCTCGTGCAAGGATTTCCTAAATTGTAAAGAAGACAAATTTAACCCTACATATTTCTCAAGTCCAAACATCCTAACAATGATGTTACATAACATGGGTATGATATATATATATATATATATATATATGAAACTAAAATATGATAATCAGTGCAGTCTTATAAAAGAGCTATTGTATCTGTTAAATGAGATAAAGCTATACATATTTCAACTTGGGACACATCTCCACTGAAAACTATTTGTCAATTTAAAAAAAAGATAAATCTCTAAACATATCATGTCTAAACATTCAGCATTTAATGTAGATTTACATCTACATTCAAATATAAAAACAAAGAAAAAGCCGGGTGCTGGTGGCTAATGCCTGCAATCCTAGCTACTCAGGAGACTCTCATCTGAGGATTGCGGTTCAGAGACAGACTCTTATCTCCAATTAACCACTAGAAAACCAGAAGTGGTACTGTGGCTCAAGTGGTACAGCACTAGCCTTGAGCTGAAGAGTTGAAGGACAGCACCCATGCCCAGAGTTCAAGACCCATGATCAACAATAAAATAAAGAAACACTTAAAAAAAAAAAAAAAGGATACATACCAATTTTACAATCATGTCTACTTCAAGGGAAGAAATAACTATAGTAGCTAGCATATACGTCCCTTGTTGTATTTTTTTCCTAATATAAATGTTTAAAATAAGCTACTTTAGCTCTTTAAAATGTACCTTTTTATTTTTTTAAGTTAATGATACCATTTCAAGCTAATAAATTCCTGCCTTTCTTTTAAGGCCTTACAGAAGAGTTGATTATGCTTTTAAATGAACATGATCAGCTCATCAGGACTCTTTTATTTACATGTCTAAAATATACTCTGACCTGCATTACTAGCATTTATCACTTATTATTTTCAATATTATTGTACATCTTATATTGCTCTAATACACAACCACTATCTTAGACATTTTTCCCTAATAAAATGTTAAATATAAAAAACAAATTGCAGAAAATGGGAGAAAAGTAAGGGAGGGGGTAAGAAGTTTGACAATAAGTGTACTCACTACATTACATATGTAACTGTAACCCCATGTACGTCACCTTGACAATAAAATTAAATTAACTCTGTTCTCATGTGGTGTTAATGTTTAATTAAAATCTAAATTTAATGCCTAAATCTAATTTTAAATTTATATCTAAATTTATAAAATATAATTTCTCAAGCAGTTTAGAGAGGCTAAATCATAAAGTTAATAAGATGTTTTACTTTTCTAAGTACAAAATCAATATATCCCTCTTTACTAGGTCTCTAATTTATTTGGATGATTTTCTTACGTCAGTTCATAGAATGTATAACAGTGAATTAATATCTGAAAAAATATATTAAATATTAGTAGTGAATCACATATTAATTCAACAGTCATTATTAATATTAGTAGTAATGAAAGCATATTAACTTTCAGGAATGTTTCAAGATACATTCAAAAATTACCAAGAACTGCATCTTACAAGATTAACTTTAGTCTCTTATTAAAACTACATTAATCTACCAAATTTCTTCCTGCAAATTATATCTCTGGCTACACATGATTAAATTTTAAAATGTACTCTGAAAGGAAAAAATTCACACACTCAACTGTTTTTCAAAAGTTTCTTTTCAAAATGGAAAAAAATCATTGGAAAGAATTTTGTGTTAATATACTTTGTGAATCTGTCTAAACTTTGATCTCCTAAGCAAAGGTCTGGTTAGGGGAGGACTATTCATTTACCTTCAATTTCTGAACAGATTCTAATGAAATCTTTATTTTTTTAATTTTTTAAATTTATTCCATAGTAAGTACCATTTCCATGATAATTCTTGCTTTAAGATCCCAGTTTCTACAAGATAGCACCAGCTGCCAATATAGGGGCCTGCAAGGAATAAACTAATCAAAGCTATATATTTTTACATGAATAACACAGTAATAGCAATAAAGTAGAGGAGATTAACTCACAATTATATAATCTATACAAATAACCCACATAAGAGCTCTTCTTTCTGTTATTTCATCTAAACAAAAATGTCTTGGGAAACTTGTACTTAATTACTGACAAAACTGATCAAGAAGTATCAACTGAGAAAAACAAAAACTGACCTACTGAATGTAGCACTCAATATTCAAATAGACTTGAAAAAATTGCTCATTATATTCCTACTTATTTTAAACAGTTCATGTAACAAGCTAGTTCTTCATTCATGGCTCTTGAGAGTCAGATTAATCCTTTAAGAGTTACAGTAACATCTGCATAACAACTAGTAAGCAGGCAAATGGGTTTGTCCCTCCAGAATTACAACTGAGCCTCTCTGATTTAGTCCTTGCTATGAGCCAGGTACTATGTTAGCCACTAGGTATATAATGATAATATACATATGCCCTACCCTCAAGGAATTTGTAATGCATTTTAAAGAAAGTTATCAAGTAATTAAACATAAGAACAAAATTTTCACTTTAAATAGGGCAAATGCTATGAAAGAAAAAAACTGGGTAGCATTCACAGAAATATGGAATTATAAAGGAGTTTATGATTTAGAGGTAAGGAAGGAATCTCTGAGGAAATGATGTTAGTACCATAAGAGAACTGACTACTATCTCACACACAAAAAAGGAAGAAACATTCTAAGCTAAAGGTAAAGCAATGAGACAGCTCTGTAGTAAGTAGGAGGAAACTGGCTTGGGGTAGAAAATTAGGGTGGCTTTAATAAGTAACTACTTACAAAGACCAAACTTTAGAGACCTCCTCCCATTTAGGCTTGGACCTTCCACATTTGGCTTCTCATTGCATGACATATTTTTTTTTTGTCGGTCGTGGGGCTTGAACTCTGGGCCTGGGCGCTGTCCCTCAGCTCTTCAGCTCAAGGCAAGCGCTCTACCACTTGAGCTACAGCGCCACTTCCAGTTTTCTGGTGGTTTATTGGAGATAGGAGTCTCACGGTCTCTCTCCTGCCCGGCCTGGCTTTGAACCGCGATCCTCAGATCTCAGCCTCCTGAGTAGCTAGGATTACAGGCGTGAGCCACCAGCACCCAGATGCATGACATATTTTAGCATGAATCCTGTCAAATTATCTCTAGCCAAAACTCTCAAAGCCTCTATGTGATCAAGTTGTTCATCCCCACTCTTAATATCTCATCACTCTGGCCTACTTTTCACAAGATTAGTATTAACTTTTTTTAGTAGTCTCTCCTTCACATACCTCCTAGTAGCTTTACATTTACCATGTTCCTGCGCTATAATCTGTAATTGTTACTGAATTCCAAATCAAGCCTAGATCTATACTGAAGTTTCATTTCTTTCACTGGAACTGTTTCTGAAATAAAAATCTTCTATCATTTTAACCATTATGCATTAATCTGATACTCCATTAATCTGATACTCCATGACATTCATTCTCTCTCTCTCTCTCTGACTCTGTCTCTCTGTCTGACTCTGTTTCTGTCTCTCTTTTTTCCCCTTGCTGGTACTGGGACTTGAACTCAGGGCCTGGGAACTGTCCTTGATCTTCTTTGTGCTCAAGAATAGTGTTCTACCACTTCAGCCACAGTGCTGCTTTCAACTTTTCCTGAGTAGTTTTTTGGAGATAAGAGTTTCATGGAAGCCAGGTGCTGGTAGCTCATGCCTTTAATCCTAGCTACTCAGGAAGCTGAGATCTGAGGATCGAGGTTCAAAGCCATCCCGAGCAGGAAAGTCTGTGAGAGTCTTATCTTCAATAAACCACTCAGAAAACTCGAAGTGGTGCTGTGGCTTGGAGCACTAGCCTTAAGTTGAAGAGCTGAGGGACAGCGCCCTAGCCCAGAGTTCAAGTCCAACGACCGACCAAAAAAAAAGTCCTATGGACTTTCTTGCCAAGGCTGGCTTTGAACTCTGATACTCAGATCTCACTCTGCCAAGAAGCTAGGATTATTGGTGTGATTCACCAGCACTCAGCTTATGTGGCATTCCTAAAGGCTAGAAAGATAAAAGCTCTATCACATAGGGCTTCCTAAGCCTCTAGAAGGACTCTGGATTTAAACATTTCACTCAATGGTCACATTATTCACAAAGATGCAGAAAAGACAGAAAAGTTATACAGGCAATATTATTTCAATTTTGGACATTTAAAAGTTACAATTTCAAATAGTAATCTCAAGGAGACACCTAATACCTAATCACAGTAGCCTAGAGTTCAGAAGGAAAGTTTGAACTAAGGTTATAAACTTAAAACTCATTAGCATATCGATAGAGTTTAAAGCCACAAGAATGAATGAGCAAGAGGAATGCTTATGGAAAAACTTGAACAGTTTAGCAGAAGCAGAAGCAGCCAAGCATATAGTAGATGCAAACCTAATGGTAGACACACCAGGTATTACCACCTTTGATAATGACTATAGTTAATATAGCACTATATAAAAACAGCACTTTCTACTTATTTCACTTAACTGCCATTAACCTAATGAGAAGTACACTAATTCAAGATAGGTAGATGTTAGAAAATTGTGTGTGATAACATACATAAAAGCAAACTGGGAATTGGTATCCACTATAGGAAGAAAGACTACAAAAAATACAAGCTTTCAATGTTAAATAATTTTTTTTATTTTATCCATTCAACCAGGATAAAGACAAACAGCATTTCTCAACCACAACAAGCAGCCAAATTTAAATTTACTCTTCTACATTTACACACAGTTGTACTCTAAAAGGTAAACACTGAAAGAACAGAATTCAAGATTACTACTTTTAATAAACTTACTTATATTCTGGTATAAAAAGCACAATCTTGGCTGCATAGGTTTTAGTTTGAAGTTTCTGTTCAGAGATTTTACTTTTATCTAGCCTAATTTATCTAAATTTTTAGTACTAATGAAATTTTTTAAAGTATACTTTTGTTAAAACCAAAAAATCCAAGCAACTAACTTAAGTCAGATGGTTCTTAAATTATAAACCAGAAATCTCTGAGGGAAAAAAAAGTCCTCCAAGATCCTCTCAGGATCAATTAACTGAGTCAAAGCATATTTCTCTCACAAGCAAATAGTAAGACTTTTTAAAAAGGAACATGATGGTATGATATCATACATCTATCAACTAACGGAATATATGCATAAATAATCTTGTGCCTTTTTCTTTTAATTATAATACATATATATTACAAAGAGAATCTACAGAAACAAAAGCTCTTTGAGGTCTTCAACAAATTTTAAGAGTTCCTCAGGGTCTTAAGGCTGAAAACTGTGAGAACTACCTACTACTTTTAATATAGTCATTATCTAGTATAAGTTTATACTTACCCTGACAAAATAGCGCATGATCTTGTTCTGGAAATCTCCAGGAGGTAGCAATAAATATAATAAGACCTCACACAAATCCCTTAGGAACGCTAAAAACAGAGAAAGTAGCTGTAATAACTTAAGAAAATCGAATATTCACTTACTCCTAAGAAACAGAAAAATGTTAGGAATAATTTATTCCCTGGTTACATAGCTTATTATTTTAGTAATCAGTACATTCAATAAAAATTACTCCACAGTTTTCTAAGTAGCTATTATTCACTAATCAAATTACTAATACTTTTTAAATTTTTTTAAGTTTTAACCAGTGTTTAAATAATGACAAATTCTGATTACATTTTTCTCCAAAACACATGTAGATATTCCATGTATTTTCTACATTTACCATGTATTAATTAACTTTGCATATTTAGAAGTTATTCATGCACTGAAAACTGTATCTTTTTCAAGGGAGAACAAAAAAAAAAGAATCTACCTCTGCAGAAAATAACAAAGAAAGAGTACCTTTCTTTTATTCTATTGATAAAAGATGATGTAACATACATAAAAGTACTGCACATCTTTATATTCACTTCTTAGATTTAACTATAATTTAATAATAATGAAAATAAAGCAGCAATTAAAAGTTGAATTTTAGCCAGGCACTAGTAGCTTACACTGTAATTCTAACTATGCTGGAGGCTTAGACCTAGACTATCATGATTTGAAGCCAACCAGGAAAGAAAAGCCCTTGAGACATCGTTTCCAAATAACATGCAAAATGCTGGACTGGAGGCATGGCTCAAGTGATACAGCTTGCTAACCATAAAGCAAGCTGAAGAATAACAGTATGAGGACCTTGTTTCAAGTTCCACTGTAAGCACAGGTAATAACAACAAAGCAACTAAATTTTATAATAAAATGTAAAATGAGAAAAGAATATCAAAAAAGAAAGTTCAGCACTTTTTCAAAATTAGAAAAGATGTAATGTAAAATTGAAAAGCTTCTATCCAGATGCTAGTGGCTCACACCTATAATCCTTGCTACTCAGGAGGCTGAGATTTGAAGATCATGGTTCCAAGCCAGCCCAGAGCAGGAAAGTCCATGAGACTCTTATCTCCAATGAATCACAGAAAAAGCCAGAAGAAATGTTGTGGCTCAAGTGGTAGAGCACTAGCCTTGAGAAAAAAAAAAAAAAGAAAGAAAAAAAAAAAAGATGATCAGGGACAGTGCCCAGGCCTACCTAGTTCAAGCCCAAAGACTGGCAAAACAAACAACAAAAAAACTGAAGAGCCTTGACTGAAACCTGCTAACTTCTTAAAAAGAAAAGACAAGTCAATGTCCATTGGAATCTATATATTTTATTTAAAATCATTTCATCATTCTCTTAGACTCCTGAAGCAAAACTAATAAGTTCAAGGAAAAAAGAAATCATACTTTGTGATGTGCTTAATTATAAAGTGTTCTCTTTGTATAGTAAAAAAAAGAACGTAGAAACTTTGAGTTAAAAGTAAAACGAATAATGTCTTCACTATGTTATCTGTCTTGTGTAAGAATAATTTCCCTTTAGATCTGTTTTGCTATTTTGTGTTTAACCTGTTACTGTTCTCAAAAGAGTTATATTAAAAAGAAAACCTTCTTCATCTTTGGGAGAAGTGCACACTAGGTCACGGCAAACTTCCTTCTCCATTTCAACTTCAACTTCAAAGAAGGTATCTACAAGGTCTTCAGCTGTACCTGGAAAAAGAAATAATTAAGAAATAATTAATGATACACAAAGTGATACAACATATTTTTTAAATCCTGTTTCACACAGAATGGAAATATTACCTTTTACTTGATCATCTTTCTCTGTTACTTTCTGTTGAGCCTTTCTGAACACTCGCAGGTGTGTGCCAAAATCATCTACAATGCGTGTTGTAAAATAAGGTTGCCAGTCTATTTCCTTTGACCTTGTAGAAAACACATTATAAAAGCATTATGAACATTCTTTAAAGAAAATAAGTTTTAATGACTGATAGAATGATTATCACAGAAACTCAGATTATGTTTATTAATTTATTTTACATCTTAGATTCTACTTCATTAGACCCAAAGTATACCAAATATACTTCCTTATTCTAATGATATCATTTATACACCAAAGCTTTAAAGTACTATTAAACTCTTAATAGTTTCCCAGTTCAATCTGAAATAAGTTTGACTACAGGTACATCATATACTTAGCACAGATGTAAGAATACATAAGGGATCAGATGTTTCTGTTTGTATTTTAAACATTTCTCAGTTTCTTCTGCATCCATTCTGAATTTTCCACATTCTTTACTTATAATTCAATTTATAATACTAGCACTTAAAAACATGATTATGGGTAGGGTACCAGTGGCTCATGTCTAAAGTCCCAGCTGTTCAGAAGCCTGAGGTCTGAGGATGGTTATTAGAAGCCAGGCCAGGCAGGAAAGTAAGAAAGACTTATTTCCAATTAATCACCAAAAAAAGAAGTGAAGCTATGGCTCAAGCGATAGAGTACTAGTTTAACAAAAAAGCTCAAGAACAGCACCCCGGCACTGAGTTCAAGCCAAAGGAACAAAGGACCATTAGAAATAACTAGTCATATAGAAGTATCACCATATAAAATACCATATAGAATGTTTATGAAAAGCAGTGACTGCTGAAATTTATGAAATTATCTAGTACTCTTTCTCAAAAAGAACAAACTTCAAGAAACTTGTTAATTCAATACAACAGCAAGGCATACAAAATAAATTTTATATAATTACATATCTCCTTAAAATGAATACTTTTTTAAAAAATTAACTTTTCAAAATTATCTGTTTATTATCTTTTTTTTGGGTGGGGGGGGTTGGTCATGGGGCCTGAACTCTGAGCCTGGGCGCTGCCCCTCAGCTCTTCAAGGCTAGTGCTCTACCACTTAAGCCACAGCACCATTTCTGGCTTTTTCTGCTTATGTGGTGCTGAGGAATTGAACCCAGGGCCTCATGCATGTAAGGCAAGCAATCTACCACTGAGCCACTTTCCCAGCCCCTGTTTATTATCTTTATAAGTACAACACATCTTAATCAATGTCACCCCTTTCATGATTCTCCTGCATCTTTCCGAAGCCCACCTATTCCCTCAATTTTCCTAGTTCCATTTTACATATATGTACTGAATATTATTACTGTATTTCCCATCCTTTTCTTCACCGAATGATATTTTTAAATAAATATTTCTTCCCATATAGTTTTTCCTAACATAGCACTAACATCAATTCACCCTTTTAGAAACACTTCAAATAAATAGAACACAAAGAATCTATTCATAAAGATACAGAGCAATAAAGGGACCAAGGGCAATAGGGAATCAGAAAAATATCCAATAATTCGTTATGGTAATTATCAACACAGAGAAATGACTTGATCACTGTCCCATTTTGGAAGGAAACTTTAAATAGCAATGGCACTGAGAAAATAACAGATGGCTATTCAAAGGAAATCAGCTATTAACACTCAGATGTTAATCATTAAAAATATCTCTATGGTTTATTACATACATGGAAAGAAAAATTAAGTACATAAACCAAAAAATAAACATTAGCAATCATCCCTGAACTTAGAATCTATAAAATTAATATTATTTACAATATAAGACACATTCATATATGAATAACAAAAGCTAGTAACAATATCAACCTCATCATAAAAAAGTGTAAAGTGAAAACTTAAAATTTAGGTTATCTCAAGACAGCTTTTCTTTTTATTTAATAAAATAAATTTATAATCTTAGTATGCATGTTTCAAAACTCTTTTTATAAATATTCAGTCATTTATACTGAAAATTTTATAAAAACAATTCACTTACTATAGGTCAATGGTTAATTTAATCCACAAACATTCTAACAAATTTAGAAGAAAAACTATAGTGCTTCAAGTTATATCTGTTATGTTTAATGGTACAGTACTATTTAATTCACTAAAATTTTCAAAAAAAATAGAATTTACCAATATCAGAAAACATCTCAGTCAAACCCCTTTCAAGTCACTAAAGGAGTCAGTAACATTTAAAATTTGTAAAATTGGCTTAGTTGCTGGTGGCCCATGCCTATAATCCTAGTTACTCTGAAGGCTGAGATCTGAAGTTGGTGGGCCAGCCTGGGCAGAAAAGTTGGTGAGACTCTTATTTTAACCAGCAAAAACCTAGGTGCTAAGTTGTGTCTCAAGTAGTAGAGTACCAGCTTTGAGCCAAAAAGCCAAGTGAAAATGTAAGGCCATGAGTTCAAACTCCATTACACACACACACACACACACACACACACACACACACACACACACACACACACACACACACACACACACACACACACACACACACACACACACACACACACACACACACACACACTCATAACCATTCATTTCTATTTATAACAGACACAGAGAAAAAAGAATATTCAATCTCTACTTTCAACATAATTATTTTCCTTCATTTTTACTTTCTTCCAATGACTACATAAAAGTATGAGACATCAATTCCAAAGATCTTATGTAAATGAGGAAGAAAAATATATTGGTTCTTATTTATAAACAGAGAATATACACTAAAATTTTCTAATGACATTTAAGAAAATTAAGATTTTAATGACAGTGAAATACTTTCTAAAATTATAGTGAATGACACACAAATAAAACATGAATTTAAAAAATCATTCAGTTATGTTATAACCATACTTCCTTCAATTATATTCAATACCTAGCTTTCTGAAGCTCTTAATATCAATTATCCATAAATAATGTCAAATGAAATCTTCTTTACTTTATTTAAAATATTCTCCTATATGATACCTACTGTAGTAAAACCATACTGAGTTATTACACAAACTTGTTACCATTTTATTAAAGAAGTTTACTTGATTTAAAAATAACCATATTTCTTAGATTAAATAATGTGAACCAATCAACACGAGCCTAGAAAAATAAAATTTATAGTAAGTTTCTGTAGCTTATATACTTGACAAACTGGTGACAAACTGGTTTCAAGAGAAAGTTAAGTTGACTAGAAAAGAAACAAGCAATAAAAGTTTAACATACAAAGGCAAAGACAAATCATAAGGCACATTTCTGAGCATAAATTTCCCCATTTTATCTCTAGATTATCTTCTCACCATTATCCTAATCCTAGATTTCCCATACCCACTTTTCTCCCATCTTCTTTCCATTCTATTCTTCATTCATCATTGTTTATATATCATATACATATAAATATAAACAAGAGTTTTACAATAATACCTCCTCTTTACTTCCAGAGCTAATAATAAATATATTCTCTCAGAATTTGCATACCTAAATTCTTTATTCCCTCTCGGTTGACTATTTTGTCTTTTTCCTTCCTCTCGGTTCTCCAGATGCACTCCAATATACATCTCCAATGTGTCAAAGTGCTTCTGCACAGACTTTCTCTATAATGTAACATTCTACAATATAATTTTCTTCTTAAAGCAGCTAGTTTTAATATAAACCAATAATCCCCAAAATCACTATTAATATTTAGTATTTCTGATTAATATCTTTTTTATACATAAATATTTATAAAGTTTACAAAGTTGAAATCATATGGTAAGTAGTACTTTGTGTGATTTTCATTCTAATAGATCTTCTGTATCTTTAATCTTGTTTGAATGGCTACAAAAATGTCTCTTTAAGGTATTAGTAAGCTTTTTGTGATAGAGCAAATTAACACTACTTTAGGTCTTACAAAATACAACCCTTTACCATAGCCAATTTACTCTCACATTATAGTACAAAAGCAGTTATGGATAATTACAAACAAATGAACATGATGGTCCTGTAAAATTGTATTTACAAAATAACAGGCAGTATACTGTATATTCAACAGCAAAATGGCAAGCCACCTAATTTAAAAGTAGAAAAAGATTTGAATAACCTTGCTTATGTAACTGTAACCCCTTTGTACAGTATTTTCACAATAAAAAAACTTAATTTAAAAAAAGAAAAAGATTTGAATAGATACCCAAAGACAAAGAACTGCCTAATAAGCATATGAAAAGATATGATTAGCTACCATAAAAATGAAAATCAAAATCATGATGAACTACTACTTCACTCTCACTAGGCTGGTTATAGTCAAAAGACAGCCAAAAACAAGTATTGACAGGATATGAAAACACTGAACCCTCATACATTACTGGTGGGAATGTAACAAAAATAGTCACCTTGAAAGAGTGGGCATTTTCCTAAAACAACACTTATATGACACAGACATCACATTTCTAGGTATATACTGTAGAGAAATGAAAATAAATACGTAATAACCTTCTCCTGGTCTGTTTTATAGATTTGAAACTATTAAGTCATTTCTTTTTTCTTTTTCTTTTTGTTTGTGCCAGACCTGGGCTTGAACTCAAGGCATGGGTGCTGTCCCTGGGCTTCTCTTGCTCAAGGTTAGCACTTTACAACTTGAGCCACAGCTCCACTCCTGTTTTTTGTTTTGTTTTGTTTTGTTTTTGAGCTAAGCGTCTCATGGACTTTCCTGCCAGGGCTGGCTTTTAACCTTGATACTCAGATCTCAGCCTCCTGAGGAGCTAGATTACAGGCATGAGCCCTACTCTTTCACTTTCTTATAAATATTTAAGTGGTTTCTAATAATATTTGCTCTATTTCTGAGTAATGACAGTTTTGATCTAAGTTTTTAAATGCCAAAGAATACAAAAAAGAAAGAAAAAGTATGAAACTCAATTGTTGCAACTGTCTACTCTCTGGGTCATTTCTTAAACATAAGTTAAGTAATATACTATTTCTTTTCACTATTTCCATAGCAATAGTAAGAAAGAGAGTAAAACTTTTAAGATACCCACTCTCATTTCTGAAACAGTAATATGAACACTATCATGACCAGAGAATCCTGGAAGCTACATATCACTATCTCCTTCCTACAGGAAAAACTCATTAGAAAGAAATACGTAAGAACACCAGGATGTCAGAATATGTCTTTCTGCTAATTTGGAGTTATGGCAACAGAGGTGAAAGGACTTCTTAATCATATTTCACTTTCAGGAACAAAACAAGGTTTCTTACTCATCTGAATGTCTTTATGGTTTCTACAACATTATCCTATCCTCTTTCTTAGAATTCTGCTCACACTATTTATTCCTCTTTCCTAACAGCCCTTCTCCACCTTAACACTTTTTTTTTGTTAGTTTTTTGTTAGTACTGGGGTTTGAACTAAGGGCCTAATTAGTGATCTTGCTTTGCTTTTTTCACTCCAAGCCAGAGGTCTACCACTTGACACATACCACTACCTTCAGGCTTTCTGAGGTTTGAGGATTTTTCTCTCATCTAGCTTTGAGCAATACTCAGATTTCAGCATCCTGAGTAGTAAAGGTGTGAGCCACTCACACTCAAATTAAAACCTACTCTTAGGTTGTAGCCTCAGCCCAAATGAAGTCTTCATTTCCTTTATTCTACTTTAGCTATACATAACAAATGGTTTTGATACAATTTAAGTAATTGCCTTATTTCTCTACCTTTCACTCTCTTTAATATTGTTTTCCTTGTTTGCTCTGTACTCATCACTAAAACCTGAGACAAGGTCAAAAACAGTAATGACAAAAATAATTATTGAATAGTTGCAAAGTACCAAATAACTGAAGTGCAGAAAGCCAAGATATGGCTGTTAGTTTATGAATATGTTACAAAATGTTTTACCCACATCATCTCATTTGTCCTTCAAATACTCTACATTTGCTACAAGTACTTATATTACTATTTTACTGATGTTAAGAACTTTTATAGTGAGGGGGCTGGGAAGGTGGCTCAGTGGTAGAGCGCTTGCCTTGCATGCATGAGACCCTGGGTTCGATTCCTCAGCACCACATAAGCAAAAAGAAAAAAGCCGGAAGTGGCGCTGTGGCTCAAGTGGTAGAGTACTAGCCTTGAGCTGAAGAGCTGAGGGACAGCGCCCAGGCTCAGAGTTCAGGCCCCATGACCAGGCCCATAAAACAAACAAACAAAAAAAGAACTTTTATAATGAGAAGGGGAAATAAAGGAGGAGGCAACAATGCTTGGTAAGACTCATTACCTTCCCCATGTAATTATAACCCCTCTGTACAGTATTTTCACAATAAAAAAAAGAACTTTTATAGTAGTGTACCTGTCACTTAATAGTAGAAACAGAATTATAATAAGCATCTTCTGACATCTAGTGTATGGTTGGTTTACAGATTTATATATCTTCTTTAAAAGGGGGAATAAAAATGCATCTATTATTGAGGATTCACCTATTAAAACAGCCATAGCTTAATTCACACTCAAGGTCCAGAGAAACTCAAGGGTATCTAAGGAGTTTCCATCCCCAAACTGAGTTTGGAATAACAAATATTAAAGCTATTCTAAAATGTGTCATAATAAAGTACTCTAACATGTGAAATCATTTAGTCCTACCTGATTAGTAGATATGGGTTAGTAACTCTGAACTCAAAGAATTTGTGTTTTACCCATTGCAGGTCACAGAGCTTAATAAGTAATAAAGTTCAAATCTAGGAAACTCAAGTTATGTCTATTTCTTCCCCAAATTTTTCACTCAACATTTCTCTGTTTTATGCCAAGATTTTGTAACTTTTTTAAGGTTGATGAATTGGTTCTAAATACGTTACGGTTCACAGAGGCATTTGAAAAGTCAAGTATAAGCCAGATGTGGTAGTACACACTGGTAATCCCAGAATTTAAGGGGCTAAGATAGGAAGATTCAAGAGTTCAAAGTCAGCCTAGGATACATAATGAGATCTGTCTCAAAAACAACACAAAAATCCAATCTACAGAAGGACTCAACAGAAAAATAAAAGTTACTTTGGTATATATTTTCAGATTTGTGGGATCCTGGTTGAGATACGTGCTAACATATTCTTGCTGTTATATGCTCCACAGTGTATAGCAGATAATACAGAACAAAGATAAACATAGCACTTTGGTGACTGTAAACAGACCTAATTCCTGAACGTTGGTATAGGAAACAGTCATGGAGTTTTTGGTAAGATGTATATTTTTGTAGTATTCAAAAAAGCCAATATGGGAAACCATGGGACTTCTATTTCTTTGGGTCTGGCTTACTTCATTACTATTATTTTTTCCAAGTCTCTCCATTTCCTAACAACTGGGTCAGTGTCATTCTTTCTGATGGAAGTATAGAATTCCATTGTGTGTGTACACATACATACACACACACACACACACACACACACACACACACACACACACACACACGACAAAATGCTGAAACAAGGACACAGGATGACCCATTGCAACAATGATACAAGATATTATGTTGGAAATGAACTTTACAACTTGGGGGGGGGGTGGAGTGGGGGAGGTAAGAGAGAGATGGGATAGTAGGAGAAAAACAAAGGAAGAGATAACAATGCTCCACAAGAAATGTATTCATTACCTTACTGATAACCCTCTGTACAGCGTCTTTAAAAAATACATTTTTTAAAAAAGCCAACTTATAGTTGGGCATCTGTGGCTTATGTTTGTAATCCTAGCTACTCAGTAAACTGAGATCTGAGGATTAGAGTTCAAAGCAAGCCTGTGCAGGAAAAAACTGACACTCTTATCTCCACTTATAAGCCAGAAGTAGAATTGTGACTCAAGTGGTAGAATGCTAGCCTTGAGCAGAAAAGGCAAAGGGAAGGCACTCAGGCTCTGTGTTCAAGCCCAGTACTGGCATACACATGCACGCATGTGCACGTGTGATTGTGCGCACACGCACACACCCATGAGCATGCACACGCACACACGCGCGCGCACACACACACACACACACACACACAGAGCCAACTTAGGAAAGTTGTTCACAGAGAAGGCATCTATAACAAATGAATCTTGCTGTATGCTAAGGGCTTTACTTGATATAATTTTTTAGCCTCAAAGGAACCGCTAAATCAGCATCAGTGTTTTTTTTAAGTTTGCCAAAACTTAAAGCCAATGGCCAACCAAAAATATAAATTCAAATCAGTCTGAAGATGGAAGGCACGAGGCTCCAGTGGCTCACACCTGTAATCCTAGCTACTCAGGAGACTGACATCTGAGGATGGAGATTCAAAGCCGGCCCTGGCAGGAAAGTCCTTGAGACTCTTAACTCCAATAAAAGCACCAGAAAACCAGAAGGGGTGCTATTGCTCAAGTAGTAGAGTGAGATAGCCTTGAGCTGAAGAGCTGAGGTAAATAGCACCCGGGCCCTGAGTTCAAGACCCACAGCCAAAAAAAAAAAAAAATGATGGCAGGCACAAGGGTTTTCCAGTGATTAAACAAGTACTACTTTTCTTTCTCTCTTTCTTTTTTGTGGTACTACTAATGGGACTTGAACTCAGGGCCTCACACCATCACTAGGTACTCTCACTCAGCACTGTACCACCTGAGAAGCCACACACTTTCAGTTTTGTTTTGTTTTGATGATTAATTGGAGTTGACTTTCTAGGCTTTGGCTGGCCAGGCTGGCCTCAAATTTCAATCCTCAGATTATCAGTCTCCTAAATAGCTAGGATTTTAGGTGTGAGCCACCAGTACCTGGCTTCTGATATTACATTTAATATTTGATAGTACAGAATATTTTTAAAAAATAGATATGGAATGAGAGAAGGAAAAGAGATGAGTGGATCAAAGGAAATCATTTCAATGGGAAAACTGAAAGGCAAGAAACAGATGAATAACCTAGATCTGAACGTATCTGATAGACAATCAGAGAAGGAACATCAGACTCTTAACTAGAATTCATTGGAAAACACTAAACTGTTAACTTTTTTGGACCTTTGATACCTAATCTATATAATTATGAGTTTTGGATGATATGGTAACTTAAATTTAAATTAAAACTCTGCCTGCCCAATCTCTACAACATTCTCATATTCCTATTTGCACTTCAGTCCTCAGAGCAGAAACATATGAATAGTCACTGCTGTACCCTCAACACCTTGGACAGAAATGGCTCAAAATACCAGGTAAGTTTTACTTGATACAGTTAAAAATTAAGCTTATCAAATGTAAAGATGCTCTTATATCTGAAATAAACTTATGTGATCCAAAGCCAGAGCGGGCAGTCCGTGAGACTCTAATCAAGTAACCACCAGAAAACCAGAAGTGGCACTGTAGCTCAAGTGGTAGAGTACTAGTCTTGAGCTGAATAGCTGAGGGGCAGCGCCCAGAGTTCAAGCCCCATGACCAACAACAACAACAACAAAAGTAACTTCAGGATCATTCCCTTTCATATAACAATTCCAGTTAAAAGGTTATCAAAAATAAAAATGAAAGTCAGCATTAAATTCAAAGTGAGTATCTACCTTTAGAAATCAAATCCATTTTACTAGGATAATGAACCATAAGTAAACAGTCCATTTTTAAAGTCAGCATTCTAGTATAGCTAACAAGAAAATGCAGTTCTCTTCTAAAATAAAATAAATGAATAAACTGAATATTCTCCATTGCCTATGCTCTATGCTCTCCTCCATCTGAGAGGAGTTGTACCATGTATGTGCCAATGTTAACACAACACTATTCTAAAATTGCAGTTATGAAGAGTAGTTATACCACCACTAATTTTCTTTCATAGTACAGAAAATAGGAGGATATACACAGTAAGTGGAATAAAGGACTTGAAAATTACCTTTTTAGACCACATTTTCAAACAAAAACAAAAACAAAACAACACACAGAGAGCAGAGCTTAAGTATTCTATAAAATCCTCATGTTTAATAATCTGGAAACTAACCCACTATAATAGTATATTGTTCTACTTACCTTTTAATTAATAGCCCCATGTCATTTAAAAGTTCTTTTCCCTATCAGAACATATCAATTTTTCTGCATAAAAACAATGTAGTGATCTTACCTAGTAGCAAACTGAATAAGGGCATTTTGAAGAGTCTGTCTAATTTCAAGAAGAAAAGATTCATCATCACTTAGTGTATAATACCAATACTGGACATAATCCCTCAAGGAAAACTGGATAACCTATAACAAAATATATTGAGGGAACAAATTCAACATTTTAGAATTCTTAAAATAACAACAGAAAGTTAAAAATAAAGATGATTATCTGTCAATATGTACATCTTAAATCCCTACCATTACTATAAAACTACCATCATTTAAAAACTCTTTTAAAGTTTTAAAATTACTCTGATATTCCAATTTATTTACTGCCCAAACACTTTATAAAATATTATCTATAGACAAACTCCACCCAAATTCAGGTAAGGATAGTTTGCAGGAGAAAAAATTCAGTGGTATAAATCTAAATCGATTTGATGAAATAAGAGCCAAAACAATGTAGATAGACACCAATTCTCAAAACAATGTCTAATAATAATATTGGAATTCACATATAGCCAATAGGATTATTAGTTCATAAGCGGCAAATACAAATCAATGTACATACATCTTTTACAAATAAGATAAATTAAATGTGCATTTGTTTTAAAATAAATGTTAAGATTTTAAAGTACAAAATATTTATAATGCTCATATAATCAAAATGATGAAGAAAATGTGGGAGGGGAAATGTTTTACCTAATTCTAACTTTGAGCATATTTTAATCAAACCATTTAAATTTGTGTTTTTTCAAAGAATCATAAAATAGAAAAGTTTCTAAAACTGTTTCTAAAACCCACTGAGCTAATTTATCATCAAAAATTAATAGTTTGATGCTTATAATGCTAAAATTAAGCTGGCCACCAGTGGCTCATACCTGTAATCCTAACTACTCATGAGGCTGAGATCTAAGGATTGCTATTTGAAGCCAGCCCTGGCAGAAAAGTCCCTGTGAGACTCTTATCTCTAATTAACCACTCAAAAACTGGAAATGGTGCTATGGCTCAAGTGGTAGACAGCTAGTTTTGAACAGAAAGAGGCTCAGAGACAGTGCCTAGGCCCCTGAGTTGAAGCCCCACAACTGACCAAAAGAAAAAAAAGAGAGAGAAAGAAAAAGAAAGAAAATTATTAAAAAAAATTTCAATTGTCAGCCAAACAATTTTCAAATATAGATTTACCCAAAGACTTTCATAGTAAGTAATTACCTTATAACAGATGCTAAATAAGACAGAATCTTCAGGTACAAAATTCATGTGTAGCATTATCATAAAATTTCAGCATATTATTTAAACCAAATGTATTTTAGTATTCTCCAAAGAAATACAGTATACCCTAGCAAACAATATATCGATTCAAATACCACACACTGAAACTTACTTGCTGGAGAGGTTCATCAATTATATTGGCACCCGTTAATCTTCTATCAATCTTAATAGTCCTAGCTTCCCGTTTCATTTCTTCTAAGCACTTAAAAGAAATCATAGTATTTTATTCAGTAGTTTCTTGATTTAAGATTTTTCCAGTTCACTTCAAGTTGAATTCTCATTGTAACATTGCCTTATAATACTCAAGATACTAATTTCTTGAGAATCTAGCATTTGCAAAACACTATCTACAAAAATTTAAATTGGCAAATATTATTTAGAATGTGGAAAAACTGCCATATTTCAATGAACTTAGAAATTACAGTGCTTTATTGAGACTCAAATCTCCTTCCTTCCTCTCACTTCTCAGTCTTAATCACTAGCACATTAGCTGCAAAATGAATAGATTTTTAAAAAAATGATTTTATTTAAGGACAATTTAAGCAACTACGGAAAATGTATTCCTTTTCCTTAGAAAGGTCAATAGAGGCATGAAGTAAAAAGTAGAGGGAGACTTTTTTTTTCTTTTGGTGCTAGTACTGGAGCTTGACCTTAGGGCTTAAAGCTCTTGCTTGGCTTTTTTGCTCTCAGCTGTCATTCTACCACCTAAGCCAGAGCTCCTCTACAGACTCTACTACATAAAAGAGTCTTATAAACTTCTGGGCTGCCTTCATACCCCAATCCTCAGATCTCAGTTTCCTGAGTTGCTAAGATTATAGGTATGAGCCACTAGTGCCAGGAAGTGGGAAATCCTTTAAAAATATAATTCCAGGCATATGTATATACAGTCATTCACTGCATCACATTTTAGTAACAATGGACCAAATTTACTGCAGTGGTCCTGTAAAGTTACAAAGGTCCTAAAAAATTCTGATTGCCTAGTTAATATTAGCTGAAGAAGAGGCAAGAAGAAAGAAAATTAACAAAGAAGGGGGAAGGGGGCTCAAGAAAATTTAAAGATTGGGCAGAAGCTTTTCCTGACCTCAATTGAGTACGTCTTTAAAATTCTGAAAACATGGACCCCAACACTGAAAAACTTCCAACATAAGCAAATCTATGGTGAAAAAAAGAAACCAAACAAACCACCATGAACTTTTTTCTGAAAACAGCTGCACTGCCTCAGCCCCAGGAAAGTTTTTCAAGAGGGATGCCAGAAGACTGCGTCATCACAGGGACAGTGGCTTCTCCTGAAGGCCTTCCAGCAAGATAGGGTATAGAAGGGGAAGTCCCTGAGTAAGCCAAGGATAGTGTGTGTGAGTGTGTGTGTGTGTGTGTGTGTCTGTGTCACACATGTGCATGTATGTCCATGTATGTGTGTGTTTTTCGGCTGGCACTGGTGTGTTTTAAACTGTTCTTTCAAAAGGCTCGAAATTTATTTTAGTTTGTAACGTAAGCTAGCTGTCAGTGGCTCTGCTACCTTCTCAAGAAACTTAGATCTGAGGATCATAGTTCCAAGCTAACAGACAAATGTTCTTATCTCCAATTAACAAGCAAAGCTGGAACTGGAGCTGTGGCTCAAGTGGTATAGTGCAAGCCACAAATGAAATAAGCCAAGCAAGAACATGAGACTCAGTTTAAGCCCCAGTATTAGCACAAAAATAAGTTATTAATTTATTTTTTTAAAAACATGCTTATATAGAAAAAGTTACAGTAACCTAAAATTTACTTATTGAATAAATATGTACATTTTTACAAATTTAGTATAACCTAAGTGCTTAGTGTTGATTACAGTGACATACTATCTAGGTTTGCTGCCTAAGAGCAATAGCGTAGACCACATAAGATCTTAAGTAGATAAACTAGAAGAGAATGAAATGCTTCAAAAAAAGCAAAGGTCAAGTCGATATGTCGAAAAATGAACTTTACAACCTTGGGGGGGGGGGGTAGCGGGGAGGATTGGGTGGCAGTGCGGGGGGAGGATGGGAAGGGATGGGAAGGGGAAACAAAGGAGGAGGCTACAATGCTTGATAAGAAATGTACTCATTATCTTGCCCATGTAATTGTAACCCCTCTGTACAGTATTTTTACAATAAAAAAAATAATTGCTCTACTTGAAATAAAGAAAGGCATTTTTTCCTTTAAAAAAAAAAAAAGCAAAGGTCTAATTCCTCAGAAAAGACTACTAAACAATACTCAAAGAATATATATTAACGAAAGTTCTAATGCAAAAGGTTGGGTTTTTTTGTTTGGTTGGGGTTTTTTTTTTGTCGGTCATGGGGCTTGAACTCTGGGCTTGGGCACTGTCCCTCAGCTCTTCAGCTCAAGGTGAACGCTCTACCACTTGAGCCACAGTGCCACTTCCAGTTTTTTAGTGGTTTATTGGAGATAAGAGTCTCATGGACTTTCCTTGCCTGGGCTGGCTTTGAACCGCGATCCTCAGATCTCAGCCTCCTCAGTAGTTAGGATTACAGGCGTGAGCCACTGGCGCCCGGCTAAGGTTGTTTTTTTAAGTCTCAAATTACAAAGAAGTTACAAGTATGAAATCCAGTTATACCATTGGAAGGTATTAATCTGAGGGAAATCAAATCAGTATACAAAAAAGACAACTAACCATGCTTATTGCAGCACTGTGCACAAGAGCCAAGATATGAAATCAGCATAGATTCTAACCAGAAAAATGAATTTTAAAAATAACACATGCATAAAAATTGAAGTATTAGTCAAACAAAGAAAGAACTTGAGTCATTTGTAGACAAATGGATGGAACTGAAAGACTTATACTCAACTAAGGAAAATAAGTATCATATTATATGTTACTCTCCTGTAGAGAAAAAACAAAACAAAAAATTCAGAAAGTAGAAGAGGAACTGTTAGGGCAAAGGAAAGGAAGATGAGAAAAGGGAAAGTAAAAAAGCAAAGGGTAGGTTGTATATGATCAAAGCAAGATATATACATATATTTGCATATATGTCACAGTGAAACCAATAAACATATATATTGATATACATTAACAATAATGCTAAAAAATTCAGTAAACATTATCCATATGAAAGTTACTAGGAGTAAAATTATTTAATTATAGCAATATAATACAGCATTTTGACATTCCATGTTAAAACATTAAGAAAACATTTAAATTAAGCTACCTTTTTCTCAAATTTGCATTACCACATTTTTACATAACACTGAGAATGATTACAGGTTAATTTTTAATTATTTGTAGTGATAGGGTTTAACTATGGTACTTCCATAGATATATACAGCACATAACATTTGAATATATTTACTTCCTCTACCATATTTCAATTCCTCTATTCTCAGCTCCCTTAAAATGTTTTTTCTAAGTATGACCAGATAATCACCCATAAATTCCTAGTGAGCATTAATCAACAGGAAAATCTGCCAAGCCATAACTGATGATCACATTTATAATCATTGTAGAGAAATTAACTTTGAGGTTTGCCATTCCCTTACACTATTTACCTTAGGAACCCCAGTTGATGTAGGAGGAAGAAATGAGTGTTCACACTGCTCTAGGTATTTTTCTGAATTTGTTTTCCCAAACAGAAGAGTAACCACTAAGCCCCTAGATGGGGGGAAAAAAAAGAATAATTATAGATACAAAAATATCTACTATGAAATATCTTTTTCAGATCTTACAACTTTTTTATTACAAATTCAGTTTGGAAATTTGGCAAACAAGAAATAGATCTTGTTATATCCTCAAGTTTAAAACAAACTATTGCAACTTAAAAATAAGAAAGAAGAAAATATCACTAAAGGACCTAATTCTATAGTTCTGTTAAGTAAGGTGAAGCATTAATATTAACATAACTTGATCCAAGCTGTTACTGGGTCTGAAACAAGACTAAAATTATGAAACTAAGTATAAATTTATCTCAAAATATCATCTTTAAAACAAAGGAACTAGGTAAAATAATCACTGGTTTAGATATAGTAAATACTGAATAAACCATATTGCTATTTCTCATTCTACTTTTTGTCAATTAAACAAAGCCTTAGAAATACACAAAAGAATATGGACTTTTAATTTTATGATTTCACAGTAATTTTACAGTGTTTCTAAAATAGAAGGAACTAGGAAACAGTGAAAAACTAAATAAATAGTGAAAAACTCTTTTTTTTTTTTTGGGGGGGGGGGGGGGCGGTGGTGGTCTGGTCATGGGGCCTGAACTCTGGGCCTGGGCGCTGTCCCTCAGCTCTTCAGCTCAAGGCTAGCGCTCTATCACTTGAGCCACAGCACCACTTCCAGCTTTTTTCTTTTTGCTTATGTGGTGCTGAGGAATCGAACCCAGGGCCTCATGCATGCAAGGCAAGCTCTCTACCTCTGAGCCACCTTTCCAGTCCCGTGACAAACTCTTAAGTAGTAGTTTCAGGCTGCTTTTTGTTACTACCTGCCACTCTACTAATCTTCAAGTACAAGTTTACACCAATTCTGGTATGTTTCAATTTTTGTTTTGGTGTGTATGTCCTGGTACCTGAGCTTTAAAATGGGACCACACAGTCTCACTAAGCTCTTTTAGCTCACAGCTGGTGCTCTACCACTTGAGCCATACCCCCAGCTCTAATTCTTTTAAAAGGTTTAAAACAGAATTATAGGTAAACTTAAAAATGATCTGTGTCATACATTATAATGCAAAAACAATGTTATAACTATTACTCAGGATCACCAGTGAATTTAAACTATGTCATATCTAATACTTCTATATTCAAGTAAGTTGGTCTTATATTTCAGCTTTACAATTTATAAAACTGAATATTAAGCATACTTACAAACACAATTTAGAATTTACATTGTCAGTCTTATATTCCTAAATATCCTCACAAAACATACTGAAAAAAATTAACTACTGCCTGTGATACAAAAAACAAAAATAGGAAAGCGGAAAAGTAATCTGAAGTTATAAAGAATCTAATAGCTCCTGCTCTGAGGTTTAAGAAAAATCATATGCTACAAATGCATATACAACCCTCAAAATGGTACAGAATGCCATAAAATAACCATAATATGGTATTGACAGGTATTTTTAATATCCAAAAGTTTCCATTATATTAAAAAATAAAAGCTTAGCTCTCCCTGTAAGAAAAATGTGTACATTTTAGATGGGTAAACAGCAGAACTTAACATTTTTCACCAAATAAAAAAAAGGAGTCTACAGAAAACTGTATTAATAATTCCTTTCACATCTGGCATTTTAAGAAAGACAACAAAACCTTTAATAACTTACTCAGTGAAGATCTAGGATGTGGCTCAAGTGGTAGAGCCCTTACTGAGAAAGCACAAGGCCCTGAATTCATTATCCCCCTCAAAAGGGAAGGGGACACTACATCAATCTGAAAATATACCCTAAGAAATTATTCTAAATTTATGAAATATGTCATCACTTGACTTTAAAAGGCTTATCTTTGTTCTTTTAATTCATAGCGCATTAAGCTGTACTAAATTACATTAAAGAAGGGACAATCATTCTTCATTAGAACCAAGTAAAAGAGGTTTGACACAGAAATTATGATAATCGTTGACCATAATAGAGTAGTCTATAAATGCTTAATCTTCCTGAAATGAATTTCAGAGATCTTCTAGTAGAAACAGAAATAGCTTCACCATGTTAGTAACATTCACTGAGATCAACATAGTCTAGATCTAAATTTATGTCTTAGCATGAACCTGAAATATTATATTGTATAATATGACTGTAAAGATGATCTCAACAGTTTTTAGAACACATACCACAAATTTCAATAACCAATTTAAATCTAAAATTATACCAAATTTTGTCAATAATCCAAGAGCTTTTAAAGTTATTCCCTGACAAATTAATAAATTCAGAAAAATATTAATAAAATATACTATATACATGAGATTAAAACAAACAGGCTGATTATCCTCTGTGTTTCAAATCACATAGAGTTTAAGAAAAATGATTTCTCTCTCTCAATTGTCCAATGACTCTTATCTTCATCTCTGAAATCTATTTCCCTGACAATGTCTTGGTAGTTTTAAATCCCAATTGGATTTAAAATTTTTCACTCTTAACAGGGATCAGTTCAATTAGTGAAATAAGAATAAACTTCCCCCTTTAATAGCAGTATTTCCTCAAGACAAACACCTTTGCAGTGAAATCAGCCTTGACTCTGAGTAGGAAAGGTAACCTGTGCCCTTAATGTGTAAGTGAGGAGAGTGTACTTTGAAGCCCACCTGGTTGCAGACCTGTACAGTCTTCAATCATTATCAATAAAGATAACTCTTAACTCCAACTTATTTGACTCCTAAGGCTGAAATAAACTTACTTATTTCAAAACAAAGTATCAGATTTAGACAAGTATTATGAAAATACTGGAATCTAACAAAAATAGTTTTTCTTTCTTTCTTTTTTTTTTTTTGGGGGGGGGGGTGTGTTGGTCAGTCGTGGGCTGAACTCTGGGCCTGGGAGCTGTCCCTCAGCTGTTCAGCTCAAGGCTAGCACTCTACCACTTAAGCCACAGTGCCACTTCTGGCTTTTTTCTGCTTATGTGGTGCTGAGAAATCGAACCCAGGGCCTCATGAATATGAGGCAAGCACTCTACCACTGAGCCAACTTCCCAGCCCAATACTGTTTTCTTTAGAATGATTTCTCATTAAATGGTATGTTCATATTACTGAATTACTGTAACTTCATTTACATTACTGAATGAACATAGGATTTTCAAATCCATATCCTGAAAGAAGTTGACAAATGCACTCAAAAGCCACTCTCCTTCCTTCAGTGTCTCATACAGTGTTGCTTAAAATTGTTTACTTATGCTATGTTCATTTCAGCTAAATTCTTTAAACCTACAGGCTCAAGCCATTCATCCTAACATTTAGGGGGTCTCAAAGATTTTTTCAAAAAGATCTCCTAAGTATACATTATTCAACTAATTATTTAAGAATAGAGTATATATTGAAAACAAAACACTTTCTGCTAAGCTACCTACAATTGTTAGAGTGTAAACAATAAGCATTTCATTTGTCTATGTATTTTCTTACAATTCTCCTCTAATGTCAAATGCCTTTCATAAGAAGCTGTAGGGTATGGCCAAAACCTCCTTTGTAAAAGTTTATTAACTTAAGGAAAAACATAAATATTGTAAAACAAATAAATGAAGAGGAAGCTCAAAATCATGTACTTATCTGTCTAGACCAAGGAGACAACATTCATTAGCAGCAATAATTAACATTATTATTTGACATTTAATCAATAGAACATCTTTTACAATGCAAAATTTGGTATAGTATCTCATATTAATTATTATCATAAAGAATAAAATTTTCACCTCTAAAAGGAAAATGTCAAAATGAATGTTTAAATCTTAAAAAGTGAAATTTAATTCTAAAGATGGCCACCTATATTTGATGCAAACACAGCTTGTAAAAACACCATTCAGAAATAAATCATATCCTTAGCTGTTATTTTGTTTAAAACAATGTAAACTACATGACTATAAAATTATTATTCAGTGTACTTACCCACCCACAAAGCAGAGGATATAAAATGCCAAATAAAATATTACGAAGGGTCCAAAGGTTATCAGAAAAAGGACAATGCCAAGGCTTCCCCATCCCCATATGGATAGACTGGCCTAGAATAAAACAAAACAAAAATAAATAATTCTTTATATGAATTAGAAACAAACCAAGAAAATTATTAGTTTAAAATTTTTCATTTTAAATATTTATAATTTTTCAGTAAGTATTAAAATATTTGCTTCTGTAAATGCACTCTTGAAAATAAAAAATACATAGAAATTTACAGAACATCATCAAAGGTTAAAATAAAATCTAGTGTAAGGCAAAAAAAAGGTATAGCAAGAAAGTTACATACATTACTAAGTGAAAAGCTAGCATGAAAAACAAAGTTTTTGTAGAGTATCTGTATATTTATATTTGTAAATACACCATGCAAAACATTGAACAGGTAGTCACACCTATTTAGAAATTTTAATTTTAAAATTAAGTCTCACAAACTATAACATCAAGAGACATTTTCTAAAAATTGAATTTCAAGGTAAAAAGTGTATAGATTTTTGTAATATTTTTCTTTTGTTCAAATGGTGTTCAGAAATAAAATTTTACTAGCAAAAGTTTCCACTTCCAATTTCCAAATTTTACCATAAGTTCAAAAGCAAAGTATTTCCAAAAAGTCTCCAACCTTTTTTCAAAATCATTTTATATAAAACTGCCCTGTTTTATCTAGTAAAAATACTCCTTTTCTTAAGGGCCAACTTGATTTTAGGAATTTTCAGTCAGTATGAATAAGTGAATGTATTCAATTCAGCAAATTTCTATCTACATCTATGTGCCCTGCACTGTGAGGTCCACAAAGAAAGTATTTGTCCCACTTCCACCATTAAGTAGCACAGAGAAGAATGTCTTATAGGAATGAAACAATTTGACACTGAACTAAAAGAAAATAATAGAAAGCATTATAAGATGCTAATCCAAAAAAATTAATGACCAAAAGACTATGAAACAGACAGTAACTGCTGTGGTTATGAAAGAAAGGAGAGTTTTATTCATTCATTCATTATTCACCAGTCTTTGACTGTGTCCTATGTGCTAAAGCACAATTCCAGGTTCTAAGGAAGAAACAAGGAACAGAAAGTACCTTTCATAATTCCACCTTCCATCTTCAACAAGAGGAGAAACATAAGCATACCCTCCTAAGTTCAAAGCATGGAAACACAAATATATAAACATATTAATTGTATGAGATGGGGGAAAGTATCATGGAGAAAAAAACTGTGGACTACTTTAAGCAGCTCTGAATCAAAAGGAATACATTAACAGAAATCCTGACAAATTATTTAGAAAGGATTTATTTAGAATAGCAAGTCTTCCTGTAACAAAGTAGTATTTTTCTATTTTATTCATACCTTGTTCTATGTCCTTCCCTGGTGTCTTTTTGTCTTTTACTTTTTCCCCTACTGCATGACATGACTTGTTCAAAGCTATTTTTTTTTTAATCTTTTCTCCTCATCCTGACCACTATTAATTTTTAACCAGAGCACAGAATGCTGGGCTTTCATGTTCTGCTATCTCAGTCAGTTGGGAATACTATTTTACCTACAGAAGTGGTCCCCTGTGACTTCCTTTTCAGAGCTGAAAGTAGGACATAGTGATTTAGAACAAAGCAGAGCAACCCAGTCCCTCCAAAAACACTTCTGCTGAACATACAATACTGGATGTATACTACAGTATTACCAAAGACTCAACTACAGGAAAAAAGATGCTTTTTTCTCAAGACCCACACAAAAGTATCCACTAATATCTCAAGAAAAGAGTACCTGTAAACTCCTCATAGAACTGAAAGCATTCATGACCCAGATAATTTATTCAACCTATCTTTTCCAATAAGATCTGGTCTAATGTTAGCACTATTATGTTTTCTGTACACAAATTTATGTTAGCTAATCTATTTTTCAAAACTAGACAACTTATTGCTCAGGAATATATTCATAGGTTTTAAAACCAAAACCAAGGAAATGTTTATATCTAAGGATAAAGAAGTATATAATGGGAGGAAAACCATCAATAGTTTCTCAAATTGCTTTTATTTACAGGTAATTGGTTTTAATTGTAAAAAATACTTTATATGCTCAAACATTTGAATTATATCTTTCACAATTAAAGAATTTTCAAAAAACAATCAAAAATAGTTGGTATGGAAAAAATTAACAAAGTAAATTAGCAAAGGGAGACCCTCAAATTGTCAAAAAAAAAAAAGTTATCTTTCTAGAACCTTACAGGTCTCCTACCATTTGAAAAAGACAGCAAAATTCTACACACATTCACATTCATACATATACATAGACAGACACACACACACACACACACACACACTCCTCTTCACTCAAACAAAATCTATGAATATCTACACTTTACCAGTGCTAATGATTTAGCAGTAATCAGGAATTACTACCACATTTTTTTTCAAAATCTTAATAAAATAAAAGGAAATTTTTGTTTTCCATCTTGTTGCTTTTGTTTGTTGTTGATGGGCTCCAACATGTTCTACCACTTAGATATAACCCATCTCTGTAGTACCTTTTAAATTCCAAAGACTAATAAAATTACACATTTCTTATCAAGCAAGACAAACACTTCGTTCATTTGCTTTGCTATTAATCTGCGTCACTGAAATTTCAGAATTGTGAAGTGTCAAAAAATGATTTCATGCTATTAATCATTCAATCAAACATCACTTAATGTTTTTTGAGTTCCAATTACTTCCTAAAATAATAATGCTAATGAAATTAAGCTAATTTTGTCCTACACACAGTCAAAAATCTTTCACAAATTCAGTGTATTACCTAAACATATGGCCTACAATGAAAGCAAAAAAAGTTATAATAGCTAGTTTTTAATATATTACCATTTTCTTTGCTAAAGAAAAATAATCAACACTGAAATACTTATGCTGTTTATGTAATCTAAGAAACCCTCAAGATCCTATTCTGTACTACTTACAAACTAAAGGTAAGTGTGTAGTTTGGGATTGTTTTGTTGTTGTTGTTTTGTTTTGTTTTTGTTTCCCATATTTGAGCTTGAAACCAGGACCCAGGTTTTCTCTCTTAAGCTTTTTCACTCAAGGCTACCATTCTACCATTTGAGCCACAATTCCACTTTTAGCTTTTTGCTGGTGGTTACTTATAGGTAAGACTCCAATGTCCATTTTCTTCCTAGAATTTCAAGCTAGCTTTCAACTGCAATCCTCAGATCTCAGCTTCTTGTGTAGCTAGGATTATATGTATGAACCACCAGTGTCTGGCAGTGAATAGTCTTAAAATGTACATTTTCATTCAGTATATCTGGAGCAGAGCCTGTGATTCATGTCTTACAAGCTGCCAAAATTATCTCAACCAAGGATAGTTGTTTATTTATAAGCCTTCCTAAATTAATCTCTATATCCATGAATGGTTATTCATAATTTCAATATATGAAAATCAAAATTGTACCAAGCATTCTATATACCACCTCATTTACTGCTATGAACAACTTACAAGGTAGTGGAGAAGATAGCAGAACATAAATGCTCAAAAGTGACGGAGTTATACTACTCAAGCTCAAATTTCTCCATTTTTTGTTTTTTTAGTAATGTAGTCACATATGTCTTTATTTCCTCTCCTAGATAATGTGGCTGTTATGAACTACAAATGAATCCATGGTCCAGTGGTCAATTTACCTTAGTCACCTTTATTATACCTACTTTAACTATACTAAAACTAAGGCACAGGGACATTTAAAAGCTTTATAAAGGTCACAAAGTTATTAAAAGTGCAATATAACCCTGAGCAAATCCTAGTTTCTTATATAAACCCTGAAATTTGTCAACCTGAATTTAAAATTAAGATTTTAAGAAAAATCATATATGAGTATCCTAAGTATTTTTCAGCTAAGTATTTTTGTTTGTATCTTCCAGTACTGAGGTTTGAATTCAAGGCCTCAAGTCCTTACTAGGGTTTTTTTCTGCTCTAGGCTGGTGTTCCACCACTTTAGCCACCTCTCCAGATGCAGTTTCTGGTGTTTAATGAAGGTAAGAGTCTTTTGGACTTGTCTGCCTAGTTAGCTTTAAACCTCAATTCTAGATCTCAGATTCCTCAGTAACTAAGATTATAAATGTGAGCTATAGGAAACTGGCTTCATCTAAGTATTAATGAGTTAAAATGCCTCCTAAGAAACCAGTCCAAAAACTATCATAATAAATCCTCAATTTGAAAATAAAGCATACATTTTTTATTAAGAAATCAATTCTGTATCCCCAAATGGAAAGAATTTCCATTTCAAAGCGTGTCAATTTACCATGCCCAGAAACATGCTCACAAAACTATGTCTAAGTATATTAGAATGTTGAAATGACAATGAAAAGAAACATATATGCCTCCTGACAATACAAAGTAAGTGGAAATGATCTACCTTATATTTTATGTCTATCAAGGCATACTGACAGTTATCTCATTTGATCCTTGGAAAGGCAGTAAAGTAGTGTGAACAGAACCAAAAGTTACAGGTTCCAGTTTGTCACCTCTTGCATAATTTTCCAAATTTCTGAGATGAAATCACCTCTCCAATCAGGTCCAGCTATAGCAGATTACTTAAGTAACCCTGCTCATAAATGAATAGCTAATTTAATTTTAGAGCCAGGTCTAGATTATCCTGGCCCATGTAAAAAGTAGGACCAAGTAAAAAGCAGTCATTTTAGATCAGAGATATATTAACATGATACACCTTAATACTTTATACGGCAAAGGGCAGACAAACAAGGCCAAGCAACTGAAGGTTGCTATGACTTTAATGTCAACTTGAGTCACAGAAATTATATAATATTCAACAACCCAATAGAGCTAAGGGCAGACATTACTAGCATGGTCTGTTTCCACCACCTTATTTCATCTACAAGTTAAAAGCGATTCTCTGACTGATTTCAACAGAATACTGAGATTTAGATCTAGGACTCAATTATCCTGACTTACTAGCCTCAAACCTCTTTCTATGTTCCCATAAAAGAAGAATAAAGATCCTCATCCACTCACCCATCATGTTTGCCCCCAGAAAGCTGAAGAGCTTCTCCTTCCCAACTGGG